CCATCAAAAGATGGGAAAGTGAAATAATGTCTTTGCAACCCATTCATAGGAACTGAGGGCCGTAAATGCACTCGTTCCTGTATTATCTCCTTTTTCTTCCGAGACCTCACATGTGGTTTATTCTGCTATTAAGGGAGCCTTAAGGGCGGCTTTACCATGCTATCATGTGAGGGAAAATGTTTGCGGACCCAGAGTAAATTTCAGTACTGCGACTTAGAAAATAGATTTTTGTCAGAGATATCAGTGGTTTGCCACCGCATAAAGTAGAAAATAGAAATTCTATGATTTTGACAGAATTTCAGCTGAGGGGAGACCTACCTACTCTAAAATTTAAAAAACGTCCAATACTGTCTTTTTTCTTGTATTTTTCGTAGCGGCAAATGCTTGTGATTTCCTGCAAGGATCTTTTTCCAGGGTCTCATTTCTGAATTTTACCCAACTTTTGCAAAATCGGCTATTTTGTGATACTGCGTCAACAAACTTTTTAAACCCTACCTACCCTAAAATTTAAAAGAGTCCAATACCGTCTTTTTTCTTGTATTTTTCGTAGCGGCAAATGATTGTAATTTCCTGCAATGATCTTTTTCCAGGGTCTCATTTCTGAATTTGACCCAAATTTTGCAAAATCGGCTATTTTGTGATACTGCGTTAACAAATGTTTTAAACCTCTCTTAACAACGATATAAACCTTACGTGCCTCTCTTAGGAAAGGCATTGTTCGTGGCGTTGGAGAGTGGCCTCCATCGAAATTTCAAACTGGAATTCATCAGATCTAACTTAACAAAATTCGCTCACCTGAACACTCCACTGTTATGAAGTAAAGTCCCTTTCCCCATGAGCGGTCACAAATGAAAGAGTTGGGCACACTGCGGAATTCAGACACCCTTTGAGAGTGAAATTTCAGCTGCTTTCGAAACTCGCTGCGGAACATCCTCACAAAAAGAGGGCTGCAAAAACACCCCGCTCACAACGGTTTTACGAACTTGCAGTTCCTTTTCGGTGAATGCAGTCGTAACGAGAGTCAGAAAGTTTACTCAGGCTACGTCTGATAGTTTGAATTGAGGCATCAAAGAGCAGAGGCTCGGGGCCCGGGGTGGCGGGCCCGATGAAGTGTCGAATTAGAGAGGGTGAATGACGGTGAAAGTTACACCGATCTGAAGTATGCTAATGTGTTTACCCTCCGACCCCTCTTCAACTCGGCAGCTTAGTTGCCAAGTCTAAGGACCCTTCTGCTGTGCCAAGCAAGAACACTGTAAACCCATTAAGATTTTCCCGCGTTTTTTTGAACTTAACACTTTATAAAATAAAAACTGTTTTACCCATGCACATCACATTTTTAGGTTAAGTTCTTGATAGTATTTGCAAAATAATTCTGTAAAAATATAGTCCCAAGATACACGAGTTTTTCTGCTGTGATATATTGTTTTCAAAAAATCTAAGATAGCTTTTACGGCGTTTTTGCGTTGCCCGGCAGCCTTGCTCCTTCGACTTTTGAGCTTTCTAAGGCCGTAAAAAGTGAGCATGCGTTAAGAGCAAATCGGTCGTTAAAACGACGTCTCTAAGTTTCCGCTTTTGTCTTATTTTTTTTGTAATTTTAAATTTTTATCATTCATTTTTGTTATAATACGGGATACTTTTACAGAATAGCACAAAAATATGTAAATTAGGTATGATGACAAATCAATAAAAACTCAAAAAACCATTTTCCTTTTTTAATAAGTTAGGCTAGGTGGAAAGCCTTAATGTTCCAAATCGCGATTCGTGCTTTTCAACTTTCGCCAGCGGAAAATGAGAGAGTCTATATCGTCTGAGAAAACAAGAGGACTCTTAGAATGGTCCTCTTTCCGTTTCCATCTGGCATCATCCCACTTTTTATTATGTAATCTTTTCAACGTGTGTCTCCAATATGAGAAATTAAACAACAAAACTAGTCGTCATAAGTTGGCAACATATCTATACACTGAGAAAAGAAGTTTGGCAGCGCGGTGTTGCGTATCGTCCAAACCATAAGGTTCATGTAACCCTGCTCTCAGTCTATGCAACTTAACTTTTTCTGCAACTCGGTTAAGTTTGAAAGCTTCAACTGAAGATACGGTTCCTAGAACCGAAAGTACAGACACAGGGCTAATCACCAGCGGAACCGGTGCGGTGGAGCCGGGAAGCCTGCCCTCCCCCCCCTCTCGAAATCCACTCGGCCCCTCTCATGAACTTCAAGAGATTTTGTTAAGGAACTGCGTGACTTATCTTCCATCCGTAATATTTCGATTCGATTAATTCTTCGGACAGATTAACTCCCAATTGCTTCTGAAACGACTCAATTTTTCAAAAATTTTACCCGGGACTCCCCCTCCCCGCATTCGACTAGCCTGGAGAATGGATCTGCCCAAATCCCTGATATCCACGGACAATAATTCTCTGTAGTAAAAAAAACGCATATATATCTATCGAGGGCTGTAGATTCCTAACTTATTGTTAGTAAATAAAAATTCATAGAAAGTAAATAAATTATCCCCATATCTCCAACATAAAATAAAAATGAAAAAGTAATTTTAAAACAAATAAGAAAGGGTGTCCGGAACCCCTTGCTAAGGTGTCTTCATGCCCTCCACAAAAAGTTCCCAATGCCGCCCATGTATGAACTTTATGGAACACCGTAGTTGCGGTTCATCTGACCGAACTTCTTTCTCAGTGTAGTGTCGCCGCCATTTTTTCAGGTCAAAAGTCTTTATGGGGCTGAGTATCAATTGGATTACATTTTGCAATAAGGAACCACAAATTGTGGCCCATTTTTGAAACAACATAAGATGACATTGCTTTATCCCTTTGCAGATAAGTGCTTCCATGGGAAGGCCAGAGATAGTGGTTCCTCATCGCAAAATTTAATCCAATTTCCTTCTCATGAGGGTATTTTACTCGTAGGCAACACTGTATTGAGTCGGGGTGTCAGATTATGAAGATCCCCGTTAGGGGTTGATAAATGCTCGGTGAAGTAATGGGAGCAATTAAAAGGGAGACTCGAGCGGGAATGGGGAATGTTGATGGGAAAAAGTGCCCCGATTAATGGACACTCATAACGGCAATGTCTGCTCTCCATTCTTCCCCGTTAGTGACGCTTATTACGCCGCCGCCGCGCGCCGCCCCAACGTAACGAGCGGCCGGCTAATCTCGCCGGGGAGCTCATCAGACATTCACGCCAGCCGGCTGTCTGCTCCCGAATCCATCATTGTGAAGGTCATGATCATACTACCGTGCTAAGGAAAAACGCCGTATGAACCTCCAGGCGTTACCAAATCTCCATTCATAAAAAACGAATTTCTCGGTGAACCAGGGTGTCTACAAGTTCGAAATTTCCGGAAAGCCCAGAAATAATACTGATTTTTAAGGGCGACCCGGAAGTACTGAAAAAGTGCGAAAATTCCGCAAGAAGGTCCGGAATTTTTGTCATTTTTGACGCAATTTGAGCGAGAAATTCAAATCTTGGACATTTTTTGAATTTCGTCAAATGGAGGTACTGAAAAAGGATTAAATTGTTCTGTTGAGGAGGTCCTGAATTTCTTGGGAATTTACTGAAAAAGTACCGTAAACGTACTGATTTTCGGCCAGCGTGTTCTAGTAGACACCCTGTAAACTTATGAATATTTTTCTTCCAATTTTTTAGATAATGCTGTTCGCAATTTCACCCAAAGTTCCCGGAATTTTCAAGGAAAAATATTCGTAACTCTCCTCGAAAATGAACATTTTGTTGAAGGAAATTTGGCAACTCTCGAATGTTCATACGGCGTTCTTCCGTAACACGGCAGCGATAGCCGAATAGCCTCTCAGAAATTGGGCAGTTTTAGAGTACGAGCTTGTAGAACCCTTAGCTGGCACAACACCCCCCCCCCCCCCCCCCCCCCCCCNTCCCCCTACGTACATTACGAAATACTTGGACGGCTACCACCTCATTGAACAAAAATTTGCTGTCCAAAAGTAAAAAAGATGGCTCTCCATTTCAAAAGCTTTAATTTTTTCCCGAAAAAATGCTGTTTAACAAGAAAACTAACAAAAATTCATCCTATATTTTCGCTTGTCAACTCTGGCATACTATTAGGAACTAAAGATGAACAAATAAAGCCTTGTTGCAGTTATGATTTCTTAAAATGGAACAGTGAAAGAAAACTAATAAAAATTGGAATAGTTGGAATAGTTGCTGAGTTCTTGGTGTAGAAATCAACACCAGGTGACGATCTATGTCATCAAATGAAGATTCGTTTAAAAAAGTATCTATGTTGATAAGAAAAGCAGTCAAACGTCGATGTAACTATGCATTGGTATGTAATTTCCTAACGCCACGAAGAAGGTGATAAGGTGGGGTATGGTAGAGTCCCTTTATACTGAGAGTTAGGACAACCCCCCTCGCGTGGAGTCAAAAACGGGAATAAAGATTACACAAATTGAAAGTTTGTCGTAATCTTTGATCGGCCCATTCTCAAATTCCTTTCTCCGTTCCTTCTCTCATTCCGTTTGTTCATTGCCGAACCCGTGATTACCCGATCCATTCCAGATTATAATCTTTGCAATTGGTGAAAATGTAATCTTTATTCCCATTTGTGACACTGTGAAGGCCTAAAGTACGGGATTCAATCAGAAATGGATTCATATTGTCTTAACTCTCAGTATAAAGGGACTATAGGGTATGGCAGCACTCGTGACCGCTACAGCACCCTGTCCGATAAGGATGGGAAGATCGAGGAACCTAGATTGGGTTCCGCCTTTTTTTAGTTTCTGCGTCACATCCTCCAAGAACTTCTCTCTCCAACCAGGCATGAGCACCGAGACCTCCTAGAGCAAGATTCCGACAATCTTCGTCGCAAGTTCGTGACGTTGCGCTCGCTTAGCTTGCTTGAGACCAGGAACTCATCTGTAGGACTCCAGGATTTTCATCTCTTCTAAAAGTAGCTGAATAGACTCCATTTTTTCCTTGGAAGGTCCCGTGAAGAAGGAAAAAAAAAACCAGGAAGTAGGTGAAATTGACCGAGGCACGCGTGGCCAAAAGGACCCGATCAGAGACAATATATTTTAGGGACTCACTGCTATATGCCCTGTAGTGCCACGCCTTTTACTGCCGTGCTGAGGAAAAACACCGTATGAACATTCGAGAGTTTCCAAATTTACTTCGAAAAAATTATTATTTTTGAGAAAAGTTGCGATTTAAATTTACAGAATCTTCACGGGAAATCGCGAACAACATTATCTGAAAAATTGGGAAGAAATTGGCAACGCCTGGAAGTCCATACGGCGTTTTTCCTTAGCATGGCAAACTAGTTCTGCGTGAAAGGTTGAGAAATTGTGTTCTATGGTGCTGAACTGTTTACTGTCTCTTGGTTCACCTCTGAATATAAAGTCCAAGTGGAATACATTCGAGAATGTCGACAGTGTAGCGGGGCTCAGGGGTAGAGGAGCTGGCAGACCAAGTTGATCCCGGAGATGATAGCGGGGATGGACTTGGTGAAGACGCCGATCCCGGAAGCAACGGCCTGGATGACGGGGATGATGAACTCGATGAACCTCGTCTGGGTGCCGTCCCCGTTTCTCTCCTCCGCCTTGAAAAGCTTCTCCCAGTTGGGCACCAGCTCAGTCAGCTCCTTCACTTGGAGCTCCACCAGTTTAGCCACCGTCTCGTCCCGCCTGCCCTGCTCCGCTGCGGTCAGACCGGGCATCGTCCGGTACTTCTCCAGGGTGTTGAGCGACGCCACCAACAGCTTGAACGACGGCCCCACATTCGGCTTCGTCAGCTTCTGGAAAAATGAATTTAATGTCAGCTTAACTCTCATTGTGGCGATGAATTTCTCTCGTGTAGGGTATTAGTTGGAGGAAACAACTTCGGCTGTACGAACTGAACCATTTGTTCACTTAACTGAAGTCTAGTCCTGCACAGAGAAAAAAACCTCGTGCGTGGGACCCGAAGTTTAGGTCATATGGATCTCTGAAGTTTTCAGATTGAGCATCTGAACGTTTTAGATCCAGCTGTCGAGGTTCGGGTCACACATCTGAAACTTCAGTTCTTACATCTGAAGTACTTCAAAAGTGAGAACCGAAGTTTTTCGGATGTGAAAACCGAAGTACTTCGAATGTATGAACTGAAGTTTCAGATGTGTGATCCGAACCTCGACAGCTAGATCTGAAATGTTCAGATGCTCAATCCGAAAACTTCAGAGATCCATATGACCTAAACTTCGGGTCCCACGCACGAAGTTTTTTTCTCCGTGATGTCAACTGAAGTGAGCAGTGCTCTCGACTGAGCGTCTAGAGGCTTCAGTTGACAGAACTGAGCCTCAGTTTGATGAATTTGAATCAGGGTTCCCACAGTCAGGGAATACCGGGAAATGTCAGGGAATTTTAAAAAGTCAGGGAAAACCTGGAATACTCAGGGATCTTGTCGAAAGTGTCAGGGAAAGATTGTTTATTCATCTTTATTAGCTTTCTAAAATGGATTTGACATTTAGAACAAAAAATGTTGCCTGTAAACAGTTTCAAAGTACATCTTTTTGAGCAAATGACACATGTTCAACTGTCAGGGAATTTTTCCTAAACGTGTCAGGGAAATCAGGGAAATGTCAGGGAATTTCATTTTATAAATTTTGTGGTAACCCTGTTGAATGGTTCAGGTTCATTGAAGCAAAGACCTACTGAAGCGAACCGTAGTCTCTCTCCTTTGAATCGAAAAACTTCGGTCGGTGAAGCATGTCCAAAGTGGGCCAAAGCTTTTCGGCTGGTTGAACTGAACATTTGGTTTGTAGAAGTAAACCTTTAACACAGCCTTTTAGCCAGTTAACCTAACCTAACTCGAGAAGGGGAGGTTCGGGTTCCGGTACCTTGTAGCTCCACTAATGGTTGCAATCCGGTACCTTGTAGCTCCACTAATGGTTGCAACCAAAGGTTTTTCACCGTAACTGTCGGAACACGAGTCCGTGACCAGCGCAGCTAGGCTATTCCGCAATCGTTCCCAGGCTAACGGTAACTAGTGCTTTAAAGACGGGTTTTGCAGAGCGCACTACACTGAACCAATCACTTAATCGAATATTAATTTAATGAAATATCGTAAAGCTTACGTACATCGTCACCAAAAGCGTTGCAGGCGGCTGCGCAAAGCACCAAAAGGCCAGCGAGGAACACACACGATCTCATCTTGAGTCGTTTCGGCGATGAAATGACGCTTCCAAAATGTCACCAAAACTGGTCCAATCCCATTCCTTACCGGGCGCGTCATTCTCGAGAATAATTGACACTTCTTCAAACAGGACGAACCTATGCAAAATGGATATATTGTAAAACAACGTATAGCTCATTACAATTCTTTGGTACGCACGTGTTTCTACCAAAGATATCCTTGTAGATGCGTTTTTTCTCCTCAATGCTATCCATTTTATTTCACTCTTTAACGACGTCTTCTTGCCGACGCCCGGCTTGAATAGGTTCCCGTAGCTGATTGAAAGCGCGTCATCAAATTTCATTGCACCCGATGAAGCGACTCAACGAATCGATCATCAGAAGTTACCGGGATTCCCAGGAAGAGAATGGGTGCCTCGGAGCCTGTGCTTTTTAGCTCCTCTCCGCGAAATTCTTCGCGTGAACCAAAAAAGAAAAAACTTCGGTGGCCAATCGACAAATCTGGAGACAATATATTACTTTACAGGTCCCACACTCCTATCTTACCTTTATCGTCTACACATTACTTTCGAAAGCTAACGCCCAGATTCGACTGATTATGACCGATGATTGAAGTGGTGACCTATGAGGTGATATTATGTGGTGAGGTGGTATCCTATGATTGGTTCCACAACCTCAACTTAATTTGCAAAAACTCGCCTAGAAATGGGCTTACTCCAATATTTACCACCCGGCATTTGGCGAATTTTATGCTCAACAAGTTGCTCATCATTCATCGTTAGACGTAACATACCGTTGACCGTCGAACTTAACGTTTGTCTCACTCGATTACATTGCTTAAATTGTTCGTGCGGCGTCTCTGAAATTTAATACGAGTTTCGAGTATATTGCCCCGGATCAAATCAGGCTTTTTGACAAGTTCTTGTACACTCTGGTGACAGTGTGTCCATGTCGAATGGTCGATAGTTAATTCTTACTTTTTAACCACAACTCGTTGCATCGCATCGTCCGGTCAAGAGGTCTTTTTTAATATTGGAACTCAGACGGCGTATAAAAACGGGGCTTTTATTTTTATGACATCTGGATTTCTGAGATGTGAGAAAAAGTAACGCCGAGATTTTGATAATATCGGTTAATTTTAATAAAATGTTCAAATTAATGGTGCAGTTAATCAAACATTAAAATTATCCATTAACTAATTAAATTGTTAATCATTAATAACTGTTAATTAATTGGTGATAATGAATTAATAAAGTAGGTAGTTTTTAGTGGCGAGCAAAGGTAAAAGTTTTGCTTCCACTTTTGCTAAAAACAATTGTTATTTAAAGGCCCTCCAGAGATAGGAGAAGAACCGCTAAGATCGTGTGTATCTCGATAGTGGTGCTACGATATTTTGTTCCGCTTTATTTTGTTCTGAGAGTATGAATGGCCGATTTTTTTGCAATTTAAGATTTTTAGATTAAAATTGAAAAAAATAAGATTATCAAGATAGGGACTTATTTTTGAATTTTGATTTATTTGTAAAACATTTTCTGTAAAACATTTTCTGTTCGATCATAATCTGTTATCATAGAGGAAAAGGAAGTTGTGCAATGACGATGGTCAGTCGCATCCTCGATTAGTGAGGAAGTAAGTAAGCAAGCACATATGATAATAAATTTTCAATATCGATGACTGAAGTTTCGCAGTTTCACTACATCCATTTGTTATGAAAATAAATATACTCAATGTAATACTTGGACTACATTTGGCGGTCTCACCTAGAGTCCATCATCTCAAGCGGATTTAAATGAAGGAAAAACACAGTCGTAATAGTTACAGAGGCGAAATATATGTATAAGTAGATTCAAATCTAACCGAGTGTTTATTTTGATCAAGAAATGCTGCAACACATATGTCTATCCAATTGCTGCAAAGACTCCAGAACTAATCTCAGCTATACTGTTGACTAAGTTGCTTAGCAAGGTCCTCGATATAGCAATCGTGTCATTCCTATTATTTTCTCCGCTCTCTGGTTTGATCGTAGTTTTATCCGGGTTGGCCTTCGAGAACAGAGAAAAAAAAAATGATGATCGTGACATGCTTAGCAATTTTTCCCGCTTTTCCTCACGAACGTCAGTTTTTAACTTAAGGGTAAATTTTGAAAGTTTCCGATGGTTTCAACTTGCTTTCCATTAAATTTCGATGAAACGTGTCTCAAAAAAGTTGAATGATTACAACGTTCTAGTGGTCCATCCAGCAAGACTGGTTCAAATGCCTTGCAGTCGTATTCAAAGTTGCTCCTCAAACAGTTGGTTAAAGCCTCGTATGGTTTACATTATGTGATTAAGTGAGATTTAAAAAGAAACCTGTAACATAGCATCGTAAAAACGAAACAATTTGCAAGCTCGTAGTAAAATTTAGCAGTATGCTTTTGGAAAAGGATCCCTAAGAGGGATTGTGATGATTTGTCCTTGCCAGAAATAAAATAAAAAAAATCTTATGATCATGACAAAATTTGAGGTAGGTACAATCCTATCTTAAAATTTTCGAAATCCGCAATTGTAAGTAGCGGTAGCTACCCGGTCCATATCGAAGATCGAATGTGGACATATTTTCCCTTGTATTTTCTGTGTTTGAAAATCTTCGTTATCCCTTGCAAAGATCCCTCTCCAAGCCTAAAAGTGCATGCTAAATTTTACTCGAGGTTTGCAAATCATGTCCTTTCTATGGTGCTGTATGCAATATGCTATATACATGTGGAGGCTTCCTTTTTCTCGCAATATTAGGACTTCCTTTAGGAAAGAAGCCGTCTAAAGAATGACTATTAATACTATCCTTATTCTTGCAGTAATACAGTTCAACAGACTTTTCATTCGTGTTCAAACTCATTTAAGAAAATACAGTAGCTACATTTCTTCTTAACTATATTTTCCCCGGTGGAATGATGTATTAGTCTGATGCAATGTTTTGAGACCAGTATCAACGGTTTTAAGTGTATGACAAACGTTCAGAGGGTAAAAATTATCGGAACCAAAGCGTAGATTTTGAGCGTGATCAATGATCATATCTTTGAGTATGAAGATTACCTTCTTTAAAACTTTGATTAATAGTATATACTTACTTCTGTAACGTCTTTAGCTTTAACTTTGCTGTTGTTCTCTGTATTTTTATCTTTTCCGTTGTCCTGCCAAAAAAAATATAAGACACACAAAATTTAGCTTTCCTTTATGTAAAACAATTTTTATTCGGAAACATATCAAAATACTAACGATTTGTTATTTCCTTCGTAGCACGTCCTTCTAACGCGTCCCTCTAAGTATTCAACTACATCGATTCGATTTTTTACTAACGTACATCTCCTTAAATTACTACTTAAGTGTAATTTTTAATGAATATACATATATTAACTTACTGACAATATTTATTTTTGTTTTGTTTCAGGTATGTACCTTTCGATTGAACCGTGTATCAGTCCATGATCATAAAGATAAGTAAAGGCCTAAATTTTTTCTCCATTTTTTCTAATTTTCAGAGTACATCAGCAAAAAATCATCGTTTTTTGTTTTGGTATCACCCCGAGTTCATACTGTCGCCCGTTTTACTTCGCGTTCCTTTGTTCATCGGTATGTTACGTGCTACTGGGGCTTTATCAATGTCCTCCTTTGAGCCCCTCGTTTTGATTGTAGAAACCGAGCACTGACTGTCGTGTGCAAATTGTCACCTTTCTCCTTCAACTGCTAATTCTAAAATGTATTATTTATTTTTCTAAGATATAGTTACGTAAACATGCAAGAGATCATACTGCCTTGCCTAACTTGGACCAAATAAGTCCCTTTTCCCAATAGTTAAAGGTTAATCACTGAAACAAATTTAAGGAGTTACTTCGAATAGTACGGACAGTTTTACCTGGAAAAGACGACTTCTTAATACATTTTTTCGCTCTAACACCTTCTAATCCAATTTATTAAATTCATAATTTCTGGAGTTACATACTCTCTTCAGTGAGTCCGATGCCACTGTAAACAGAACTTGATTACACTTTTGCTGGTGGAAATACAACAACTTTAAGGAAAGACAGCAGTATGTGATATATCGTGCATGTTTGCATAATTATATTTCTGGAAAACAAAAATTAATTTTTATAATTAGTAGTGGAGGGAGAAAGGTGCCAATTTACACACGACATCACCACTCGGTATACCCAGACATGCGTCACATAAAATCCATGTCCGATTAGATTTCGTGGAATTCGCAAGAGCAGGGCAAAAAGATTACAATGTTGTCGGTTGCAAAGAGCATGAAGTGAAATGGACCAGGAAACCAGCGGCGCGGCGCAACCGGAAATAAAAGAAACGAGAGAGGGAATGTTGGAAAGAAACTCATGTAGCACAGTGCAATGAAAATATTGAGATAAAATTACGATTCATTGCAATTAAAATTGAAATTTCTTACGACAGAATCGCAATATTTTCTATCATTCGGTCAATAAATGCCAATTTTAAACAATCAACAAAGTGAGTTCCATGCGTCAAAAAAGTAGGCAATGTGCAGTGCAATAAAACTAGCAACTTATTTCAATTTTAATTGCGATAATTTTCAACAACATAACCCATATGCCTCCAGTCAGTAAGTATAGGCAACATACACAAAACTCCGATGCACCAGCAATAATTTGACGATGTAATTGCAATTTATTGCAATCTATGTTACTTGGGAATATCGGAATGGGTCGACCAAAGATCACTGAAAACTGTGCTTAGTATAAAATCTTCCTGCCCGTGTGTGACATGCAGGACTAACCTAACCTAACCTAACCCTAAGCTGATGGCGCAGCATGGAGGGGCTCTAGGTAACTCGATAGAATTGCCTGGTCATTCCCCTTACTTTCATGACCGAAATTGGAGTTTGGTGACCTTTGAACTTGGAGTGTAATCCCTTACTGATTGTTGCGGTGCGGCAAGGACGGCCAATAGGAAGACGGCGAAGAGAGAGATGAGGATGAAGGCCCGCATCTTCGCTTTGGGCGAGAGGAACCAACGTCAGATCTCGCGGTAGCACTGACTCTCTTTTAAGGCCCTAACACATTTCCGACGAAAAGCTCATCTCTGTTTTTAATGAGCTTGTTTTATGGGCACGGGTCCCAGCTCACTTCGTGTTTCGCTGAATTCGCCAAGAGGGAAGAGGGCTCTCAGGTTCGAATAGTGTTTGACGAATGAGGTGCAAGGGGAAGTGCACTTCCCTCCTTGTTTTGACCATGAAATTCGAGTCTCGATTTTGCCAAGTTTCCCGTGAAGAATACCCTAAAGAATTTTACGTTGAAACGAAGAGGAAAAAGAATCTTTGCTCTTACAATGCTCAAGGTGAATTTTCTATTTCCAACCCTCATCATGAGACATGACATAGTTTTCAGTTCAGACAACACAAGTTCTTAGTATTATGAACCGAACTTTGGTTCCCACGGAGAAATAAGAATGGTAACCTACCCTCATAATGCTTATACCTAGTAGATTTCAGGTCTAACTTGCTTCTCTATTAAAGTTAACGAATATCAACAATACTGCATCGTTATAGACACACAGAGGAACATCCTAACTACGACCAGAAAAGCAGGCTGGAAGCGGAATCCACCATAAGCATTGTAAGAGCAACGATGTTTTTTTTTCCTCCGTAGGTAACCAAAGTTTGAAGGTATTCTTCATCACGGGAAATTTCGCCATTTAAATCGAGGCTTGGTTTTTAAGATCAACAAATTTGGTTACCTGTGTTAAAACTTTGGCATGGCAAATATCTAAAAGATCTATCATTTTAATCAAAGTATTTTTCGTGAATCTTGATTTTGGAGATTGAATATTATTTATTTTAATGAGTGGCGAAATTGCGAAATTGATCGCTTTTTAGTGGTGCTTATACCACATCTACACTATGACGCCCTGTCTATGAAGAAATATTTGAGACTGATCTACCGTTTAAATAAGACTTGCCTTACACTGGCATCCCAGAGTATTTTCAGACTGACAGCAGATCAAAAGGTTATTTAACATGAGACCTAATGATAAGAACCATGCTCCACACAAAGAGTTTATTTCCTGTCTTTTAAATGGATAACATCCATACTTTGCCGGAAGCTTTGCACTGATTTGTCGCGACAGTCATTAAAACGACATCATCGCTCCGTGACAGGGAAAAGTGTGAACTCCGGCTATGAAGGGCAGTTGGCATTCATTCTGGTTTGGGGGATGTAGCAAGTGCTCCATCCATGAGTTACGCGTATAATCACTACGTTTTCTCTCCAAGAGCCTAGTTGTTGAAGAGTTCACAGAGCAGTCTGCGGGCTAATTTTTGAAATTGATAGCCAAAGCTGTGGACGAAGAAGACAACGGGAGAATGGCTCGATCTTATTGGTAGAATAGCCCCACAATAGACCTCTATCATTTTCCCCCGTAGAATCGCTCCATTTTCGTTTTGTCCTCTTTGTCTATGGCGTTGTTTATCGTTCTGTCTATCAACTTCAATGAACAACCTACTGATACCAGTCTGACTTTTTTAGTCGGGGGAAGGGAAATAAATGTTTCAAACTTATGTTATATTATTCCATTCATATTTATTCGTCCATGTATCTCTGTTTGTTTGTTCATTCCGTTTTGTCGCGGGATTTCTCAACGAGGATGAGCTTTGAAACCCGAAGTGAGCCGTCGGTTTGCCCCAGTTAGCCGTTCGATATGAGTATTCATTATTCCCCCTCTTTGTGGCCTTGAAAAACTTCTCAGCAACACACTTCGTTTTAGCGTTTCAGCCCAACGCGCTGACGAGCGCAGGGCCAAGCACTCCTGCTATGCCTGCTAAGGACAAGAACCTCGACTGAGTCTCGTTGTTCGCTTGCGCGTCCATCTCGTTGGCCTGATTGACAAATAAAAAGAAGAATCACAAAAAAACAGTAAACTCATTCGGATTCAGCGAATAGACCAATCGGTAGGGTCAAGGAGGGGTATCGATAAGGGCCTTTTTGCCGCCCCCCCTCTCCCCTAGAACCTGGAAATTAATGCGGATTTTCCAAGTTGACTCAGTGTAGTTTACGAAAATAATTGATTAATTAATAGGGATCTCCCGCTTTGTGGAAGTTTGTTTAGTATTTTTTGTATTAATTTAAATTAGTATGAATGTGACTGGATCCATGAAAAGGATCCTTTTCTTCCGCGGAGAAAATTTTGAGTGACTTTTTTCAAAAGCTTGAACTACATTTTCCTACAACCTGAGTATTTTTATCTTGGAACTTCAGGACTCTTATCTTCTTCAAGTTTTGAGCTTCCAGAGTCAAACTTGTGCCAAAACTTCCGGATTTTCTTCCTGCATGTATTTCTAAAAATGTAGAAACACGTTTTCCCGGAAGATGAGGGATTTCTCATGGATTTAGTCACAAATAAAGATTGTTGTTCACAGTTGGGTAATCAATACGTACGTTGTCAGGTTTTGCCGGTTTGGTTACATCCTTCCCCGAGCCCTGTAATTTTAATGAACAAAAACATTGTTAATATACGAGTAAAAGTATTGAAGAAAAAATGATAACGCACTAGCACATTGGCGACTTGCAAATTGGCAACACTGCTTTCCACCCATTGGAATCCATTGAAATCCATTGAAAATATCAATTTTTGGGTAGGCAAGCCGCCCGACCCAGAATCGATTGTTTTACATTAATTTAAATCAAGGCAAAACAGTGTCGCCAATTTTCAAGAGTCGCCTTTTCAAAAGCACTGTTTTTTCCTTTATGTACCCACAAAAAGTTAAGGGATATTTTTGCTTGGAAGATGCGTTTTTTTTTCATGAATTCGGTCACAAATAAAGATTGTTTATTTGCAATTGGGTAATCAATACTTTCGTCGCTAGATTTCATCGGTTTCGTTGGTGTGGTCTTAAAGTATTAGTCTGGAATATTTTATTTGAATTAAAAAATCCTATTTCAGACATAAAATAGAGGGCAACGCCTCCCGACAGCTTAGCGTCCCATTCATCCCAAGGGCTGCGCGTCTTGGGCGTGACGCGTTATGCGTTCTCACATGATTTTATATTACGGAGCATGATATGCACTGTGGAAAAAAAAAAAAATACGTTGGATCTAGAGTCCAGACTCTGTAAAACACCGACAAGAAAAAACACTCTTGATTCAATCAGATTTAAGCTTAAATCAAGAACCAAGCCTCTTAATTTGAGCGGATTTCCTTTTGATCCAAGCTTAAATCTGATTGAGTCAAGAGTCCTTTTTCTTGTCAATGTTTTCATGAGTCTGGGCTCTTGATACAATGAGTTTTTTTTTCCAGTGTGAAAATACAACTAAACGATGTTTCTTATATAAAAATTTTTTCTTACATTTTCATTTATCGAAAATTTGTTAACGTTATCATTCTTAAATAATTTTACTCGAATCCAATGAACTTAATTAATACATTCGTATGAATTCAGCATATTTGTTCGTAGTTCAGTAATAAAGACTTACGTCATCAGTCTTCTTAGGATTCCAGGTTGCAGGAAAGACAGTGTTCTTTCCCGTGTCCTGAAATATCAATCAAAATAAAATTACAATATCAGAGTAAATAGATTAAAACAATAATGGTGATTACAGCGTAAATGCAATGAAGTTAGGTCATCGTCGTTGCTTTTAGGTATTACCATGTAATGCTCCTCTGTATCGTTCGGCCAACATTTTTTGCGATGTCGGCTTTTGTTTTTAGAATTCTTGTCAATTTTATGAAAGTAGTTTTAAATTTATTTATTCATTTTGACAGCAAAAGCGTAGCTACGATACGCCTTACAGCCCGATAAAAATTTGAAATTTTGCAGTCAGCTAAATTAGTAATTCAGGAATCAAGACTTACGTCATTAGAATTTGCCGGTTTGGTCGTCTCCTTTCCTGTGTCCTGTAATTTCAAAGGAGAAAGTAATTATAATTAATACACAATTAGAAATGCTGTAAAAAAAAGAAAAATTAAGCACGCTAATACGTCCATTTTGAATTCAACAAAATTCAACGAAGTCACGTTGACGTATTGGTGTGCTTTTTTGTGATAGGTTATTCATTTTCCAAGCGGGTTTTCTCTGTGACCGTCATTATCTCACCTCAAATTTCGAAAATGAAATGAAAAAATGATGAACATTTATCATGGTGGAAAATTGCTGTAGAGGACCCATCAAGTCCATAAACGCCAAAATCAGACGTTTATATTGAACGATTGATTGATTTAATTCTTGAGAATCCAAATACTAATTTTTTGGCCTCAGGGCCAATCCATTGGGCCATAAGATGCTTAGGTGGGGATTCGAAAAAACAAATGTGAATCATGTGTGAATCAAGAAGTGCACGTAACTTTTGGACACGCCTCTTTAGTATTCGCGCTAAAAGTCCATCTTTTAGTTAAATAGTTTTTCAAGCTGCCATAGCGCATCCAGCGTGGCCGAGTGCCACCGAGCCCGGCTTTAGCCTCGGAGGTTAAAATTCTATTCCTTTCCGGGAGGAATGTTTTTTGTTTTTTTATTTTTTTTGTTCCTTTTTAACTGAAAAAGTATGGGCAACTATATTATTACTTCCTCCTGCCACTGAAAGAAGCGCCTTCCAACGGAATTGCGTTGGGACGTCTTTTTGTTAATTCTGATGCGTGCAATAAATTAAAGAATAGGTGCTAGTAATTTGATAATCAAGACTTACGTCATCAGATTTTCTCGGTTTGGTAGTCTCCTTTCCTGTGTCCTGTAATTTCAAAAAAAAAAGTAAAAGTAATTAATATACAATTATAAATACTGTAAATAAGAAAAAGTTAGTACGCTAACACGTCCATTTTCGCTACGACTCATTGAGAATCATTCATGCATTGAGTTTGCCCGCATAGGTAGGAATTTTTTTGTTTTTTTCCCCCTACTTTACGTTCTTGTAATTATAGATATGAAAACTTTATTTTCAAAACACAGAAGTGATGTATGAAATTTTATTGTAAAATTATAGTAGTTCAGTAATTAAGACCTACGTCATCAGATTTTCTCGGTTTGGTCGTATCCTTTCCTGTGTCCTGTAATTTCAAAGAAAAATGTAATAATAATTAATACACAGGTAAGAAAATTTTTAAAAAAGGAAACGGTATCATACTAACAGTTACATTTTCGTCGACACGTAATATCATCATTGCCTTCCTCTAAAGCTAAGATATACGCAGAATTCTTTCAGTAAATAAAAAATGCAGCATTTTTTCATTCTTTCTCTTCATCTTTCGCCCTTTTCACGAGTCAAATGTCAAGTTTTCAAGTCGCGTTGTAAAGTCAAACTACAATTAAAGTGTTGTGAAAATCGTGTATCCTTCTCCTAATCTAAAAACAAGCGGGAAGTTTTAATACTTAGATACGATTAACAATTATAAAGTTATATACGTGTAGTTGAAGAATGCTTGTCGTCGCTGATTCGCTATAAAATCAACGAGAAGACGTCTTGATTTGTCCGATACCGGAGAACGTGCCTTGCATGGTACATACACGGACTGCACGGACACGCGCAGCACGCCCACTGGCGCCTACAAACCTAACGGGATACTTCACGCATTGCGCAACGCGTGGAGTATCCCGTTAGGTTTGTAGGCGCAGCTGGGTGAGTTCAAATAAGCGTCTAATTTGGTGTCCCGACCTGTTTTAATCGTCATAATCTGAGAAACATAGGCAGATCAAATTTTTTTCTCATTTTCCACACTATTGTTGATTATTACATGCTATTTCCCACTTTATTTGGACTGAAATAAAAATTTAGGAGAACTTTGAATGTGCAAATTGCCTACATTTGTCCCAAATTTGCGTGTCCCCCGTGCCTGGTTCTTGACTTTAAATCGATGTTGCAGCATAACTAGAGTGATTATTTAAGAAAACTTTATCGGAGATGATAGGTAATGCTTTTGAATTTGAGAAAAAAAATATGTCAATTTATTTTTTGCTCCATCAATAACTTTTTCACGCGCTAGAATCATTGTCCCGAGCAACAGTCAGCAACAGCCAGGAGAGACGTGGCAACGATGTAATAAGCTCTAAATGATTGCCGTAACCTTGAGGTTTTTCCAAAAACGACTTTTTTTGTTTTGATTGAATAGTTCACACGTCGTAGATGGCAAAAATTCTAAAATTCGCATATTTTTGTGCAAGATTAACGCCATTAATGATGCCAAACAGAATGCTATACATGATAACTAACAGGGCGTCAAGCATACACACACACACTAATATCAGCTCGTAAAATACTTTCGAAGTGTGCGTTAGGGAAAATTTTCTCTAATTCCGATCCTCTAGGACGTGCTACTAAATATTCCGTGAAAAAAAACACCAAAATTGTCTTTACTGTTAGAGATAAGCTTAAAAAACAGCTTATTCCATCCTGTCCCGTTCCATCTTGTCCCGTTCCATCCTGTCCCATATGTTTCCATCCTGTCCCATGCTGTCCCAGTTTAGTGGGACAGAGTGGAAAACTGTTACAACTGAGACTTGCTTGTTTAAGCCCTGTAGGCGCTCTTTTCTACCGATTTAAGTGAAACTTGGTACCCGGGGGTATTTTTCAATGGGGAACTCGAATTTTCAGTCGAATTTTGAAAATTCGAAAATCCAAGATGGCGGACATAACCTTAAATGCTATCGCAGCGCCTAATCAACTGGGACTTGTTTGTTTAAGCCCTGTAGACGCTCTTTTCGACCGATTTAAGTGGAACTTGGTAGACGGAGGTATATTTTTCAATGAGGAACTCGAATTTTTAGTCGAATTTTCAAAATTCGAAAATCCAAGATGGCGGACATGGCCTAAAATGCTATCTCAGCGCCTAATCAATCGATTAACGCAAAACTTGGTACCCGGGGGGATTTTTGAATGGGAAACTCGAATTTTCAAAATTCGAAAATCCAAGATGGCGGACGTGGCCTAAAATGCTATCTCAGCACCTAATCAGTCGATTAAAGTGAAACTTGGTACCCGGGGGTACTTTTCAATGGGAAACTCGAATTTTAGTCAAATATCCGAGATTCGAAAATCTAAGATGGTGGCCGTGGCTTAAAACACTATCTCGGTGACTAATTAATTGATTTTAATGAAACTGGACCGGAAAATCTTGGTATAAGGAAAAGAAAGGAAATTTTAATAGGGGAGCAATAGGGTTTCCTATGTATCTTAGGCTAGGAAATCGAAATATTCCTGTGTTTTGTCCATTGTGCATAGATTCTCCCGGAAAATTGACTCTTCTGGAAAAGCTAGATTTTTAAGGAAAATTCCGATTTCTCCGGAAAAATTCCGAACTTTCCCAGGATAAATCGCATTGATAAAGGTAAATGGAGTTGTTCTTCAGAATCAGCGCCAAAAATCTACTCCGAAACCATTGGTAAATCTTCAGAAAATCAAAAATAAAAAAATACAAAAAAGTTGACCGCTGTAATTGTTATGTTAATGTAAGTCCTCAAACTTTTCCTGGCTTTATCACCACTTCAGCGGGTACACGCCCACTCGAAGTTTTAAAATTCGGTGTTTTTGATCCATTTTGTACTGCAATATTCCAAGAAATAAAAGCTTCTTCTCGTGTGAAACGAAAACAGTGCGCATTTTGATAAACAGACGGAACTGTCTAAAAGACAAGCGGAATAAGCTCCAGATATTTTTCATGACGGATGAATTTTTTCTTAATTTTTTTGGTTCTGCAAGATATGAAAGGGTTACATGTTTTCAATTATGCTTTAATTTTGTGCCCGACGATGATTTTATGACAATTGTGTTCAATTTTTAATTAAAAGTATTATATGTCACCTCTGAGATGAAAATTTAGGAAATCAGGCAAAATTACGGCAAATTTTGGGAAGTGATACACTTGACGGTGGAAATTCGGGTTTAAGCCCAACTATTAAGCTCGACGAGCTATATTTCCTAAGTCTACACCTAATGATGGTCAAAATAAAGTTTGGTTTGCCCAAAAATTCAGAAAAAAATTTTGGGAGGAAATAGAACCTGGAATTTGACCCTTATTTGAATTCACCCGCCTATGCGCGTGTTACGCTGGTTGCCTGCCGCGCCGCAACGCTTTAAGCAACTAGTAGTAGTAGTATGCATTTATTTTTGAGGTGGTTCCTGTCATTTAAATGAGAAGAAAAAAATGTGGACATAACATGTCCACAATTTGGACAATTTTGGACATATTCATGGTTGGACATTAAATCATGTGGACTTAATGTTTAGTGGACATAAATAGCGGTGGACATTTATTTAATGAACCAAAGGTAGGTGGACATAAAGTCCTGGAAGCCCTTGCATATCCTTTTCAACGCACGTACGTGATTTCATTAAAGGGCTTAACTGAAGTGGAATCAGAACTAGAATGAACTCGAACTTTCTGAGGAAAAATGTATACTTTTTCTAAAAGCTGGCATTTCTATTGGCAAAGTTCAAATGTTTGTGTGGCGTTTTTTCCTTGAATGGCAGCACTGGTATTGCATCTAATGGCAGTAGCAGATTCAAATTCAAGTTCAAAATAATCGACACAACCATTCAATTTGGCAATGACTTATGTGACTTCCTTTAATTCTGCCTAATGCAGCCCAAATAACATACTTATCAATTAGGGATGTTTGTTCGTAGTTTGGTAATGGAGACTTACGTCATTAGGTTCCGCCGGTTTGGTTGACTCCTTTCCCGCGTTCTATGGTTTAATTAAAATTAAAATGAAATATTAATGAAAAATATTGAAAAAATAAAGTATGACGCATACACAAGTGAGCATGTTCATTTTTGTCGGTCCCAAATGTCCGGCCTCCTGCCCTTCCCAATTTTTCAAAAACTGAAGAAAGCTAGACGAAAAACTAAAAAAGAATGTTTTATGGGATTTTTTTTTGTTCAAGGTGAAAAGGCTTGCAAGAGACTAAGCTCGACCTTTCTCCCCCTTCATAAAACTCCCTAAGGCGAGCTTAAATCTAACCTCCTCCCCCATTGAGTAGGTAACGTGTACTTGAACAATCATAAAATACCATCTTTTGTGCAAAATTTCCCAGAGAATATTCTTGAGAGCTAGCGAGAGGAAAATATTTTAAACAGAAGTTTCTACAAAAAACCTGATCACGATTTGTTTTTTGTTCATAAATTAAAATGTAGTGAGAGATTCGCGATGTCGCAGACTGACATACGCTGTTTGATATTTCTTCCATCGATGTAAATTTATTAAATTTCACTAAATCGTGAGAATCCCTATTTTTTGTAGGGGAAGGGGGTGTATATCAATAAGGCTAACTGAGATATTTGGTTTGGTATTTCCATCATCGATATAAATTAAAAAACTTACACGGAATAAACTATATAGTGCTGAGCACTAATTGTTTAGATCAAATAGAGCCATCTGATATGGCAGTACTGTTGAGACCTACAGTCTATAGGACTCGACCCCAAAGTTATAGTGCTTAGCGTTACTACCATACTAGCTGGCTCCATTTGATCTAAAAAGTCAGTGCTCAGCACTATATCATTTTTTCCGTGTAGTGTTGCCAACTCATGAGAATCCCCATTTTTTTTCAGGGAGCTTTAAGGAGCTATAGGGAGCTTTTTCTAGGGGTTATATCAATGGAGCTCACTAAGGAACGTGGTATAGTGTTTCCATCATTGGCTTTTCAACAAATGTTGCCAACTTGTAAGAATCCCCATTTTTGTAAGGGAGCTGGAGTATATATTTATCAATAGAGCTTACGTCATTGGCGGGGTGAGCGATGACGGCTGCGCCTAGGACGACCAGAAGGGCGAGGAGGGTGTAGGTGCGCATCTCGGCTGTTGATGGCGACACGCAACGTCAGCACTGAAACTCGAAAAGAACCCGTTTCACGCCGGTGCGATCGCATCATTACCGCGCCGAATTTAACGACGCGATTTTACTAGCTCGGAGGTGCCGACGAGATGAGAAATCTTGATTACGATCCCGGGGTGGATCCGAAACAAATGCGACTCCATCGCGAGTCTCGCCTGAGAAAAATTTTATTCGAAAGCTTTGACGAAAATACTCTGGGAACAGAGGCAAACAGGCTGTTTTTTTTCGACCAAGAAAAATGATAAGTGTCAAGAGGGAGGAAAGAGGGGGGTGTTACAGAATGCATATGTCGCAGGCAATAAGCAATCGCCGGCTAATTGCAATCCATTCGTGTTGAATTAACTAACAGTCACAGTCTCACAGCCTCGATTAATACTATAAAAGAGATTAAGATTAGAGGAGTACCCAAAGGAACTAAATGAGAAAAACATTTATTATTAAAGTTAAATCAACCCAAAATTAAAAAACCCAACCAAAAAGGAAATCCAAAACTAACAGAAAACACAAAATGTGCAGAACAAGAGAAAATATAAGCAAAAAAATAAGACAAAAAATGTAAAGTGAAAAAAGTAAAAACGAGATAGGAAGTAGTGATTATTATGCTTTGAATTCATACGTACGTTATCCTTTTCTTCTTGAATGCATGGTACCAGTTAGCACAAGTTCGTGAAATGTAATCAATAATCTGCGTTGGGTTTGGTTTGGTTGAGCAACTAAACTAACTCCTTTGCAAAGCGGAGAGTATCGCTGGATTTGAAGGCGTTCCAAGCTGAGGTCGGTCGTGCCTTAAATTTCTTCGCTAAAGAAACCTTTAATGTATAGATGTCAGTGTAATTGCGATTTGACGAATTGACAAGTACGGGGCTTGCAAATTGTCGGCGATTGCTGATTGCCTGCGACACATACTTATATCGGAATCTTTTCCTGAGAAAATGATGAGTAAAAAGACTCATTTTTTTCAGAAAAACCCGAGTCTTTTCAAGTGAAATTGAACACGAAAGTAATTTCAGAAACTTTCACAGCGGAAGAATTTCTATGTTCACCTACCAACTTTATTTTTATTTTAAATAAAAAAACCAAAAATAGGTACCTTGTATCAGAAAAGAAAGAAAATGTGTGTGAAACCAAGCTCCAGTCTTTTGCCCAACGTCTAGGCCAGAGTCAATGCCCTAACAGGTCAACGTTGCTAATGGTTTTTTCACGAGCGGGAACTTTGAACTTTTAATTTTTCATGTTACTATGAATTTGTATCTCTCCTTTAAAAGTTAATTTTGGAAGACCTCTTCGATGTGTTCAACGTGTATGACGTGATCTTTAAGGAGAAAACATGTGCTGCATCGCTTTGTTTTTACTACACGGAAAAAATTAAATTGCTGATTTAACAATTCAATCGCTAAAAAAATTGACTGCAATGCTTTAGTGTAGATTTTAGAACACAAAAATGCTACTTTAATCACCATCGTGGTTTAATTAGCTTAGCTTAGTGGTTAAAGTGGCATTTTTTTTGTCGTAAAATCTGCGTTGAAACGTTGCAGTCTTTTTTTTTTTTTTTATTGCGATTGAGTTGTTAAATCAGCAATCTAATTTTTTCCGTGTATGTCTAGTGTTCCTTTCAGATCACGGCTTTCGTTTCTTCTTGCTACTTCACCGGATTTCTGACCGAGTTTTTTTTTGTTTTGTTTTTGGCAGCCCCGCGGATGGACGAGACGGCGACGCAGCCTTTGCGCGTGATGGAGGGAGACGACGCTCTGCTCACGTGCGTGGTCCGTGACGTCCTGGACAACACGGTCTTGTGGAAGCTGGATGATAGGGAACGCCATAGCAAGCGAATTCTCACCGCCGGTGAGAATCGAGTCACCGCCGACACCCGCTTCGATGTTCTCCATGATCCCGGTAAGAATTCACACACTTTTAACCGATCAGTCGAAAATAATCCGTGGGTCAGTTGCGCTCAGAGACAAGAAACCCTCCACTGGCCCCTTGGCGACAGGTGGAAGCTTTTACTTTCAGGGATTCAACAATTCCTTATGGACAATTATGAGAGAGCAACAGTCATCACTCTAATTTCGGCTGTAGACCTACCTACATTGTGAATGATGAGCTTCGGATGTCGTCCACACTTCGGCTATTTTCGGCTTGTTTGCAAAACGAAACTGCCAACATACGTTGTTGAACAGCAACCATGTAGGTAAGTCAACAGTAGAATGCTGAAGTCCCGAAAGTAAAATCTTCCACTATGACTAAGGTACTAGCGAAGGGTCTCTTGTCTCTGGTTGTGCTAGTCACAGAATAGTGTTTGACTTCAGATCATACAACAGTAGAAAGTGATAAAAGTGTGAATCATATGCCAAGCAGATCATCGTGCATGACATTATGACGAAACAACCTATATTGACGGTGTTGCATATCTCGGTTACGGTGTTCAAAATCTTTGCTCACTGATGTCATTCATGAATATGGATCAAGTTTAATAGAAACGCACCAAGTCGCATTTTGGGAAAATGCGTTAGGTCTTGGAGTAGTTCCCTAGGAGTAGTAATCCTTTTAATTTCCGAAAAAGGAAAGTAAATTTACAACTAAAACTATCGGTTAATCACGTAAAGAAGGGGACCGTACTTGCTAACTGAGTGGATCAGCGGAGCTGCTTGCCGCTACTTGCGTGAGTGAGATGGCGCGCAAGCCAGCCTTCAATTGTGAGTGATACCGTGCAATACACAGGAGATCGAATAGTTGCGTCGCTCGCCTGTTCGACCTAACCCAGCGCTGGCGCAGCGTCCGACTGACTCCGAAGTGAAGCACCTGCTATCTGTATCTGATTGCTCATCCTACCGCTGTGTTGAGTCAACGCGACTTTACTACAAGGGATTTTTCTTGGAGACACAACCATCTTACTTAACACGTCAGTTTCGTTCTGAGCTGCATCAATGTAGAGGTTTTGGCAGCATTGAAAAATAGTTGAATCTTTTTTTTTTTTGCCTATTTTTCAGAAAATGTTTGTTTTTGATTGCAAAGTTTAGTGTTATTATTAAATTGAAAATAACTTTCGATTTAAAAAAAGAGGTCACTAACTTAAAACATATTTTCTTTCAACAAAAAACATCAGCCACCAATACTATTAAAATACATATAAGGTTTGCATTTAGATTCGATAAAATAGATTTTTAACCAGTTGTCGTCGTGCGGAAGCGTGGATCCATCCAAATTTACTCACTTAATCTCGAATAAATCGTGTCAAGGTATGGAAATCAGCCAACTGGTAACATAGAGAGATCATACAAATAGAAAACGCTGCTGCGAAATTGTAAGGAACTCAGCATTATACGATATTCACGCTGGGCCTTTCTAGAAAAAGTTCGTGTAACTAGGGAACGAATGTGCTTTAAATTTAGATGATTTAAGCTGAGAAGGGGTTACATTTGTTTTAAAAATCCCTAAATCTGCGTTGGATAGTAGCCGTTACAGAGAGTTTAGTGATAGTTGTATTCAAGAAAGTTTCTATGAGAGGATTGAGGATATTTAAGTGACTTCGGAATCACATTCGTATAAGCAGCCTTAAATTACATTGCTGTGAAGACATTATTCAAAACTCAATGTTGTTATTCCTCGTTTGCTTCGTTCGATCCCATGCTCGAGAAGGGAACAAGTTTTCTGTTGAAAGGTGTATTTCAAAACTACAGAGAGGTAGGATAACTCTGCTGTGCCAAGGAAAAACGCCATATGAACATTCTAGAGTTGCCAAATTTCTTTCGATAAAATGTTTATTTTTGAGGAAAGCAATGGATATTTTCCCTTGCAATTTCCAGGAACTTCAGGTGAAATTGCGAACAAAATTACCTGAGAAATAGGAAGAAAAATATTGACAAATTTACCCGGAAATTCGTGATTTTCTAGAGGAAATTTGACAACGCCTGGAGGCTCATACGGCGTTTCTCCTCAGCACGGCAGAACTGGACAAAGTACGTTGCGCCTCCACATTGAACGCTTTTCGTGCTGCCCTGGATTATTTTTTCAGTCCATAGCGTATTTTTCGAAGGAAGAAACAACAAATTCTCGCGACTCTCTCATCTGTGACATGCTTCAAACACACATTCTTTTGTCTTTGACCTTTTACCTCTCGCAGCTTGTCCCTGGGATCCGAATGCGGGACCAGTGACAGCGGGACTAGAGTCATTCTAATGTCTTCACACCTGAGTGGTTAACGGCTGCGAAATGTCTTTTTGTCGGACGGGTTAAACATGGAGATCCCGGGACTGAGGAGCGTCCCTCGCATCCCTCCGTGAGCTTGTGACTACTCTCCCGAGGGAGTGTGCGTCAACTGAGCAATTTTTTCCACTCGGTCGACATCGGGTCTTTGGGGAGTATCGGCGTCTTGTCGGGACAAATTGAATCTAGAATCTGCATTGCACCGTTGCCAGATTTAGCGTGTCAGCTGCTTTCGCGATTAATGTTTCAATTTTTCTACTAAAATTCAAGTACAGACGAGAGAACACTTCAAAGAAAAGGGAGTTTTAGCTCAAACTCAGGCTCTGGTCTTATTTTTGGTTGGCTTGAAGTATGCTCTTGTGTTCGCCAGAAATATATTTTAGGTGATTTGTTCAGAGCACCGGAAAGAAAGTCGCCTGTACCTAGAGTCTAGACTCTTAACAACACTGACAAGAAAACAAATTCTTGATTTAATCGAACTTTTTGCTTGAATCAAAATCAAATCCGCCTAAATCAAGAGAGGCTTGGATCTTCAATTCAAGGAAAAATTGGATTGAATCAATAGTATTTTTTCTTGTCAATGGTATTAAGAGTTTGGACTCCAGATCCAAGCGACTTCTTTTTCCAGTGAGGTTATGTTTTGCTCTAACCGGCATATGGTATGTCTTATCGATCACGTCAAATATCTTGGCGAACTTTGAATCTGAGGCCAAAATACCTCGCAGATTTATATTTTCACAGTCAATGTCTGCAAAGAAGGACAACGCTCTAAAAAAACTCCGACCGTAGAAGCCGTACTTACGGGCTTAATAGTCATGTCGTCCGCGTTCCGGGCTCAGAGGCCAAAAGTTTCGGGCGTAGCATCCGGAGTAATCGAAGTCATGGCTCCAGCCCTTGGAACTTTCGGCCTCTGAGCCCGGAACGAACGGTATGTCTGTTGGGCCCGTGACTCTTATTTCAGTGTAAGGAACATTTTTTCATGATTTTTCTTTACTCCATATGAACATCACATAAAAAGAATTTTAAAAAAATTGATGTAAATTAGTTTTTTAGTTTTTCTTTGGATAAAAATAGTACAACAGCGGAGACTTTGGAACGGCTTAAAGGACACACGTAATTAACCATATTCTCATCGATAAGGTGCAGTTGGTAATTATAGCGGTAAATGTATTGATTTCGCCTTGATCACGTCTTACCTCCAAAACCTACAATTCCGACAGTGGCCCATTCTGAAAGACAATACCACTATGTGCCGTGATTGTGAATATTTGTGGTTGAGAAGAGGAACATCATTAGTGCTGCCCAAAGGGGTCCTTCCGTAGATTTTTCCGGCGATAAAAGAAATGCTCTGAATATTGGCACTTTAAGAAGAGAAGAACCTTTAGAATATTCTCCCTCGATCCACCTCTGGTGGCTTCGAAAAAAAGTCGTGTCCGGATGAAGGACTTTCCAGTTTTATTAAAAACTCTCAAGACATGGCTTTGTTTGCCAGAGAGCGACCAGTATGGGTGACGAGTCGCCCCGAACCCCGATGCCATTTCGTCGAGAAATGACATTTTTGCCAAAATAGTGTGCGTTAACATTTGAGAGGATGAGAATTAAAGAGGCTCAATTTCATTGCAACGCCGGAAAATTCCGTCTTCTACTATTAATTTGTTTACTCAAGAGTGGTTCCACTTTCGTAAATAATGCTCGTGAATTATCTTTTTGAATCGAGGAAAAGTCCTTCAAAGTTTTGTTGTAAAACACGGACTCGTTAACGGAATAACGACGTAAAGTTGTTAAGTGAAACCTTGAAACATTTCATTGTAATTGCACTATATTTTGCAATGAAGTACTACTATTTTTGGCTCATATGCCTTCGTCACTTTTCGTATCCAGATAGGTGTTTTCTTTGGAGGCTGCAGTTCATTTAAACTTCTTTGACTCTCGTGTGTAATACTTTATGAACCATTTGACAGAATGAGACTCAAATTACTACAAAATATGTCATTTTATCCAAATTTCACTCAGAATACCTTGACATTATAGAAAAATGCCCATGTAGCAGTTAGTTAAAAGAACGCCTGATGAAAGGTTGACTCAGACTATCTCTAAGAGTATATAGGAATCGGCTCAAAATTGGCTCTAGCTCAGAGGCAGGTGAGCGAAAGAAATAGCTCCAGCTTGAGTCAGTCTCTGGCCCATTTTCCGTACTTTTAAGGTGACATTTTTGTAACGGTGCATATGCGCTGCCTCAACAAGTGACGCTCATTTGTGCACTTAGAAATGTATTTCGGCCATATTATTTTATTCCTTGAGACACGTACATGGAAATTTAAACTTGTACTCAGCATGGCAACACTGTTTGCGACGAAGTGGGTGTTTTAATAAAAAGCAAGGTTATGAAACCTCCATGGCTACTGGAGCACTGGACGGTGATAACGGAGCACGGGAAAACAAAATGAGGCCTCATAACCTACATTTCTGTTTTCTCGTCTTGAGCTTTTGACAATAAACAGAGTTACTACGAAGGGTTTGAAGCGAAATGTTCATCTGGAAAAAGTCATTTCGGATGCAGGAAACACATATACTCCCGATGAAAACGTATCAGAAAGGGAAAAAAATCGTGGTCAATTTTTACATGTCAAAAACTAAATCAACGATCTTTGCTCATTAGAAAATGAAAATCAGCCGATACGGTCATCAGGTTCATAGAATTCAGACGCATTTTTCGGGCTTCAAGCGGTTTCTTTTTGCAAGGGGTGCGGTATCGGTCAGTGGCGTGGCGTGAATTGCGATATATCGATTGATCTGTTATTTAAACCTATGGAAAAGGATCGATTAACAGGGCGTTTGCAGCGAACACCTTAATAATCGATTCTTTACCATGGGTTTAAATGGCAGAACAATCGATACATCGCAATTCACGCCATGCCACTGGTATCGGTCAGACGGCGCTTCGCGAAAGTCACGGTAGTTCAATTTAAAAAGAGGTATTTTTCTCTGTACGCCCGTTAAATCATTTGTGGAAAGGAATGTGGCGAATGATGCCCCTTCATTTTGTAAGTTATGCCGAATTCAATTCTCCCCAGGAGAGTCTCCTAATTTTCCCGCGGATGCAGCGTGGCAGCTTCCACCTGCGGCTATTTCATAAAGTTCGAGAACTCCAGAGAAAATACCCCCAACAAAGGGCCAAAATGAGAAGCGGTGTGGCGTATTCACGATGAATCGTTTGTTCTCCGTTTTAATCTATGAAAAAGAATCGATTTTTGGGGTGCACCTTAGTAATCGATTTTTACCACAGCTTCAAGTGGGAAAATATCGATAGTCGATGATTAACGCCTCGCCACTGAAAATGAGGTCATCAGCAAACATAACTCCGCTAAAAGGATAATCTTTTCGGGGTCCGACACGGACGCGATGCGAAGTTGGCTCATCCTCCAACCCCTCATCGGCGGACAGGTGGCGGGGTCAATGGNGGGGGGGGGGGTGATCGGGGGCATCGGACCGATCATCAATCTTCCGGACAGTGTTTGACATTGGAGTAACAATATACTGACAGCCAATTTCGGTCGCCTCTCCTTCCCTTCGTCGCACAACTGAAGCAGCTATTTCGAGAGGTCGGACAAGAATTTTTCACGATAACTGCAAATTTTGATGTTTATTTCTAGATTGCTTTTTCTATATCTATTATTCTAGATTGTAAGGGGTTTTTCGTAATGAAAATATCATGAGGAAACCTATGGAAACCCCTTTAAACCTCTTTGTTTCGTATTATCAAAGTTATTCGCTGTTGTTTCCTTATCGTGTGCAACCTCTCCTATAACTCACTCTACTGCGCGGCGCCGAGAAGATGGAAAAGTGAGATCATCAAACCCCGCTCGAATCGGCCGAAAAACCACTGTTTGTCACCGCGTTGTCGGATATCAACTGAATGAGCGTTGTCGAAAATGAAAATACTTGAGGTAAAAAAAATCGCGAGAGTTTTTGGAATTAGCGACGCGACGATGCCCATCTCAACTGGGCCTTCAGTTTTTATTAGTAGTATATACTCCTTCATTTTTTTTTTTTAAAAAAGGAAACTTTCTGAGGATGTTTCTTGAAATTGAACTACATTTTGCAATAAAAATTCACATGGAGAGGAAAATAATCAAAAAGTTTGGTTAATATGTGCAGTGAAACAAAGCAACCCGAGCTTTCGGTTGACTTTGGGTTCTCCCGGGTTTTCAATTGGTTTGGCGCTTAATTCAACGCAAACTGCACAGAAATCAGCACAAAATTTGGATTGATGTGTGTCGCACTTCCTAATTATCAACCAAAAGTAACGCAAGGCGCTAATATTTCTCTCGCCGAGTTGATTTTAGAGAGCATCATAGTGTCATTATCGTATTCCTCGGAAAATTTTACGCAGAAATAGATGATTGAATAGAGAACTCCCGATTCTTGCAAGATGTACTTTTTCGAATTTCTCGTAACCTTGAGTTTTCAATTTTTAGAATCACAATTATTTCATAATATTGATGAACCGTTCATTTTTTATTTGTTTCAGTAAAACCAAAGGACAAAAAAATCAAAGGTGAGTCTTTCTACGTCTTAATAAGGAAATCAAGAGTGAAAAATAGTCAAAATTAGTATTTTTATCAAAATAGATTGAGTTTATTGATAGTTAGTAATGGTTCCAAGATTGAGTAAATGGTGGTAAGTAATTGTAATCTTTTACATTTCTCGGCACTTGAGAAATTTTGAAATATTGCAAAGGTAAGATTGAAGTCGGATCCTGATAACAATAAAATGAGAAGAAACTTAGAAGAGAACTTCAATGGTTAAAATAATATTCTATGAAACTTGTTAAATCACTAAATAAAAAGTTTAAACCTGACAACGTAATTTTTTTCCAGGTAATGACGTTTGGGTTTTGGCCATAAAAAATGTCTCCGTCAGTGACGCTGGCATGTATGTCTGTGAGGTCAACAGTGAACCAGTCGTTCGCTCGTTTCATAAACTAATTGGTAAGTCAACACATAATTGTTTAAAAAGTAAAGTGGATTACATTCAAATTAAGTTAGTAGGGTAATTTAATGAGGAAAGTTATAAAAAATAATTTAAAAGTAAATTGGAATTAAGTTAAGAAGACCTAACTCGAGGTTAAAATGTTCAATATTAAAGACGAAGATAATTAATTTAATCATTTTATCAGAAGTAAAGTAGAAGTTATAAGTAGAATAATCGTAGAATGAAATAGAAAGCACTGGAAGAAAACCACATTGGATTTAGAGTCGAGACTCTTCAAAACATTGACAAGAAAAAGGACTCTTGATTCAATCAGATTTAGGCTTAAATCAAAAAGAAATCCGCTCAAATTAAGAGGCTTGGTTCTTGATTTAAGCTTAAGTCTGATTGAATCAAGAGTATTTTTTCTTGTCGATGTTTCTAAGAGTCTGGACTCTAGATCCAATGTGTTTTTTTTCCAGTGAGCCATAAAATAGTAGAATTTTGTAAATATTACATTCAAAAACTTTATTTATTTGATTGCTAATTTCGATTTTTATGAATGAGTTCGTATCGAATTATCAATTCTAGCTTTGGTGTTATTAAACTTGATCTTGTGGATCAGTCCTAGCAACAAAAATAAATTCAAGTGTTAATGTCATTTTCAGATGAAAATATATTGCCTTTGGTATATTATGGTATGATAGTAAATTGAATAATAATATGATGATAGTAATTTCAATTTTTATCATTAGAGACGGTAATTTAGACTGAAGAAGGTTGCGTAGGATTGTGCTCGGGGAAAAAATCGTCCTCAAAAGAGGCTCCCTTTGTGCTTGGCTTATTCATTTTCTTTTGTGCACACGTCATCCTCATTTCTCGCAGGAAGTAGTCGTGCTTTCCCTCTATCCGAGTTTCTTCAAGTAAAGTTCGAGTTCTCAAGATCTTCTCGCGTTATCAAAGTTATCACAAGGAGTCACCCCGAGGTCCTCGGAACTCGGGCTCTCGAGAGATTTTTTTATTTATTAACTTTTCCCGCATTCCGCAAGCCCCCCTCGAGCCTCCAAAATATCACGGCTTTTGATAATCTAAGTGAAAATACCTCGCCGAGAAGGGACTTCTCAGAATTGAAGAGCGAGACGAATGAACGAGGAGTTAAATTACATCGTTTGAGGATAATCGAAAGTGAATTATCCTGAGAGATGAGAAAATACTAATATCCCTCTTCACCCCCCTCCCCCCCAGGTGGGGTGCGTTGCCTTTTGCAAAAGCTTTTAAGCTTAAATATCACATGGTTAAATGGCAGATGGTTTAAATATCTTAAGTTCTTCTGCTAACACACGCTTTGTATTAAATTCATAGAGATTGACTCTTGGCTTTTCTTTATTCCAATCTTCATCAAGAAATAATTCTCAGAATTTGGTCAAACTTTATTGTTAAATTAGTTTTTTTAGCTTTGTTTTCGCCATCGAAATGAGTCATCGAGCGACTGTCGAGTGCCGATCGAAATTTCACCTGCTTAACATAAATCGCGAACCGAGTATCGAATAAATAGACTACATTTTGCACTTTGGAACTTCAATATCTGGCTCAGTTCAGAAACGACGTATGTACCATTAGTTTTCCTATGCACATGATCGTTTTTACGGATGGGCAAGAAGTTGTAGATCCTAATTGAAAAATGAAGTTCAAATGTCCTTTAACCGTGCTTGCTATTTATGTAACAAGGTGGTAAAGCAGAGCTGGGTCTGCTGCTGGGTCATTATTTTACGGGGAAGACAAGGCCAAAAGTTCTAAAATGTTCAATTAGAATAAAAAACGATTGAACTTTTGGCCTTGTTTCCCCCGCAAAATAATGTGGACTCAACGCTATTTTACCACCTTGTCACATTAAGTCCGGGCCACATTTCTGAGTGGTTTTTTCTTGTTCGCGATGTTAGCTAATCAGATTTTTGATCGGTAGCACTCAAAAATCGCATCGCCGCACAATGGAACGAGCTATTCGAAGAGGTGGGACATTCATTTTCTGGCTAAAATTTCATATATTGATGTTTATACATATAGCGACAAATTCAATTTCAATGGAAGTTTCTTAGAAGAAATCTCACGAGAAACCCAATAGAGACACTTTTGAACTTTTTTGTTTAATATTTGGACCGCGTTTAGCAGGAAGGAACAAAGCTACATCAGCTATTGCCAATTCTCTGGGAAAAAAGTTGCTTTGATCTAGAGTCCAGACTCTTAAAAACATTCACAAGAAAAATACTCTTGATTCAATCGGATTTTTGCTTAGATCGAGAACCAAGCCTCTTAATTTAAGCGGATTTCTTTTTGATTCAAGCAAAAATTCGATTGAATCAAGAGTATTTTTTCTTTTCATTGTTTTCAAGAGTCTGGACTCTAGATCCAAGCGACTTTTAAAGTTAACTGGACAGTATACTTTTTTACAAGAGAACGTCTTTGCTGATCATTTTGAAAATTTTAAGGAATTTGCTTCGTACTATGCAAAAAATTCACCGAAATTTTCACAAAAATCCGCTTAACCGTTTTCATGTAAAAAATTGAATTGCCCAATCCGATTTGGCAATGGCTGATGTGGCTTGGTTTCTTTCTGCTTAACGCGGTCCATTTTCGAAAATATAAACATTTCAAGTTTTCAGATTTTGTCCGACTTCTATTGACTCGGTCCAGTGTGCGCCGATCCATTTTTACCCTAAATCCGGCCCTTAGTGGTGTATTAAAATGAGTAATTTTGTGTTTTGTAGTGCTGTCGGCGCAACTGCAGCCGCCGCCGAAGAAGAACGGGACGTCGAGCGCGGGCCCTGGAAGCTCGTCGGTCGAGTCGGTGGATTCGTCGGAGGAGGAGGGCGACTACAGCGTGGAGGAGCCCTCGGGACCGGGTCTGGGGACCGGGACGAACGGGAAGAACCACAACTACACCGACTGCTGCGTCGCCGCCAACGTCACCCACTCCTGCCTCGGTTTCTGTAGCATCCAGAGCATCCTCGACGGCAACACTGGACAAGACCCCGAAAACTGCGAGGCGGACTTCCCCACCATCGTCAAGTGCATGGCAGGTCAGTTCAACGCCTCGTCCGGGGCCTTTCAAGTTGTTTCAAGTACCCGCCGAACCGTTTTGCTCGACTTTTTGTCACCCAATGCCCCCCTATTTTTAATGACACCCTTAACACGAAGTCACCGTTGGCGGATCAAGAAGGATCTAACTCGAGGTCGAAGGGGGCGTAGAACTCCCCCCCCCCCCCCCCCCCCCNCGGAAAAAGGAGGAATAGAAGGGGAAGGAAGAAAATAAGAAAACGCACATTTTTTTCAATTTTGGTTTTTTTTTTTACTCCAGGCACCTTTGGACGCCTAGAAATGATGAAATTACAACTTTCTTTTTTTTATGACAGAAATTTTGCTATCCGCGAGGGGAGCGAGATAGTGAAAATAGAGGAAAGAAGAAGGAAGGACCATCATATTCGATAATTATTCATGACAAAATTGACTCAACTCTCTCATCGAATTCTTTAATATTTCAAACATGTTTGGGGGGAAGCCTCCCGACCTACCCCCCTTTCGCCCCCTTTGAAGAATTCTGGATCCGCCAATGAACCTCTTCCCTTCCCATCACGAAACAAGCGGTGTTGCTGAACTAATTTTTCAACCCCGATTAGTGCGTTTATTTTGACACGACCCAAAGCATTTAACTCGTAATTTTGGTCTGGAAAAGTCCTCCAAGTTAAATAATCGTTTCCGATTTATATTTTCTTGAAGATAAAGGTTTAATAGGTAGCACACTCAAAGAATGAATATAAAATGCACAGCCCCTTTGTGTAACATAGAACCTAAGTTGGATGTATATTTATGCTGGAAGGAACTATGCGCACATGATTTGCGTCTTACATCGTTTCTTTTCGCTCTATTCATTTTCGCAGAGCCTCTTTAAGCATGAAGACGGCTTATTTTAAAAACGAAGAAGAGAGTTCGTTGACATTCACCGGAAAAAAAAGTCGCCTGGGTCCAGAGTCCAGACTCTTCACAACATTGACAAGAAAAAATACTCTTGATTCAATCCGATTTTTCCTTGAATCGAAGAGCCGAGTCTCTTGATTTAGGCAAATTTCCTTTTGACTCCAACAAAAAGTCCGATTGAATCAAGAGTATTTTTTCTTGTCAATGTTTTTAATAGTCTGGACTCTATTTCAAAGCGACTTTTTTTTTCCCAGTGTTGCAGTTTGTCCCAGCCCCTTGGGTCGGTGAACGACCCGCTTTGAAAGGGTTGAGAAATGGAATAAAGTTGGGTAAATTTTCTTCTCACGTCGCGTTTTGTGGCGTGTCGCGGGTAAAGTGGCTCGGGAGTACTGAAGCGTTGTTTTCTTTTGGCAGACGGACGGAATCACGTGCCGTGCTGCATGAAGGAGGGCGTGCCGGACATCTGCCAAGACGTCTGCCGGGGCGAGTACACCGTCATCACGGACAACATCAAGACCCACTTCTCCTGCTCCTCTTACACCGAGCAAACTCTCGCCTGCATCAGTCGAGGAATAGGTGAGCTCAATCCCACTCAAAATCAATTCAATATAAATTGAGAGGGCTGAATTTAATAAAAAAAAGAACCAAGTCTCTCTAAGGTATAGTCATAAGTAGTCATAGGTAGGTCATTGTTTTCCCTTGCGTAGCTCCTTTTCTCTAAGGAAACCCTCAGGGTGTCTACAAGTCCGGAAATAGTACTGATTTTTTAATAGCGGTCCGGAAGTACTAAAAAAGTGCGGAATCCCGGAAGAAGGTCCGGAATTTTACTCATTTTTGTCGCAATTTGAGCGAGAAATTCAAATTTCGTCAAATAGAGGTACTGAAAAAGTAATGCATTTTTCTGTTGAGGAGGTACTGAATTTCTTGGGTATGTACTGAGAAAGTACTGTTAAAGTACTGATTTTTGGCCAGCTTGTTAGTCAATCTGACCTGACATGGGTTTATATTGTGATTAAAAGCAGGTCTAAGAAATCCTTAAAATCATTAAAAGGACAATTTTAACTTGAATTGAGGAAAAGCCAACAATATTACTTTGAAAATATACTCTTGCAAAGGTTTACAATAGTTTACCGTTGGACGAAATAGAAAAGATAAAGGAAAAATTTCCCGGGCTTCGGGCATTTTAAGATAGGACCGTAAAAGTTGTTAAAAACTAACACTTTTCTCTTCTGTAATTCTTTTTTTTTCAGTGGCAAACCATTTTCTAAAGTTATACTGTTGAATTTTACTCGCGATGTGTTGTAATTGCCATTCCTGTGATGTATATGAAGGATCTCCTTAGACTTCCCTTATTAATCACTGTATAAACGACTTGGAGCTTCCTATGATGTCAATGAACACAGCTCTCAAAATTTTCCTATCGCAATACTCAATGTAAAAATTTGACTTTGAGTCTATATTTGGACACGGAAAACCTGAAAAATTCTGGGAATTTAGTCCAATCCAGAAAAGTTGAGGGAAAGCCAGGAAAACTCGCTGCGAAACCTCGGAATGATCTTTTCCAAACAACTCATTGCATTTAATCGAGTTCAAGACACTTTCGCACTGATGAAGTTTTTAATCAAAGAAACAATTTTTCTGAAACTTATTCCCACTGTCAACTTGATCAAAATACTTGTAAAGTATTTTTGAGTATCTAATAGTCCCGTTTTTTTTGTCCCGGCTATCAGAGCTGCTACCCGGATCTCCCCTGGAAGTATCGGTGGATCCGTTGACGGACAGTTCTGTCGACGTTCTGTGGAAGGCTCCCCAGTCCAACGGCCGCACCGTTATCCAGTATCTAGTCAACATCACGATGCTCAAGTCTTTCGACAACCGCTACGATGACGTCAGCAGGGCCATGACCCGGGTCAACGGCTCCGCCGCCACACCTGCACCCACCGCCACCCTTGCACACAGCGTTCTAGTCAAGGTAAGAACCAGTGACGTCATCCATCACATGTTCCTGTGAACCGTGGTTTCTCCCGCCTCATGCTTAACTTAACCTGAACTTACCCAACTTCACGTAACCTAACCTAACCAAACTTTACTTTATCTGACCTGACCTAACTTCACTGAACCAATCCTTCCCCGACCTGTACCCTGCCCATCTTTGACTTCACCTAGTTTAAACTTACCTAGCCTAGCCTAACCTCATCTTATCTCATTATTTGTAACCTGAACCCCTCCTGGAAACCTACTTTTTTGGTTCTACTTGTGAGGAATATGTTTTTTTATTTGTTGACACCGTGATCGTTGACATCATGCTCAGGGCCCATTTTGACTTTTTACTGCCTGTGCTCGACGTCAACAATCGTCGACTCCGCTATCAGATTTTGGGTTTGTTGACACCATGATCGTTGACACCATGCAACGTTACCGCGCGAAATTTCAATGACCTCGATGAATTGCGATTCGATTTGGAGGTGGCTTGCGTTTTTATCGACCGTAATTCATTATAGGAACTAAAAACTGCCTAATATTTCCGTTTATTGCAATAAAATTACTGAATAATTGCATAAGTATTATGTAGATTTTGTGCAACATTAGAGGGAGAAAAATCGCAATGTTTTGATAGGAATAAAAAATGAGGCTTTAATGACGGGGAAAAAAATCGAGGTTCAAACGCAATCAAATCGAGTGAGGATTCTCAAATGTTGACGATCCTAGTTAATTTTTCGAAATGAATCGGCACCAAAATAGCACCTTTTTCCCAACAAATCTGCATTTTTTTGGTTAAAAAATGCTGCTTGGGCGTTTTGCATCCGATGCAACCGAATTTTGCCGGGGAAAAAATCGAGCACAACATCTTAGAAAAGCGAGCGAATGGAAGAACCGAACTGCGTTTTAGCGTTTGTTTGTATTCCCCACGATCTGACCCAGCGGAAGAGAAGTCTCCCCAATGAAATTTTCAAGTCCTTTGTCACCCTCTCCCACCTTCGAAATTACCTTTAAGTGTGAAATATACTCGCCGTAAAATACGGCCCGGAGTTTCATTCCGTTCAACTTTCTTTAAGTGAAAATGGAATGCACAGCTGTAAATAAGGGAAACGGAAGAATACAAGGGAGGTAACCCCACTTGGGAGAAGCTGAAAGCCGGTCTGGTATTTGCAGTGTGCTTGACCGGCTTTAGGGCCGAGACTGTTTATTCGGCTGTGTTGCCGGATGAATCGATAAAACCAGATAAAATCCAGAGGAATTCTCAATGCAAAATGAGCCATTAGACGGATGAGTCGTTATAGAAATCCATTAAGTCCTTGTTGTTTATTAGCTCTGAGTTCCAGCAGAGTGCCAGCAGTCAGTGTAGTAAAGGACTAATCAGAGACACCGCTAGAAAACATTATGTTGCAGGGAGCATCAAACTTTTTCAGTTCAAGTAACCCAAGTTTTTCAGTCGTGAAAATTGAAGTTCGGTTTCTGTGACTGAAAACGTCGGTTGCCTTAATCTAGGAATTAGGTGTTCCGTTCGTATCAAACTTTTTTTCTCAATGTCATGTACTTAATTGGTTTTAACATCGTCAAATCCAGACAAGATGAACATCTAAGCACCACAAGACGTAGTTCCTCATCAATATTCCACGATGAACACGTTGATACACGCTGAAAATGTCAAAATTAATTTCTCAGAAAAACTCACGTTTTTACCGTAATATAGGTTTTAAACTTTCCGCCATCAAAATATCTAAAATCAACTCAAGTCAAATCTGTCATCGAAAAGAGAAAAAAACTAATACCTTCAGGAAATAATTGGTGTTAAGTTGCATAGGGATTTTTTCCCTTTTTTGGTATACTAGCTTTTACTTGAGTGGATTTAGGTTTTTTTGCAAGTGAAATTTTGAGCTTTCATAATAGAATACGATGATACTACGATGATGTCTAATTCTGTAAAGTCCCTTTATACGGAGAGGTGCATGAGACGTATCAGGTAATTGAACCGCTCATCGACGCAAAGATTACACATTTCGCAGGGTTTTCCGTTATTTTTCATTGACATTCCTACCCGTGTTCCGTGTTTTTCTCACTTCTTTCCTCATGCTGTTAGTTCCCTGATACATTCTTAATTCCACGGGTTCAAATCACTCATATCAGTTGTGCATCCATTGAAAATGTAATCTTCGTATCGAGTTTGGGCCAATAAGAAACGGAGAAATGGGAGCCAACCAGGAATGGGCTTTTCATATTCTAACTCTCCTTCTCTAAAGGAGCTAAAACTACTGCAGTGAGGGAAAATACGCATTTTACATTGTGGCATCACTGTAATGAAGATGACACGTTTTCAAAATAGCTCCTTAAATTGAAGTGCCTAAATTGCATACTTGAAAACATTTTGAATTTCGTTTTATCCCCGCAACAGCTTGTAGCATCAACCACCATCGCTGCTGAGCTTTTGTAGAGGGTGTGTCGGGTTAGTGCTACAACCTGCAACATCGTGCTAAGGGAAAACGCCATAAGAGCATTCGAGTGTTGCCAAATTTCTAGCAGTTAAATAATCATTTTCCCGAAAGAATAATTTGCATTGAGATTTTCAGGAATAATCTACAGAATAAGAATACAATTTTCTGGAAACTGGAGAAGAAAATGTTCGCAAGTTTTCGAGAAACTTAACATATTATCAGATGAAATCTGTCAACGTGTGAGTTTTCATGCGGTATTTTTCCCTAGTACAACAACATTGCCTTTAAGTTAAGGATCAGGGTGGGTGTGAGATAGTGTTTCGGTGCAGTTTTGCAACCCCTAACCGCGTTATGACCGCACGCTTATCGGTTTCGACTGGAATCTGGCGCGACCCCAGAGCCAAGACCCTGACTCCGTCGGCGAAAATTTAGTGCGAGGAATTTCCTCATCATCGAACCCTTCCCCTCCCCTCCAATGGCATTCGACCCGCCCCAAATTTGGTATCGATTCATCTTCACATTCACCGTGGATGAAATTCGTACGGTCTCGACTGAAAAATATGTATTCGTAACAGTCCTCAGGATAAAAGACCTAAGTCCAGGATTGCACATTTTCCAGAGCATCGATTTGTATCAAGTCTGGTTGAAGAATCGAAATTTGAGTTTTCTACGGAAAACATTCCCGAAGAATACATTGCTAGTGGTCTGATTTATTTGTGACATCAACTTGATGAATGCGGTCCAATGTCAAAACTCCTTGATGCATCGATTATTCATGTTAAAGAAATGCCTCGAGTACATTCTCGAAAAATTAAAGGCGTTCATATGTATCTGCAATAATTACGATCCACGCGAGGCCTTACCACAGCACAGCGCCTAGATGCAACTATTCGTGCTCAAGGGATGTCCATGTTGCATACTCCAAAATTGAAGGCGTTCAGGTTATTTGTGCAATAATCACGATCCGCGCGAAGCCTTACTACAGCTCAGCGCCTAGATGCAACTATTTGTACTCAAGGGATGTCCATGTTGCATACTCCAAAATTGAAGGTGTCTTAGGTGTTCGTGCTCTATCAAAGATGTACATAGCAAATGTACACGCACGCTTGCATCGCGCATTACCATCGTCAGAATGCAATTGACTAATTTTACTTAAAAGAAACCCGTATCGCAAATCCAAAACTTTGAAGGCGTTTCAGTTAGCGCATTTTCACAACGATGCAAATGCTACATTGCACGCAATGCGACAATGTTCATGAAAGTGTACATGTGTTGTCTTCGTAACCGTGCGCGTGTGAGAGCATCTCAGTGCACCGTTGCATATTTTTACCAAATTGAGGAAAACAAAAATTGGTGTTTCAACGATTAACGCTGTTCTTTCTCAAAGAATAAGATACGAACGGCTCGGTTCATTTTTATTCAAATGTAGGGATAACATCTAATTTTATGTATTCTCCTTATAATAATGAAAATCGGTCGGAATTCGTCAATTTCTTTAAAAAAAAATGCCGATGGAGAGGAGATAGGTAGGTCAGCGGACCGATTATTGAAGCTTAGTGTTTGTTGGGCGGACATAGATGACATGAGTTAAATGGCGAGGCGTGATTGGTCGGCTATGTCTTATCGCTGCTTTGTCGTGCCTTTGTCAGGTGGAATGGACGACATACTGTCGGAAGCTTAAAATGTACCGATAGCTTGTCGTGAGTTCAACCCGACATGGGCACGACAAAGCAGCGATAAGACAAGACATAGCCGACCAATCACGCTCCGCCTTTTAACCTATGTCATCTATATCCGCCTGACAAACACAAAATTTCAATAATCGGCCCGCTGGCCCTTAAAAGGTGCACCATTGCATTTGCGTCCGAAAATCCATAGCGCCTTCAATTTTTGAGTCTGCAACATGGACATCCTTTGAGCAAGAATAGTTGCATCCAGGCGCCGTGCTGTAGTGACGCCTCTCGCGGTTTTACCTACAGCACCTAATTTAATTCTGACCATTTCTGATAATTTCCGAATAAGTCTTTGGATTGCTTCGTCTTTAAAATGAGTTTTCCAATAAAATACTTCAAACCTTCCCCAACCTGGTTTGCTGTAACATTTCTGAGCACTTTTTGTGCGGGGAAACATCCAGTTCAGGAATTATTTAAGGTCTTTAAATATATTTCCACTCCCGTGAAATTTCCTGAAAAAGTCTTCTAAAGTCCTTAAATTTTTTTTTTTGAGCATTCTCAATGCTTAACTTGAAATGTCTTTGTAAGTTCTCGAGTTCGGCTTTAAAAAACTGCCACGAGCTTTGTACTAAGTCGTTAACCTGGGGTAGCTCGCATCACTTTATTATGTTCTTTCGAACATATCTTCTGCGTCAATGCGTCTTTTTGATATGAAACGAGATGAAAATATCGAGACTACGCCAAGTGAAAACCGCCTTCCTCGCGTGGAGCTCGTCAACCATAAATCTTTATCTAAAACCAAAGCGAGCATCGAACGAGTCGGAACATCTGAAAAGCAATAAAGTTTGCAACAATAACGTTTGCCAAAACCGTTTTGCATATTCTATCGATTTCGGGACCTTGTTGCCTGGCGGCACACTCTCTCTAGCGACTTTGTATCGGGCAAGATTCTGCACTAAGAGTCTCCGTTGAAGTAATTCCTAACTTAAATTGTGTAAAAATCGCTTTGACTGCTGAGTTACCTTTGGAGCACGTTTACGTAGCCATAAACATGCATTCGTTTGAGTATCAGCCTATTTGTCTGTACTGTGTTGTTTTGCCTCTGCTCCGAAGGATTTTAACGATTTTATCCGCAATCGAGGATTTTTATCATTTGCACGTACTCTTGGAATCGTGGAAAAAATATTAAATTTTTTTTATTTAATTTGTTTACTTATTTATTTTGCTTCAAGGCAAAAATTGGAATCTGCTGATTATTTCTAATTTATTTCTTTTCTAGAATAAAAGATTATATTTCTTTAGATACTTTTTAGATTTCTTGAGATTTTATTTCTTCTCTACGCAGTTTATTTTAGCGGCTCTGGTGCTTGCACTAGAGCTGCTATTCCGGACGGTCCCAGCTGGGGAGTATCATTGGACCATGTTACATTGGAGAGACCGCGCGTTGGTTGATGGGAATCGGCGCCATTTTCTGCTGTTTAGGGGGGACTGATTTTATTTTAATTGATATCTTTTTCCTGTGAGCGAATGCTATGTTGTGTAGTGTATTTTTGGAATCATGGTGATACTGTCAATAATTCAAAACGGGTCTGTGCTTTAATCTCGCACTGGAAAAAATGTACTTTACGTTTAAAATTTGAAAATTCAAATCTATAAGTTTTCGCGCTTTTTTCGAAGAATGCCGTGGTTGGAGCTTCCTAGTCATACTACTCGACATCAGCTGATAGCAAACAAAGGTTACCAAGGAAACCGTAAACGCGTAACAACTATCGTCGCCAGAGCCGCTTTCCGACGCGAATGCGTTGGAGCTTCCTGCTTGTTTTTTTCATTGAAAACAGAGGAAACAATTTTTGAAAAAAAAAAAGAAAAAAAAAATCCAAACTTTTTTGAAAGCCTGAATATTATTCCCACTCCGGTCCTCTCTCCCAAGCTAAAAGCGCTGTTAATGTTGACTGAAACCATTTTGACAAGTTGTCCTTGTATCATATTGACTTATTTGTATATTTAATTTTATTTCCCATCCACCTTGCATTCTGATGAATCTAAACGTCTTCGTAAAATGCAGTCAAGCATACCTTCAATATAAAATATATATTGAAGGTTTTAATTTTGCATCGCAAGAACTTTCTGAAGAGAATATTACGTCAAACGTTTCAGAATTTAAAAAAGAAAAAAAAATTATTCACAAAGTCTCTTCTAGAGCCCATAAAAACTAGTACGACATTCAATATTTTTTCGCGTTAGAATGTTTCCCAAGGAAACGAATCTTAGTGCGCCTAAAACATAATCTTGAAGCCCGAATAATTATCGCAGTTTCACGCGCACTCTGACAGATACGCCGCCAGTTGCAAGCCCCGGGAACGTTTTGTCGCACAAGGCTCGGAGTGTTTCAATGTGTTATTTAGAAAGTGTGCCGCACATAAAAAAGCGAGGAAAATGAGACATAAACAAACCTCGAAAAGAAGGCGGTCTCCACGCTGGTGCCTGAGGGGTTCTTATCCTCAATTTTCACACTTAGCAGCGGAAGTAAACATGAGAGATTTTATTGCGGTTTCTCGGTCGTCGCACACTGTCGCCAGTTTTAGTGTCGTGGTTGACTCGTGCAGGCTACTGGGTTATTTGTCATTTTTAGCGCGAAAAGTGGCTGTGTACAAGGAAGGAAAAATGAATAGGAGAAGAAAAATATGAGCTTTTTCAAAGAGTGCCTCTCGTAATAACCAGCTTTTATCCCGGGTTTTAGCCCCACTAAAAACTAACGGGGATATGATTTTAGCGGATTTGTACATGAATTCATTACTAGGATCAGAATTATTTCTCGTGGAAAAATGATCTATATTTACTCATTTAATAGAAGTAGATAGGTCGTTTTGAAGACCGAAACACTACTTCACCAGCTAATGTTAGGCAGAATCCTACATTGATTTTCACGAGGACCGTTGTACGCAAATCGGCAACCAACAATCAAGCATCGTATTCTTTCAGTTACGTCATGTTTTTTGCTGGAATTACTCTTGAGTAGTTGCAGATAGAAAACTCAGTTCCTTATAAGGGTATAATTTCGACCGTTTACACGGAGAAAAAAACTTCGTGCTTGAGACCTGAAGTTGAGGTCGTATGGATCTCTGAAGTTTTCGGATCAATAATGATCGTTTTTCAAAATGTCCGCTCCTTTTTTATTTTTTTGAAGAGACAGAAGCTAAAATAACCTGACAGAATATTCTGTTCACGGAGAAGAAAATCAAGGAAGGTCTAAAAAAAATTCCTCGACTAGTTTTACGGAAAAATGAAGTGTGACAGGAATTCTGTAACGTTGCAAACGGAAATACGTGGTTTCGTATTTTGGCCATCTGTATATTTTGTGTGTCGCAAGAGGTGGTTTTAAAATTTCCAAGGAAACACCCAGATCCGTAGAAACGTTTTGCCCAACAAAACTGCACATGAAAAATTTGAAAGAAATTTGCTAGAGCTCAGTGAAACTAGAAAAATTATTGAACGGCACATTTCCTACGTTGTTTGGCCATCGATATATGTGGAAAAGGATTTTTTTTAATAATGCCACTGAACCCAAGACAATATCATTTGAATTGCAGGTGAACAAAACTGACACGTCGGTGACGGTCCACGATCTGGTGCCCTACACGATGTACGAGGTCACAGTGACGGCCAAGAACATCCACGGAACAAGTCTGCCCTCGTACGCGGTGCGATTCTTGACGCTGAGCGCCGGAACCGTCAAGAACAAGACCGCTGTCAAAACGCCCGAACTCCCGGACATCAAATCTTGTTGCTTCAATGCCGGCGTCCGTCACAAGGCGTAAGTTCCTCTCCACCTTTTTTTGTCACAGACATAAATCTTGTTGATAGAATACCGTTCAGATTTAAGATGCTGGATTAGATCTGCGAATTTGAGGAAGATTTTCGGTTCTTTTGATCGCCAGTTGAAGAGTTTGCCCGTAGAGAGGCGTCTTTGAAAAATATTTGTTTTTGAGCAAAACTGATTTGAAGCTTTGATAGAGTGGCTTTGCACATTGTTGCCTTTAATTCGGCAAAGGTGTGTCAGATCAATACAAAAACATATCAACACATCGGTACGTTGGTATGTTACCAAAGAGATGCTGATGCTGTGTTATTAATTTTCTTTTTATAAAAAAGACATGATTTTTTTCCTGGTTATATTCTGTTAGGATATCCATTTATATACGTTATTTAGTGTACTATGACATGAGGGCCTTAGGCACATCCATTCTCTAGGCTTTTCAAATTTTCAAGGATTAAGGCCGAGTGAAGTCTGTTCCACTAAGCAGAATCCACTCGCCAATTTCGCGGAAATGTGTCGTCACTATCGGGGTTCGAACCCAAGACCTATTGACCCAGAGTCAGACGTTCAACCTGGCCGTCTCATACCAATCTGACAAGATGACCTAAAGGGTAAACTCGCAATAGGTCAGTTGATAATTTCAGGATTAAAAGTCATTTTTTTAACACATCCTGTGCTACGAGAAATTGATCCAATATTACTTATTTTCTTGGGATCAGGTGCCTAGACAAGCTGTGCGACCCATCGGAATCAGGAACAGCGGAGGTGACGGACCTGATGATCTGCGCGCCGTGGGCTTCAGCCACGTTCGGGTGCATGGCCAACGGGATCGACCACAGACCCTGCTGCAGGGCCAGGGGCCTCCCCCCTCAGTGCCAACAGCTCTGTTCTGGCAACCTCACTCAGATCGATTTCAGTTTCTTCAAGTAAGTCTTCCAGCATTTATTATACAACATTTACTTCTCAATTCAGGTGTAAATAAACCAGCAATGCAGGTTTAAAAAAATGGTGAAGAATAGACCGAACGAACGTATCCCTAAATGGATTCCACTTGTGCTAGGACATTCCCCCTTTCCCCGTACGGATGAATCCCCGCGGATTTTGCCCTGAAGAAAATTTACGTACTTTAAAAGTTACAAATTCGAGATTCGTCCCAATTAATGTCCTCGTGGGAAATGTTCGAACTTTCGACTCCCTTATTTCAAATTCTCAATCAACATGAGATAGTAAATCGCCGAGGGCAGTAGGAAAAACGAATACAAAGACACCACCGAAAAAATATTGCAGAGGGTTGTCCCTTAAAATTGTGGCACTACCTCAATTTGTTGGATGATATAGGCATTTCCAATTAATTGTGGTAGCACCGCCACTCAAAGTGGGGAAGTTCAGCAACATTTGGATCAGTAACCTAATTCATTAGGGTACTTCCGCAGGATAAATAGGAAATATCCATAGCAACGAACAACCCCTTGTTCTTTCTTTACGGTGACGTGTAAAAAAACAGAACGAAAATCCCTCCTCTTGAAAACGACATCGGGAATCGGACCATCCGATATGTGCTTCTTTTGAGACTTCCATGAATTTCCCAACTTTCGTCAGTCTTCGAGCTTTACCTCAACCGAATCCATGGAGACGATATCCGGGCTATAACGCTGAATTCGTGCTTTCACTTTCACCGAACGAAGCTCAACTCGAACGCATTCATCCGGTTTCACGGACCAACAGGGGAACGGCGCGTAGTGGATCGAGTCAATGAGAGAGGTCGGACATGATTTAAACACTTTAAAGCGCATAGCTACATCAATATGAATATGAAATGGGTTTTAAAAGGGTTCTATTGGTTTTCTCGTCAAATTTTCCACTAAAAAGACCCCTTAAAATTTAAAATTTGACGAAATAAACATCGAAGTTTGCAGTTTTAGTCCAAAAAAACATCTTTTCTGTTGGCTCGCTTCACTGTGCGACGGTACCGCGGGAGGAGGGATTAACTCTGTTGATGTTCGGCTCGTCTCTTGCCCCTATCAAAGGGGTTTCGGAAACAAAAGGCCCGCTCACAAAACGGCGGGAAAAGGGCCGACGAGCATTTTTTTCGCCGCGCGCGGGAGAGGAGCTTCAATCACGCATTGTTCAATCTTGAGCGCGTAAATATTTGAAGTAGGGTGGCGCGGCATGCGTGCTTTTTAGAGGACGATAAAAATTTAACACCCTCCCGCTCGCGCGCGCGAGCCTTTTAAACGCTTGACTGATGTCCGCGTCAAAAAAACGCTCCTCAGTTTTATTATTCATGGATTCCCGGGGATTATCGATTTTTGTCATACTGTCAAGTCGCTCGCACGTATGTCTTTTACTTTTTCCTCGTCCCCCCCCCCCCCCCCCCTAAGAGAAAAAATTACATATCGACGGTGAAACCCCCAAACCACGTATCTCGTTTGTTATGTTTAAAAATCTGCGCTCTTATTTTGACGAATCAACGTTATTTCTCAATGTTTTCTCAGAATTTACTTCTCGCAGAAAGAAATCTTACATAAATTTTTTCTCGTTTTTATCTTTTATTAATAAGGTGACGAAATGGTATTAAACGTTGTCACATTGAATTTACAGAACAATTATAATTTGCTACCTGAAGGTAGATATTTTCAAGAACAGGCGTTGAGTAGTTATTGCTTAATAAGTAAAGTATTCCAGAAATTTTGCAACGTCGCAAACCAAAATACGTGGTTCAGAAGTTTCACCGTGGATGTATATACCTATCTCTTTGATATTGTTGCTCACGAGTCTATACTAGGAAGCCAATTGTTGAGACTATATCCGGCCAGATATGGTTTCACCTCTATGTTTACCGTGTATGTAATCTTCCGATTTTTGATTTCTTACAGTCCTGACAAAAATTTCAATAAGCAGCCCTTAAGATGATTCTAACTTATCTGCGAAGAGTTGACTCTTGAAGAGTTTTTGCGGCATAACATGTTTTTTGAAATAGCTTGACTTAACCGAAAAAAATAGTACGCTACCATAGCATCATGGAGTCATGGGCAACATAAATGCCAATTTCGCCACCCACACAGCTTTCACATCCTCGAAATGCAGAATGAATCATGTTTAATTAATTAATTGGATGTCATTGACTAGAATTAGCCTGACTACTTCATGGCAGTACCCCAAAGCCAAAAGGATCCTAACTCCAGTGTTTGGAAAAATCGAGTCAGTGGCGTTTTCGGAATCTTCGTTAACGCCTCCATGTGTGTGGTTTTGGTAGTCCTTTCTTGCGGCGGTTATGAGGTACGGAGTTTCAAAAATTTCGATTTATTTTGGAATCAATGAGACCAACGCGTGATTTTCCCCTGATATCTCGAAAGGACAAAAATAGAGTCAGATACCTCTTGGCTCCGGGGCACTAATATGTTACCTAAATTCCTCTCGTGTGAAATCTTTTTCACAGGAAAACTATGAAACAACATTCTGAATTGAAATTTTGTGAGTATATTATTCATTATTCAGAAAAAAAACGGAATGTTTCAAGGAGTCATGTTGCTTTAGTTTTCTATCAAGAAATACAGCACGGTAGGAAACTTAGCAACATAAAGTGTAAATGGACCGACTTTGGTTAAACCAGTTTAATAATTTTATGCATTACTCTCAACAACTAATGCCCAAGCCGTGAGTGAGCAGTTTCTCTGCATTAGATTGATGAAAACCAGCGCGCCTTCAATTTTACCACGTAACGCGTGGATGCAACTTAACCTGCTCGACGACAGTCAATATTGCCTACGCGTTGATTTGAAGGCGCTTTGGTTTTCCCGTCTACATTCATGCGTAGCGTTTCTCTCTGTGGCCGCGATGAATTTCTCACTGATTATTCCTGTCCGCAGGTGCCTGAAATACATGGGAGATTACACGAGCTGCTTAATGCAGGGCTACGGGGTCTTGCCCTCGTCCCCGCAAAGGGTCAAGGTCTCCAACGTCGACACGTCATTTGCCATCGTCTCATGGAACCCGCCCAAGAAACTCTCCGAGACCGTCAAACATTACAACGTCTACTACGGCAAGGTCGATGAGGACTACGAAGTTGCTACAAAGGTAACCAATTTAGTTCGTGTTTAATATTTTAAATGATAAATGTCTACCGAAACGATACTTTTGATACAGCAACTTCAAATTCAATATTTCTGAAAGAAAAAAAAAACTTAAATGGAAATAATGAAATGCTTGATTGTTGGCCTTTCGGACAAAGCCATCATGATGTCCTGATGATTGAATCTGTATGGCATCATAATGGGTATCGTTACCAATAAAGCACATAATTCTTACTTTGGGAAGTACCCATTTTATGTGTGGAGGCGCGAGTTACTGCGAGAAACTTCGAAAAAATGTGAGAAATTGCCGGTGAACCACGAAAGGGAGGAGAGGCAAAAAGGAATAAATATGATGGCAATAATAAAATATGTTGCAAAATAAAAATATATGTTTTTGAGAAGAGCCAACTACGTTGAACTTGCGAAAACTGCACTTTAATTCACCTTACCAAACCTTTGCTTCTGAACGCTGGATAAATAAAGTGAGTCTCAAATTTCTTCACGTAAATCGCATATTGTAATGCAAGAAACAATCTAACTTTTCAAATTTTTACACGAAGGATGAAAATAATGCAATTGGTGGTGTTGCAAGGACGCTAGTGCGGAGAAAGTCAGCCTTCAGCCTTCAGTCTTCATTTTTTTTCATGTTATGCTTGGATGCAACTAATCCAGCTTGATGACAATCTGTATTGCCTATGTATTAAAATGAAGGCGTTTTGGCTTCCCTCGAGTTAATGCAAAGCATTGCCGCTTGTGATACATGGTATTTTTGACTACCCGCACTAGGCTTTTTTCTCGGTTGTTTTAGGTCACACGAAGCCAGGGACCGAGGGATTGATTAGGAAATCGACTACAAGAAATCCGAATTTCATGGCCCTGAACAACAATCAGCGCCTCTTGGGGGTAAAAGGGGGTCATCATCCTAAAAGTCGAAATTTCCGACCGAATTGCCTTTCATTCACTATGAAATTCAGATTTCTTGGTATCAATTACTGAGGTGTGCACCTTTTTTCGGAGAATCTACATCACTTTTGCGACCGAAGAGCAAGCCTTTCGTAAAGGGCACACCCTCCCCCCCCCCTCTTTCTGTACGGACTTACTTTTGAGACAAGAGTGGGCCGATTTTAGATTTTTAAACGTCAATTTGAAGTGAACTGTTTCGTACACTTCTATTCTGATAAAATTGAAGCGCTACTCTCAGGAACCGCAACTCTGATATTCACGATCTCTCCTTCTATCCTAGAGGGGGTGGGGGGGCTGGGTAGATTTCGGGACCGCGAAATTCGGAATCCTTGGGATCGATTCCCTTTGCCACTCCGCTGCCCCTGACTTCGTAAAAGAACCGAGAAAAAAGCTTGGTACGGGTGGTCTAATGCCGACTCACAGTTAGCGCGCGACCAGAGGACTCCCCGCTAATTTGAAAATTGGCGCGTCAATTTGTATATTTTGCCAAGCGCGCCACTGGAATTGGCGGGAACCAATGGGAGTGTAGTTTCGATTTGTTTACATTCGCGATGATAACAAGATGTGAACAAACGTGGCGCGTGGTTTTCCATCTTCTCGCGATTATTCAAAGTCGCTCTAGATTTTGATTTATTGTATATCAGCGAAGTAGTTTTTATCTATCTATCTGAACCACATCCCTCCAAAGAATATTCATTTTCGTATTCCCTCGATCAATCTCCATGTTTCCAAGTCAAAACCTCACGATGTGCTCACTAAGTATCCGTAAGTTCTCATCACTTAAAGTTAACTTTTTCCTCCTTGTAGTTTCACCAGCATTGAACTGTTCGAATTAACTAAGGCTTTAAAATCCCAGGAAGCCTCAAATTTTCCATTTTGGCTTTTTAATCAATTTACTGCGTATTTATCATCCGGGAAAAGTACACTTGTCCTGTTGTCAACCTACTTCAAATGACTTTTCATGTCAGTGTCTCACCAGTTGTTCTCCCAGTGATCAACTGGAGAGAACTTTCCTTTCACCCTGGGCCGTTTAATCAATGTAAAATCTCAAAAAATCTCGATCGCTAGTGAGATTTTCCTCTGTTCTCTTGTAAAAAATCGCTTGAAAGAGCGATTTTTTGTATGTGTGAGTGCGCTCCCATAAGATCTGATGTAACCGCTTATCGTATTAGTGCGTATTTTACAGGGGTTTTTCGAGACTACCGATAGTCGCTGTTCGATACGTCGATACGTCGATTCAATTCTACACTTACCAACCCTTTCCTACAAAATACCCTGTTCCTTCTGAGTTTCCTTAACTTTGCCTTCTTTAACTCCGTTTCTAAATATATATATGAGTCGCTTTTATAGCGCTCTTTGGCGCTGTGCGACGCCTAATCGCCACAAAGCTCGGTCTTCCCACAGGTCATCAGGGAGTTGACAATCTCTTATCTCATTTAACACCCCCTGTCGCCAACCTCTCACTGGGCGTCCCCTACGTCTCCTCCCAGGAGGAACCCAATCAAGCATCTTTTTTGGCAGCCTCTCTTCCGTCATCCTATTGACATGACCATACCAAACAAGTTGTTTGGTCATGACGTCGAACACGATGTCATTTTCGACTTCCATTATCTGACGCACTCTATCATTACGGACCCGATCTCTCCTAGAAATTCCTGCTGACCTTCTCCAGAAATCCATCTCCGTTGCTCTTAGCATATCCTGTGTCCGTTTCTTCAGCTGCCAAACTTCACATCCGTATGTTAATATACTTTTGACTACAGCGTTGTATATCCTCCTCTTGTTATCTTTGGAAATCCGCTGATCCCAGAGGATTCCATTTAACATCGCTATAGCCTTCCTTGCTAAGGTGTTCCTTTCCCTGATAGCTTGATCCGTCCTTCCATCCTGGGTCAACCGCACTCCCAAGTACTTAAAGTGCTCGCAGCCTTTGATCTGCTGCCCATCCTCCAACTCAATGCTTTGCTGATCACCGCCAAAAGTCATCTTCTCAGATTTGGATATGCGTTTCTAAATAAACTGTATTAATTATCTGAAGTTCTTTATATCTTAAAGCTTCAATTTCCAATATGAATTTCCTAACTTTTTCACCATTTTCCTTATAAAACAAAATCAATTTACCCTTCAATTATCAATCAATTTATCCTTTTTACCCTTGTGTTTAGCGCTTGTTTCATTTGTGCGTCAGCTTTGATACAATGGCGGATTGTTTACGTTCATTTTATAGTTGAGCATTTTCCAATTTTTTCCTTTAAATCTCTTCGAAAAAGTCCCAAAATGACTTAGCACTCTTTAAATAAGTAATTCACCCCTTCAACTTAACATTGATGGTACTTTGGATGGTTCCACCTTTTGCAGTGAGAGAAACTGAATTGCCGAGTTTCTGAGCTGGCTATGGCTGGCTCCTTGGTTTGTCCGTGTCCTTCGGTTTGATTTGTGATTTGTGCAACTTCCTTAATGGATAATCTTACTTATCAAAATACTCTTTGACTGTGCGTGGAGTGTAATTTTGTCTTGAGTCTTGACAGCATTAGCACCATGTGAATCAAAATTTCAATCAACTCCATTTTTGCCGCAGGGTAGGGATCCTTTAGCTATCCTACCGCTATCAGAGTGCTGTCGAGAAACTAATCACAACTGTCGGTATGTTCTGTTGAGCAGTTATGTAAATATAAAACGGTTGTATTTGTTAGTCAATTTCTTTTGTATGTGAACAATAACTGAATGTCCAGAATTCCAAACATCTGACTGTATCTCAAGTATATGTCGGAAATATTTATCAAGGTCAGAGTTTGTGAATCCTTGGCAGCAGTTAATGAATTTCTCCTAAGTAACAACTTCGCTCAACAAAGTTTGGTAAGTAAGTACAGCTCAGATCCACCATTGTACACATATAATTACATATTAGTTTAAAATCAGTGCGAGTAATGTTTTGAGGGTAAAGTGTTCTCTATTCTCCAACATTTATTAGCAGGGGTGCGAATTGCGCGGAGGCTGAGAGGTACTTGTTATTTTTCTAGATTTTTCAGATTTGCAATTTTTGTGGAATACTTACTGTGACTTTGGCACACATTCTAAAATTAACAAGAAATTCCACAAAAGTTTGATCAGCGCGTTGTGCTGACCTTCTTGCGAGAACCTAGCCCGAAGCTGAAAATTGCAGAGGCATGAAACAATGTTCACTTTGGTTTGTGAGATTTTCTTATAAACTTGGCATCCTCATATTTGTCCGACTTTTACCAAAATAATCTTGAAATTATCTCTCCCATCACTACATAGCAACAAAATTAGCATAAACATTCTTGATAAGAGGTGGCATAGTATTCAGAGACCCCTGAGAGTTTTGTATTAAATACTAATGATGCTCCTCTGGCAGAATTAAAAATTGACCATTCTAAACTACATACCCATATCAACAGCTCTTGCTGACAACAACCTGCTACCTTCATCAACTTAATCTAAAGTTTAGAATAATAGATAAGCCGCCAACTAATGTACTATCATTTCCATGCAAACAGTCAACCTTGTATTTATTGAGGAATGATAAATACAGTTTTTACTATGCCTTAGAGTTCTTACCATAATTCTTACCATTTGGAGTCAGGAAATAAAAATAATTGCTTCATTGTTTGCATTTTTATTGGCCAACTAAGTTCACAGTGGAACTTTCGTCTACTTGGTGTTAATGAAGGTAAATATTTATTCTTCTCTTATTTGAATGAGAATTACCTAGGTACATCAAATAGGTATGACATACTGTGACACTGGGTGCCGCTACTAGGTACTCTACTTATATTTCAATGATACTGGAAAAATTCATAACTCAGGTAAGGGCGTTATCTTGCAAGCTACAGAGCTAGTAATTAGTCATATTTCGATCCTTTGAGATTCTTTCATCATTCAGAAATAAAAAACTAAATTCAGCTGAAACAGGCACATTTCTAGGATGGAATGTGACGGATCATTTATATCTAATTTATATCTCATCGTCATCTCACTTATCAAACAATGCTTCTCGTCCTCATCTTGTTCTAATCTTGTAGAGAGCAGGCGAAGATTTGAAATGCGCGCTACAGATTCGGTAGTCGCCTGGCAAAAGTGGTACCCGCCTGACGTCACAAAACTTCAAGATGGTAACAAAAATCAAACTGGGACAATAATCAAAGAAAAGGACTGTGGTGGTTACAAAGGAATACCTAAATGATCATTCATTTTTTCGAACCCTTATAATTTAAAAAAATTAATTTGAAGTGAAGTACGTATTTGGAGACTTTACACTTTACTGGGAGAACATCCAATGCCCAGCATGAGCATTGGAAACGTCATTCGTGAACTCAAAATGACCGACTTGTTTATTTATACTCTGAGTTACCCCAAAGAGGGTTTTCAAGGCTGAGAGCTGAAGTACTTCTTGCCTATAAATGAGACTATGAAAGGTCTCTGTCAAATTCAGGGTCTAATCTATTGAGAGGTGTCTATCAGGGGCCTGCAGAAGTTTGATGAAAAGTTGCAGGATGTCGGAATCTGCAATTTAGCCGGAGTAAATTTTCCTTGAAGTCTAGGCACTTATTTTAGGAGGAGGAAGACTGAAGAGTTGATCTGATTGTAGACAGGCAGAAAAGACCTAACGCATTGAGGCTGCTGTGAATTTTCTTATTAAACGTCAAAATTGTTGCGCCTTCTTTGAGTCAAATCTATTTCCCCCCCCCCCCCTACACTCATTACACTGCAGCAAAAAGTTAATCTTCACTGGAAAAACCTACCAAAATATATATGTATTGGTCAATTTTAACACTTCTGTCTCTCTGTTTTAGACTCAGTCTCCGTTTGTCCTCGATGGTTTGGAGAGCGAAACTTTGTACGAGGTCTTTGTCATGGCTGTGAACGAGCATGGAGAAGGCAACCCCTCCGACAGAGTGGTCTTCATGACTCTAAGCAAGGTATATTTTATAATTCTTTTTGGTTGTCATAGTTTGTTTTAGGTAGTGCTTGTCATCAGATATATATGGACGAAAAAAATGCATCTTGATTTTTGATGCTGCAGAATTTTTGCCACATTTTATCTTCTGAAGGGACAAAGATTATTTTTTGGCATTTTTTATGATTTTGCCACCAATTCTATTGAAAATTGTCTGCATAATCATCAACTTGCAGCAATTTATGTATGGGTAATAGGCAGTGCGTGATCCTTTTCCTCTACTCCCGCTAGCCAAGTTTGTACCTTCTACCTCTTGCAGACCAATGAATAGTCCCTGAGGTTATTTGTTTTCATCTTTCATTGTTTCCAAAATTTTACAATATTCTTGTTAGTGGAAAATAATAAAAGTAAAGACTCCGTTGGTATAGAATGAAAAAGGTACTCAGCTACTGCTGCACCACTCTTCGTTAATACTTGTGATGAGCATAGTGCAAATGTGTGAGCCTCCAAATGCCAGGTTTTCAAATGCAGAGAAATTCTTAAGGAATATATTTTGATAATGGTAGTCACTCTTTAATTCTTCTTTAATATTTTGTCTTTTCAGGTGGAAGAAGACAAAATCGAAGAATCAGCAACAGCGTACAACATAACCTCTTGTTGTGTGGAAGCTGGCCTGAATGAAGTGTGCATGCCTCTGTGTTCGTATGATGCAAGTATGTCCAGCCTCAAAGCTCTAGCCAGCGAGTGCGGCCCTGAACTGTCTAAATTGCTCCGCTGTGGTGCCGGAGGCAGAAACCATGGCAGTTGCTGTGCGAGGAGAGGAGTTCCCGCAGCGTGTTTACCTCTTTGCTCCGGAGTGATAATAGAATCAATGATCGTCACTGCCACAACGTGTGTTAGATATTTGGGCAACATCGTCCAGTGTTTTGAAGAAGGTATCAAAATAACATTTTAATAGGCCTTGGTAGTGATCAGATGTATTCTTTTTCATTTTGACATATGGAGGGTCACAAAACCTAAGTAGATAACTTTTTTACGACTAGTGAGCAATCAGTTTAGGAAAGTGAGGATGAACACCAAGAAATTAGAAATTAAAACTTTGGTAATAATCCTGGAGCTTGCTCAGAGGATGTTCTAATTTTGGCTCAATGATTTGCCACTAAGGAAAGCTGAAGCATGCTGTGTCAAAAAAGTTTTCAATAAACAATGCTCCGCCGCCTAACACTAAATGACACTCAAACGAAGCAGAAATGTCATGCATTGTCTCACCAGTAATACGATTTTTATGTAGAACAATTGCGTACATTGTAGAGACAAAATGGTGCGGCAACATTAAAAAAAGATATATACTTAATCATGGAAAACTCGTCTAAACTTTCAAACTAAGTTAAACAAGAGAGATGTTTACAGCCTCGTTCTTGAATAAGTGAGGAGTTTGAAAACAGCCCTGATGGGATGGAAAGGTATAAAAATATATTTAAAATATTACATTTTTCTATTGAATTTCTAGGGACTGGCAAGATTCCTGGCCCAGTAGTGGATTTGCATGCAACCAAAATAACAAACAGCTCTGTCACACTGCAATGGGAGGTCCCGATAGAAGGAAGCAATTACACGGACTTTGTGGTTCATTGTCAAAGAGTTGATAACACCTCAACTTACGAAACTGTTCTGAAACTGGAAAGAGTGAGTATTCTGTAATTTTTTTATCTGCTGATCATCCATATTACCGACATTTAATAATATTTTAAACGTTTTTGAGGCTGCGAGTCAAAAACTCTTGAAGAAAATATCGATACCTATTCAAACTACAAGAACTTTCATCCCAATTTCTAAGGAGCAATAAATCTCCTAAAAATTCTTCATACTCTAAGTGGAACACTCCATTATGTTTTGGCTTGAATATTTTTATGTCCTTTTTAAGACAAGACTCCGTTTTAAAGACAAACTTTAACAACTATTTTCACATTCAAAATATTTTTTCTGGACTTTGATTTTTTAGCAGTAGAAAATTTCCAACTAGTTGAACTCAAAACTTCTCCTTAATCAATTACATACTCCTAACTCAATTACGTACTCCTACTCAACATACTGCAAGTTTGTACGATTCTGTTCTACTATGTCCAATTTCAAGTCTTTCTCTCCATGAAAATCTTGAATTACATTCCATGCGATTTTATGGTTTAAAGAATCTTACATTATTCTTGTATTTCTATTCCAGCAAATTTCAACCACGAATACATCAATCGAAATCAAGAGTTTAGAAAAGGGCCAGCTTTATAATATATTTGTTATATCAAGAAACCAGCATGGTACATCGTTGCCATCTTCTGTATTGCTTATTAATGCAACCAATCAAGGTAATACTTCATTTGTAGTTAATCACCTTTTATTCTATTTATTGAAACTGCATCATTCTCTTACTTAAGTACTTTAGTCTGAAAAGTGTTTAAGCTTTCCCCCACATAAACTTGCAACTCATTCAAGTATTAATGAATTCGTGTACATTTATCGAGAAACAAACAAAACATATTCCAAGATAGTCAGAATGAACACACCAAAATTGGAACTAAAAGGTCCAAAATTGTCCTGCCTTGGTCAATGGATCAGTCGCGCTGGTCGCAGAATCGTGTTTTGATGCTTGATTCTTGTAGATTAGCTAAAGATTACTTAAGATCTGTCCAAACGGCAACTCTCTATGTTTACTATGAACCTAGATATTGTGCTTTTAAAAATTTGGTCCATGATGTCATTCACTGTGGTAGTGACACACTTGGTTTATTCCACCTTGCTTTCATCAGTCAGAGAAAACGCATTTGCTCTGGTTACTCAACATGTAACTCGGGTGAAAGTAAGGTGGAAGAAACTAAAGGTGTCACTACCACGGTAGATGACATCATGAACCGAATTTTTAAAGCGTGATATCTCGGTTAATATTGAACGTAGAAAGATGCTGTTTGGACAGATTTTATTATCTTTAGCTAATTTACAAGAATCAAGCATAAAAACACAAACTGACCCAATACACAGCTACATGCCCTTGCTAAATGGATCTTGACAATCTGGAGTCTTGATAACACTCTGTCCAAATAATCAAGTTTTGTTTAGCTGATATTAGCTAGCTTGGGTATTTACTTGTGATTGAATTAATCTGCAGCAACTTATGAAAATTTTTTCTGTCAGTTCTCTGATTCTCACAGAGAATAACTTATTACTATTATCTCATGGATTGTGACAGGCTTGAAACATTTAAAAAGAGAATAAATAAGTCAACAGGGTTAATTACTTCTGTCAGTCAACCATACCAAAACTCGACAATTTAAAAGGGTGGCTCAAAATTTCAGATTTTTTATTAGTGTCACTGTAACATTCTTTACAGAAAAATATGAAACATCTTTTGTATTTTCATCATCAATTTGCTAACCAATGTCCCATGGGTTTTTTCAGATCTGAACAAAGAGGGTCAACCTGGCGTAACGTCTCCGCCTCATTCTCTTGCCGTATCTGGACATAGCGCAAACTCAGTTACCATCACTTGGCAGCCACCTGAGCTGTCACATCCATCAGAACAGCTTTTGTATAGGTAAGTTCTTTTTTGTGTGTGTAAAACTGGTCCGGGTATATCATCAAGGCTGATGATTGCTCAAAGGAAAAGGCTCATATTTTTCATTCAATTTTCTGTGGCAGAAAATGTTCTGTCTATCAAATTCAGCAAAGGAAGTCGCCATGTAACTAATACTCTTTTGTAATTTTTGTCGATGTTTGATTGCAGGCTTTACTGGAAAGAACATTCTGAGAGCAAATTTAAGGTCTTTGAAACAAGTGTCACTTATCACATGATGGATAACTTGACGCCGAACACTCAATACATAGCTTATATAATTGCTGTCTCAAAGAAAGGACCAAGTTTACCCTCTGAAACTTTGCTTGCATGGACAGATCCTGCATCACCCGCATTTGTTGAGGTAGTTCATTTCTTCTTTTTTTTTCCTCTTTCATTCTCAAGATGGAAGTAAATAAATACAAATGCAATGATACCCCAATTATTTAAATCTTCAGTAATCCGACATGGTTGGAGTCGAGTTTTTGGTCTAAAATAAGTTAGCCAACATGACGAAAACCGGGTTTTTGCGCAAAAATTGAAAATATAATTATGTGGTATTATGTATTTTTCTTTTCCAATTGAACGACTATGTTTTACAATTACAGTAAGAAATTGGCTAAGCTCGCGTTTGTTGGTTACATACAGAACAAAAATGGCATTTTGTCAGTCTCTTTTTGGTTTCAATACCCTAATTTTTAGTTTCATGAAATACTGATGCCTCTCAAATTCCTGAATTGCGTTATAATATTCCATTGGCGTACTACCATAAACTTTTTAGCCCTGTAGGTATTAAAGTTTCCAACAAATAGTACAATAATTCTTTCTGTAGCATAGGTTTCGGGTCAGTGAACATTAAATGTGCTCATCCGACCTGTCAAAGCATTGTGATTTAATGTTTAAATCTCATGGGTGCTTGAGGAATTATGATCATTTTCAGAGGGCCTTATCTATGTAAGTGTTAGTTGTAGGAACTTGTTGTTTGGGTGCATGTGATGACTGCTTGCCCCCTTCTAAGATGCTGCAAACAGCAATGACACAACATGAATTTACAGCAAACTCAGTAGACCCGTTTCTTCTAAAATCTCCTTTATCCTCAAGTGATGATAGTAGAATAGATGTTAAATAGATGTTTAAAAGTAGACAGTGAAAATATTGAATGTAGACGTAACTTTTCCTTTATGAGGGAAGAAAATTAATTGAATCAAGTAACTTTAATTTAAATCAGATCTCCACGTCCAATAGCTCATGAGTCAAACATTCCTTTTTTAGCCACCGATTGTGCACCCAGTCAATCTAGTCATGGAGGGTAGCAGTATGAACATTCTTTGTATTGCAATGGGTAACCCAATGCCAACGACCTCATTGTACATCTCAGGGCGATTAGTGCGGCAACAAAACACCAGGCACATGGTCACTGTGATCCACAATGTTACACGGGATATGGATCACATTTCTTGCTATGCCGATAATGGCTACGGTATTCCGATGCAGGCTTCAAGAAAAATCACCATTAGCCGTAAGTTTGAGACCTTTTTGTTCCTTGTCAGTCGGAAATTGTATCATGATGTCAGTGAATAACATAAAAAGTGCAACCCTTTATTCTTTGGTTGTAAGGAGGTCATATTTTGAGCACGTTTTATTTAATCAAAACTTCTAAAAACCAGTTGTGTCCGTTCCTTTTTTAAATAAGACAAATTATGGAATTCAAACAAAAAAAATAATTACGCATTGAAATCAAAGCAGTTCTATTAAATAAATTTTTTTTTAGTTTTGCATAAGAGAATACCTGCAAAGGCCATTAACCTCCTCGAGTGCTTTGAGCTTTTTGGCTGACGTTTTTATCAAATGGTTTAGATTTTCTCAGCTTCTCAATTGCCATCAATGATACCAAAAATGGACAAAAACGAGCAAACCAGTTATTTCCACATCAAGCCTTTTGAAAAAGAATCTAGTGGAAGAATTTGCTTTCCATTTCCACCGGCAACACCATCTTAATTTGTTATGTGTCTCTACCGAACACTTTTCTTTGGTCTTGCACAAGAGCTTTTAGACCTTTTATCAAAGTATAAATTTAGATATCACTGAGTTGCTCAACTTAACACAAATCTTTAAATAGAACTTCAGTTTTATGCAAAAGTTGGTACTACTCAAGAAGTTACGTACAAAACATTTGGACAATTTGTTAATGAAATACGTTTTTTGTGCACCAATAGATGCTCCAGAAATTACAGCATCAGGCATCACCATGGCTGCACTTGGCGAAGAAGTCGTACTTCAATGTATTGTGGAAGCTTATCCGGAACCGAAAATGATGTTCTGGCGAGATCCAAAGGGCAGAGTTCCTGTTATTCTGAGCGGAAAGTATGAAATCAGCACACAGGCGGTGAAAGATGTAAGTAGGATGGAAGATGCGTCATTCAGTTTTCTCGCGTGTCTTATTTTTTTTAATAATAATTTTATCATGCATCAAATTTTAACCTTCAAGCTTTTCAATATTATTGAATTACACATAAGAATGGATCTCTCACTGAATGTTCCTTTTATCAGAAAATTAGTATGCATTCCTACAAACATCATAAGGTTGTTATTCCATTAAATTCGCGAGTCTATTTTGAATAAACTACAAAAGCAATAAGGAGTTGTCGATTTTCAATATTTTGATATCGATTCCATTGAGAGCAATTTCTCATGAAAGCAAATCTGACAAAATTTTCAGTAGCCTGTGGTGATAAATTTGCACATGAAGAACTACAAAACATTGAGCTTTTGCTTTTGCTTTTGCTTTTCAGGAGGAAACCAAGTACAGTATGAAACTAACCATCAACAAATTGTTGGAAAAAGATGAAGGTGATTACTTCTGCCATGCTGAAAACGCATTTGGTGCTTCAACACAACCTGTCTCAGTTCGAATTCGTAATGTTGTAAGTTTTGAATTTGTTTCTCTTCTTTTCATTTGTTTTCTTTAAGTTTTAGTTATATTTTAATTTTTTCCTCTGACACCTTCGCTTGGAGTCAGTTCAATTTTATTGTAAAAATGGAGGAGAAAATAAAAATTTAAGCAGTTGTCTTATCAGTCGTGGTCTCTCTACAGTCTCTAAATGTTTTCTTACGTTTTCAATTGTTATAACGCAAAAAATTCTCTAAGCCTCAGAGGGACAGTTTTTGTAACTTTGAATCTTTAAATTGGATCCTAAAAAAAAGAAAAGAAAAGAAGTAACATTGTTTTACATAGTTTAATAGTGAAACAATTTATTTTCTTTGTTTTGATAAGTTAACTTCATGTCTCTTGTCCTTCAAAATTATGATCTTGTTTTGTAGGCTGCATCAAGCAATGTTACACAGTGTTGCATTGAGCAAAATGTCACATCGAACTGTATGGATGCTTGCTCATACTTCCTTGACATTGAAGCTGTCGCCAGTAAACCAGAGTGCTTGAACGAGTTCGATAAACTCATGAAATGTGCAGCAGGTAAATATGATGCCAGTACTCCTGTGAATCATTGATCCTGTGTGATCTATTGATCTCTCCCATTGCTTAATTTTTTTGCTTGCTCATGTATTAATTTACAGAAATGAAGAACACTAAACATTTTATCTGATTACTAAGCAACCAGATGCTCGCATAGCGCTAAGCGCACACAATCCTAAGAGGAAATCAAGGCAAAGAGATTAAAATATGTAATAATAGCAGTCTCATTATGAACTATAACAGACATCAATATAATAACAAGGGAGGAAGGAAGAGGGTGTAGCAAAGGCAGAGGTATTAAGAATACTTCTCTAGGGTCATACCAATGCACTTGGTATCAGTTTTATTTTCCCTAGTTTTTATTAGGCAAATGTACCTAGTCGGGCCCTACGCGGAGAAATAAAGTTGCTATAGTGACATCCTGGATGTTAAAAATCTGCGCAACGCCTCTTGAATGTTTTTATGGACACTCATGTTGTTAAAGTAAATCCTAGCTTAACAACCGTAGCGTTCATATCAACATTCAAGAGTTGTCGAGCAGATTTTTAATATCTAGGATATTACTTCAGCAATTTTTTTTTTCGTTTGTATCAGAAGCTTTGCATGCAAAAAAATGGCATTGAAATGCCACTGTTGATTAATCAAAAACCGCAGCACCAAATGTTCCTCTGGTTTTGCCTACAGTTACTGTCGAATAACTTTTAAGACAAATTAAGAAAAATTAAAAAATAGGAGATTTTAAATTAATCCTACTGTGCCTTACATGATTTTGGAAGCCTGCTTCCTCACCAAAGCAGCTTATAATGAAAGTGTTTTTTCTATATTCTGCTCTTCATGCCAATTTTTCTTTTGATATAGATGGTTCAGATCATCGCAGTTGCTGCGCCCAAAACAGTGTTCCAAGGAGATGCTTGGATTGGTGCCGAGGAGAGCCAATCCTCAATAACAAAGTCTGTGTACTGTCCTACACCAAGCAAATTATGACTTGTTTCCACGAGGAACGAGGTAAATCATATTGAATTAGTATTTTCAAAAATTTATTTGCACTATGCCTTCTTAACATCTAGTCTGTATTTGATGAACTTTTTTCTTGCAAAAGAGGCATGAATTCTACTTTTTAGATGATTGATACAATCAGATAGGTCCATAAAACACCAATTCTTCAAGCAATGAGTTACCTTTTTCATATTTTTTGACATTCATATTGACTGGCTCTAAGGTAGTAATTTCCAAATGATAAACCAAGAGAGCAATTAATATTTCAGGGTCTGTGCCTTTTCTCATTGCTTTATCCTCAATTTTGTTTTTTCAACTTTGTTTGCTTGTATTTCCAGAGAAACTACCAGGACCTCCTCAAAATGTTCGTGTGAACGTGATCGATTCTCATACAATTCTAGTCAAATGGGATCTTCCTACCAAGAACCCTCACACTGTAGAAATTTACAGGTATGTATAAGCTTATTTTAATAATGTGCGTCATTGGTAAAAGGGTTTTTCTTGTTTGTCAGAAAACAGAAGTGGTTAAATAATAGAGGGACAAAAAAGGGCAAAGAATTCTGTTATTGGTGCTGGACTAGAGAATTTTTCCCATCTGTTGCGATTTCAAGTTATCATTTTTTATAACATTTCCTCAAATATTGCCTCTTTTTTTCAACATTTTTCTTTTCAGTTTTCTCTCAACATTTCTTAAAAAATTCAAGGAATGAGGCTGAGTTTTTCACTTTTTCAGAATGAAAATCGAAAACGAAAATACAAAATTTAAAACGTTCATTATTATCTACTTTGGTTTGTTTTATTGAAGGAAAGAAAACCTTTTAAATGAATTTCTATGAGTAAATTACACATAGGTCTGAGTGAACACTTTCTGTGATTTTTTCAGGGTATTTTACAAACAAGTTGGTAATCGCAATCCACTAAAAGTTGATACCAAAGACACCGAAGTGCAGCTCAAAGACTTGAAAGACGGTATTCAGTACGAGGCTGTTGTCAAAGCGGGCAACCAGTTTGGAACATCAGCCCTTTCAGAGACTGTGCGCTTCACCACCAGTGATAAATACATCACTTCTTCGTCATCTTTAGGTAATGACTTCTAAAAATTTTCTGTAGAAAAAAATAAAAAATAAATTTAAAAAAAAGGAAATAAATAGCAGGAATGCAAGTAGGTATGTTATAATTTATTCTGAATGACTAAATGTTTCTTATGATGGATATTTTCTTGGCCAATCAAGTTCTAATATTTCAGTTTTGAGCTTCTCAAATGTACTAAATATTTTACATATCTGTTTATTTAAACATTGCGGGCTCTTGAGAGAAGCGGTAGTCCATGTCTCAATCTATAATATAATATCATAAGAGTAAAGCTTAATGCCTGAGGCGTGGAGCACTTCGAGGGTCAGAAGGTGTTCAGCTTTTGCAGCTCTAAAGGGGCTTTCATTTTAGTAATTAGATAATTAATCGAGAATTTTCCTGTGGTTTTTCTGAACCAACCTCCGCTTTCATCCAGTGATTTCATACAACTCAGTTAATTACTTGTTTGGTTTCAGCACTGAAATATGTAGGCACTTGCAAACATTTTAAAAGAGCAAAAACGAAAGCGTCTTAATTAAAAAATATTGTCTTAATTTCTCTTCATGGCCTTTGGAAATAATGAATTTCCCCCTATTTCATCCGGTAAAAATTCAAGATTTTTCAACATAGGAACTCACTGCTGTGAAATGAAAATACCTAAAACTGCTAAAATTTCTCACTTTCAGCTATTCAAGGAAGTAAGTTTCTCATGAAAATATGTTTTTCCCTAATTTTTCTTCTTTAATGATGGTTTTTTTTCTGTCTAGAAGATGGTCATAATATGGGCACAACATTTGGCGTAATAACAGCTTTACTAATAGTCGGTGCACTTATCGGAGGTGCTGTTTGGTTTGCACGGTCTAGAAATTTACTTGGACATAAATTTGGACCCAATGGTGTTGCTTTTGAAAACCCAAGTTACCTCCGTGAAGTCAATATGGATAATATTCAGGTATGTTCAGTGCTGTATGCATTTTCAGTCCTTATTACTTTTTAAGGAAAGTATCCATAGAATTCTTCATGATCAGCAAGATTCATGAAAAAAGAGAACGGAGAATAAAATCAGCCAAAAAACATAGTTTAATAACAACTTAGTCCGGAGGAAGGCTGCTACAAAATAAAAAAGTCTCATGCAAAAAAACCTGGATGTCTCAAATTAATGACAAGCTCATTTTCAACGGGAAAAGGAAGCTAATAAAAACCAAGTTATTGATGCCCTGTTATTGCGAGAATGAGACTGATTAAAAAGTAAACGGACCCAATGAGGAAAAGAGGGAGAATAAAGCCCACCTTCTTTTTTATTTGCTATTTTTTCAAAACGCAGTTTTTTGTTTGCATTTCTTGGTGTAGTGGATAGAGCATGTCCCTTAAAATTTAATGTGGTCAGAAAATAGAGGACGCAAAATGAGTCTAATGTAAATTGGAACAACCATATTTCAGAGATTAATTTTTCATTATTTGCCACAAAAAAACACAACAATTAAAAAAACTAACTATTTGGGAACAATTTAAATTTTGAGAACAAAAAATTGCAAAATTGAAAAAAATGTAGTCAAACATTTGAAACAATTTTATCAGTAGAATGAATGAAATAGTATTTGTAATCATATATCCTCCTAACTTCATTCAACTTTAAATAAAAGGTTTATTGAAGAATAATCAGGCAAAATTAATCAGCATAATTAGGAATACATAATAATGTATTCCTAATTTTGCTCTCACGAAAAAAGAAATGGATGATGCTTTTCAGCTTAACCCATTGAATTTAACAGACGGCTGCAGTCTAATAGTTGAAACTATATTTGGATTTGTCGGCAACATGAGACAAGACACAGTAAGCCCTATCTGCCTTGTAATAAATATATCAATTTTCGATGTCTTTCCTTTGAAGTGTATTTCCAATAAGGTCATGTGCTGGAGGATGGATAAGTTGTTTTCATCCTAAGTTTTTAGTTAGAAAAGTTTTAGAATATATTTTCTATGAAAATCCCTCTCCACCACAATAAGCTTAAAAACCTCTCTCTTTTTCAGTCAAGTCAAGGAGGTGACAATCACATTAGTTCAAATGGGACTCTGAACACACCGAATTGGAAGAACGAACAACTGCACGTGCCTTCGATGGCGACAGAAGTTCCTCCAACTCTTTACGAAGAATTGAAACTCGGCAGTGAAGGAGCCGGCTTTAAAAGACTGAAACCGTAAACTTGAAAAATAGTAATGCTGTGATTGAGGACAAAAGCTCTGCTCGATGATGTTGACAGATGTCAGAGCTGCAGTCAGCTAAGACCGGGTAGAATGCCCCTGCTCATCTGGAATGTAATTTGGTGCAAACGAGTCAAAAATTGTACCCACCCTCCAGAAATTCAGTCAAAATCATACCTCAATGTTGGTGTGAAGATAATGTATTTCTGCAAATTTTGACAAAAGGGGGAAATGAGTCTTGATGTTCTTCAAAAACAAAATGCTTCCGTTTAAAAAATCTCAGCTGAACTTTCTCAAAAATGTCCCATTATTGAAGAATGAGCCACTTATTTCCTCATTGAAAAGAAGTATACCAGAAACTAATAAAAAAAATAGGCATATCAAAATCCGAATCTTTAGAGCTCAGATTTTAGTAGTCTCTCTGAGAACTACCACAAGTTTGAAAAGAAGTATGTGTTGATGAATGAAAGTATTGTGAATTGTGAGTTGGCTTGAAAATTTATTTTTTACTTTGATCAAGCAACAAATTTTAAATATCTTGATAGACACGCTGGGATTAAGTGTCTAAAACTGACTTGGAAGAAATTTGTGTTGGTGAATATAATTTGAAAGGATTTGTAATTTTACTTCAACAAAAAAAATTCTTTATTTTTACAAAACAATTTTTACGTTTTTCTTAGAAAATTTTCCAAGACAGCAATATTTTATACTTTAATGGTGAAACTCCAAGTACATACAGATTCCTGTTGTATGCAACTTCTCTGTTGCTCTCTTTGATCAGTGTAGATACGTAGCTTTGATCCTCAATTAAAAACCATCTATGGGTGAGAGAGCAGCTATGGAAGTTTATTGCATCTGCAACAATTTTTTGCTTAATTTGATGGGTCTCAATGCTGTGGTGCATTTATAGTGTTTCCTAAAGTCTAGGAAGAGGTTAATGGCGAATTTTCAAGTGACCAATGAGATTTAAGGGGGCTTATCAATGTGAGGATACTTCCCACTTTTCAAGTGTATGAGTTTTGGGTACTTTTTGACATAATTGTTAATGTCAAGCATCCATTTTATCCAATTACTTTTGTCGGTATTAATTGGTTTAGAACGATATTTTCAACAGTTGAGGAATAGAAAATTGGTCAGGGCAAGTGATATAAAAGTTTGAACTGTCTACAGAAGCGACTAAGATAGAGTCTGCGTTCCAAGAGACAGTTCATTCATTCCGTCAAAATACATGAGAGGCGTTAATGCTCTTTGTCAATGTAGAATAGTCCAAGAAGTTGTTTCCCCCTTCTCTACCAAAAACATATTGTTCATTAAAGCAAACCCGGAGACTTATTCTATATCGATAAAGGATTGGAAATTTGTAGGTTTTCGGCTAGTTTTAACTTTAATTCAGATCTGTCTCTATTATGTTTTGTTGAGTCAAAGTGATGGATCTCATGAATCTCTTAATCATACCCTGACCTAAAGAGGTTGCTAAGATGAATATTAAGTGTATTGAAGAACACTATTAATTTCTGAACAGTAATGGGTCACTTGTCAAGCGTAGTAGAACAAAACATCACATGTCCTCTCTTCAAAATCTACGCAGAAAACGATTCACACAGTGAGAAGTTTTGAAATCAATTCCTAAACGAGATATTTACAGTATTTTCAACACAAATCAAATGGAACGCAAATTGGACTACATTTTGCAATTTGGAACTATACATTCTAGCCTGGTTTACAAACGACGTATGTGCCATTAGTTTCCCTATGCACATAGGTGTTTTTTCAGATGAGTTAGAATTTATAGCTCCAAATTGCAAAATGCAGTCCAATTATACCTATGACATCATTTGTATTTTTGGTAATTAACCAGTGTTAATTGAATACACTTATATCTTGTGTTGGAGTAGATTTCCAGATTTCCCCTCGAATGACTCGTTTTCCTAGTAAAATCTTGAAGCGGAAACATGTTGCGCAGTGCTTTAGTTTATACCTTGCTCAGTGGTCCATTACTTATTTAGAAATTTAATTTACAGAACGAATTTTGATTTATTCCCATTTGCTTTCCATTTCTTAACTCAGTAATTTTTGCACTCCCATTCATTGTAGAATCTCATATTTCTGTTATCTATTTCACCTGAAAAAATATGAATTAAATTTTTGGATTCTACATATTCCAAGAAATATCCTAGATTTTAGGATACAGTTCTAACTAACGTAGGAAACATTGCGGAACTTTGATGGTGTCTCTATTTTGATTGATGTTCTTTTTTTTTTAAGTCTCTCTCCTAGAGAAGTTCAATATTTTTTCTTTTTCCTTTCTGTCAAGATTGTTTTTTTATTGAAACTTAATGAAGGTATACACATGGAGAAATAGTGCTGTATTCTCCCTTGGCATTTTGTCAGATGATGTAGTAATTTTTCATCATCAAAATGTATCTGTGACTGGACTCGGTATTTTAAGTAACACCAGAAAACTCTCAGTTTATAGTCTTAAAGTGCCGAGTTCACTTGTGGAACCGATATTAATCACATCAAATTTATTTAGGTCGCAAAATCACTGCATTAGGTTAACCTTTGAGATTAATTATTTTAAGTGCTCACCCCCAAGCAGTGGTAACTCCTGGGATTTAAAACTCTAGGCATCTCTTGTTTGACTATGTTTTTGACTATGTTTTCCCAACGCAATGCCAAACAACAGAAATGACTTGAATATATCATTAATTTTGACCTTTTTATACGAAGAGTTAGCCCATGAACGATTCTAATATCATCTGAAATCTTAGTACCTCATTTTGATTTTGTGAGGCGTAACTTTTTATGTGTCAGTAATCATGGGAGGCAATCATGCTTTGTATTCGAGATTTCAATTGTAAAAAGACAGGTTGCACTACCAAAAAATCATTGCATACCTGTAATTTTTTTCGTATTTATGGTGAGACCAAAAAACAGGTATGCAGCTTAGAAGTGATCCTCCTGTCTTTCTCTCTATTTTAAGTATCAACAAAACACAATTGATCATTCAACTTTGCTTAATTTTCCTCGCCTCTCTGGAAATATACCAGAAGAATTTGTTCAAAATTATCAGTTCATCGCTCTTAAAAAATTTCGAAACACTCTAATCGAGTAATGGAGTTTTTTATTTTCACCATCCTGACGAATTTTTATTTGCCGATCCCTTACTAAGGATCCTAAAAGATCTCCAACAACTGGTTTTCCTCCCTTCTTTAATTTTGAAAAGTTCATATCTAATTCTTTTTGGTTTAGCTGAAATACTTGCAATTGTTGAGTTTTTGTTGTAGTTGTTTTGGTTCCTCTTCTGCATAAAGAAATCATAGTCAATGATTGAAACCTAAGTTCATCAGGAGTAGTTGCTGCTGAGGGTTGACTTGACATACACCATCAAATTATCTGGTAGTATCTCTCATGAGCTTCATGCAGAGTGATCCGTCCGCATATTTTCACTCAAAGTTACAAATATGCACTTTCATAAGATGGGTCGTTATTTTAGTGATAATTACTAGTAGCCGTAAGTTTTTCTTGTAAAAGTTTATATTTGTTGAGTAACTAACTAGAGTTAGTTTTAGTGTACAATATAAATATTGTAAATAAGCTGTCAACCAATTTTCTATTTATTTATTTGTTTGTTGTTTTCTATGATTTGTCTAGGTTTATCTTAGTTGTACATAGCTGTGTAATTCATGTCTGCTGAGTAGGTCCGTTACGTTCTTAGACCTCTAAGAGAGTGTTATTTTTCTATTTTAAATCGAAGCTGTTACGTTTATTTATTTGTTTATTTTTTCTTTTGATTTTAAGGTCAAACGAAATTGGTCTGAGAGCTGGTTGGTTAGTCAGGTTTGTCACTTAAATGTAGTGTCAAGTAGATTGGAGTTCAAATGGAACCAAAAGTTGCATAAAAGTTACGTGGGGTTGTTTTACAGACCGAGTCCTCTCGTTCTTCTTAAGAGTAGGTTTAGGGCGTAAACAAATTTAATGAGCTTATTGCTATTCTATGTTGCATCATCAAAGCCACTGAATCAAAGATTCAATAAGGCTTCAAGTAGTTGGAGTTCATTGCAATGAAAAGAGATCGTTACGATCAGTACACTGAGGATTAGCATGAATTTTATCTGCGATCAAAAATCATTTGAATCAAATTTTTATCAGTGGCGATACCGTGAATTGAACAAAGACTAGTTACACAATACATCGCTTGATTCTTAAGGATTGGCTTTCATGCTACATTTTGTTTGTCAACGGTTCATATCTATGAATTCTATGTGTTTCTTATCCTGAAAATTGATGAGTCAAATCCAGATATGTTTAGAAAGTGGCTATACTTTTTTTTCTTTCATTGACGTAACAGGAAAATCTTAATTTTCATTGTTAAATATTAATTCACTGAACAAATGATAAAAGTTTACCCCCTAAACAAAGTGGTAGAATGGTAGCAATCTAATGTTTTACTTGCGTTTACGGTGCATCAAACATCTTCCCTAGCATTTTTTCAAAGTATCTTAATTTCATTGAAGAAAACCAAAAAATCACTTCATTTAAAATCCGTGTTACAGCTCATATGAGTTGTGGAGATTGAATATTGAGCCATTCATCACATTCCATGTAAAATTCTTCTCAAACAGTTGTTTGAGTTTTGATTTATTCCTTCCTACTTGAGTCAGCACTTCGAAACCAAACTTAATCTACATTCAAAGTGCACTGACAGAACCGAAGCTTCCATGTCTGGAATTGGCTAATTGTTTTATGTACAGTCTAAAGAGCTCATATTTTTGTACTTTATGGTCTATGTACAGCCCTCTCAAAAGCAAACATGTTCAAATTCTATCATCAGAAGAGTAAAATAAAAAAAAATGTAATATTAAATGTATCTCAAAAGTTTTTTCATTATCTCCTCTTTCTGCTTTCCCTTTCTGTTGAATCATAATGCGCATACGCAGCTTCAGCAGAATTAATGGTTATCTATATGTATTTTCAAGAAAAGAGGCAATCTCTTGCGCCAGTGAGATTTGGAACTTTCCTGGGCCACTTCTCGCGAAATTTTTTCTCGAGTGTAGCGATGCGCCTGAGGTTTATCAAAATCGATCAGTTTAAAACCTTTGACATTTCCCAATTTTTAAAAAAAAATTGAAAGGTTTTGTTCACGTGCAGTGCTAATTCCTCTGTATTGGTTTTTCGCGGTCATTCGCTCTAATCTCGCCCTGATTTTCCTGATTTTCAGGAGCATACTCTCTGATGAGGCATCAAAGTTTTATCCCACTTTCCCGGGATTTTCTCGAGAAAAAACATGTAAATCGCCAGAGTTCCAGCTATGAATATCAAAGTTTGAGCGAGCCAATTTCGCCATCGATTGCGCGTCCGATTTATCTGGTCTAAAAAGTTCCACGAGTCCGCTGATCGACTTAATCGGCGAAAAGAGCCCATTTGGTGAACTTTCAAAGACGATCGATTTTGACCGTTTCTCGGCCTCCCCAAGTAGCAGTGATCGTGATAAATAGCGATTTTATCGGTTGGTTATCGCGAATATATCAATGGCAATATATCTAAATATTATCGCATCAAAAATTGCGATTTATGGCGATTAAATCGCCATACACATCGCAATTTTTGGTTAGATAAAATTGTGATCAATTTTTGTCGATAAAATCGAGATTAAATCGCCATTTATCGCGATTTTTATTTCGAGAATATCGCGATAAATTGTCGGGCGATAAAAGCGCGATTTTATCGCGATAACATCGAGGATAATAATTGCTCAGATGTCGATGATCCTTGCGATTTTATCCTCGATAAAATGGCAATATATAGCGATTTTTCTGTTGAGAAATGCTACTTGGGTCGCCGAGCCTCGGGGCCGTGCGCCAATGGATTCCACATCTCAAAATTTATAGGACTCAACGCTAATCTCGAAATTTTTTCTCCGCTCAAAATCGAGGAAAATCGACAGGGGTATGGACTTTTTCGGGAACAAAATAGAGAGTTCTCCTATCGGGCTGAAAGCAAGCTACTCCCCTTAGAAATGACCCGCTATGTCCGATGTTGTGGTCGAAAAGCCTCCAAGAGTCCGCTGGAATGCGCGTTTGATGAACTATCATCAATGGGTTAAAAACACCCGTTTCTGAGCGTACCTCGGCTGAGGAAGTCAGTTTGGATTGCCAAAAAAGGCAAAGTAACAGGAATATCGTCGGTAACCGATTATTTGGCGCTGAGCGCCGCCCGCTGCCGCACCAACTAACAACTGCACATATCACGGTCATCCATATTCCGCGATGAGGAGAACTTGTAGTTTAGGGATGAAAACTATGCTACCTTGCTAAGGAAAAACGCCGTGCGAATCCTTGGCTGTTGCCAAATTTGTTTTTATGAACTAAAGATTTCCTGAAAAATTGAAATTATTGTTGAAAATTAATTTTTATTTTTCAGAGAAGTTGGTTCGTCATTCGATGTATCTAAATCATCTGAAACTTCAGAGGGCTAATATTAATTGATTTCGCAATAAAATAATATAAACCTATCTCTGTGTGGACGAGGCCTTTCATTTATAAGAAAAGAACGAAACAATTATGAAAGAATAAACATGAATGTGGTTTAATGATTTTAATTTCCGCCACCTCGCCAACCGCACTGTGTTTGGCGCAATGTGTGAAGTATCCATCCAGTCTTGTAGGCGTTATGCGTCTCAGCGTCTCACGCCGACCGTTGCTGACCGCACTGTTTTTGACGCAATGCGTGAAGTATTCATGCAGTCTTGTAGGCACTATGAGTTTCATGCCAACCGCTGCTGACCGCATTACATTTGACGCAATGCTTGAAGTATTCATGGAGCCTTGTAGGCGCTAGTATGTGTTTCATGCTGACCGGCGCGCCGAGGGCTTCTCCTTTCCATCTCAAGTCCTCGTCATCATTGCTCTCTGCGCCGCGCCGCTTCAGGCCAAATTGCGTGTTCGGTTTCTCTCTCAACTAGACTAGTGAAAGGCGCTGTCTCTCGTATCACCGAAAGACGAGCAAATTAGAAATTACTATACTTGGATTGCATTTTGCAAAAAGGAACCACTAGCATTGCAATGATGCTAAGATTGTGCAACTTCATCTTTTGCAATAAGATTGTGGAAATCGTGAAAAACTATGAAATTTAGATGGTAATTTTTGTCTTAAATTTACAGTTTTTATAGCGAGTAAAATAGAAATTATTAATGGATAATCGGGTTTTTCCTCCAAGACAAAAGAAGTTGCACAATCTTAGCAACATTGCAATGCTATTGGTTCCTTTTTGCAAAATGCAATCCACTTTAACTCAAAGGAGATAAGAGATTTTTTCGCCTTTTCTCGATTGTAATTATTTTTCTGAATCAGATTTTTTTCTTGATACCTACATTTGAAGAAGTTACAACATTTCTCGCCCCCTAAATTTGCCGCCATGGGCCGCGGCTCATGTGGCCACCCCCTAAATCCCGCCCTGTACATATAAGCAAAGTGCATATTTCATTGAATCATACGAGCCGTAGAATCAGCCTGAGGGAAGAAGAGTCTGATAGTAACCTCTATGTTTCTAGCTTTGCGTTAAAGTCTCCTTTGCGGTACCTATTTTAACGCCATGTATATGCAAGCGAAGTACAAATCAATGAGTCACTTGGACTAAAATAAGCCCAAGTAAATGAGCATTTTAGAGTGAACTGTGCTGTTTTGCGAGGGAAAATACCGTATGACCCTCCTCCTGCTGCCTCTCCTTTGATAAAACACAGATTTGCTTGGAAATTCTTAGATATTTGCTTCCAAGTTTTCAAAGTAGTTAGTTTATAATTTGATTCAAATCATCTGATACTTTCAAAGAAAAATATGCATACGTTTCCAATAATGTAACATGTTATCAAGAGGCATTTTGGCAGCATTCGAATGTTCATACGGCGTTTTTCCTTTGTATGACTGCACGCCTTAAAAATTAATAATTACTCGACTGTAAATATAGGTCCTCAGAATACGTAGGAACATTCAGAATACAGCCGATTGGTGGATACAACTTAATTAACTTCGAAAAAATGGATTCTACACTCCTTCTTACGTAGAAATAGTTGGATATCTCGAAAAAAAATTTCAAAAATCGAGAAAAATCGACAGGTGTTACATGGGCTAAAATTTTTGGGTCAAAATTGAAGTTTTCCGATTGACAGGAAGAAATGTAGTCCTCTAAAAATGACCCGAGTAGCGTGATTTTCTGATCTAAAATTCTCCGCAGGTGAACTAACTCTCATAATCAGCGAACCTGGCAAGCGGACCCAAATTCAGGAAATCTCTGAAAAGGTCAGAAACACTCATTTCAAGGGCTTTTTAAATCGGAAAAAGTTTGGAAAGTTTGCTTCTAGCCAAAACATTGTATGATCACTTTCAAGATCCTTCGCGCTCAGAATTATTGATGATTACAATTTTCACAAATCGTATCGTTTTAGTATATTCGTGCGACGACGACGCATGAATGGAGTGGATGACACATTTTATTATCTCAAAAAATTGGAGGCATTGCGGCTTTTTCAATGGCTAGGTGTGGATACAACTAATCGTGTTCTGTTCTCGGAATGGCCGTGTTGCATACACAAACAATTGCGGGCGCTCTTGTTTTTCTGAGACAGAACGTACGGCTGCGGTTGTTGGTTTTCAAGGGGTTTCTACATTGCATATACAATTGTGTTTAACGTGAAATCCTCGAAATTCGGAAGAATCATGTATAGCACCGTCGAACGAAAATGTTGGGAAGTGAGTAGTGAACAGAAAAAAAAACCATTTTAATGGGCATATTCATTTTTAATTCATAATATTGAGTAATTTTTATTTACAAAACAAACCAAAATTATGAGAAGTTGGCTTAAAGTAGAACACGTTTCAAATAAAACTGATAGTAAAAGTAAGGAAAAGGAACACAAGATCCTACATGATTTAGATGAATTGAAGTTCAAAAATCGAAGCGTAATGCTTTGGAAGGTTTTGACAAATATTCCGAATAGTTTTGGAAAAATTAAGTCATAGAGCAGGAAAAATACATCGGATTTAAATTATTGAAAACATTTCAGGATATATGGAGGTCTGTCAGTTGGAGACCAACAAGAATGATTTTTTTGTTTTATTCCATCCTCCAAAAGTGACGTCGCAGCAGATTCTCAATTTATAAGAATTGAACAGATTTCAAAGGAGTATGTGGAAAAGAAATAGGACCTATCCTCTCTTTCCAAATTTTGAAATTTGGATTTTTTTCTTTCATCTTTGAACACTTTAGCTCTTGATCTCCACACATATTGAGATGACGAATATTTTATGAACTGCTACTCCTGCTTTCCCTACATCACACCTCGAAAAAGATATTGAGTATTGACCTCTTTCAGCTACATATTATATCAGGAAGTATTTGAAATGACGCTGTCAGTGACGAAAGATATTGCACATGTAACACGGATCAACTCTAGAATAGTGGATATTCAGAAACGATACTATACGATAAATACATCTCAGCTTCCTTTCATTTTAATTTCTTGGCAGAGGGTAAGGAGCTTTTGTTAATAATGGCTTGGCTCAATAATAAGAAAAGAAACAAATATTTCATTTTCCTCCAGATAATGTAATGCCTGCTTAGGCATCATGCAACCCATTCGTGAGTTCAATCAAGTGCCTACAAGGCTAAAAATCAGTAGACCAAGAGAAGAACGAAGAGAGGAGGACCAATTATTAAAGGAGTTTTGTAACATAATCTAATTCCAACATATATACTGTTATTATCAATCTACAAATGCAGATTGTTACCTTCCGTACACCCTCCTATATTTCACTTTGGGTGCATTACTTTTCTTTGAACCCTTTAAAAAAGAAGTCATAACTTGTTGATTTTTTTGCTCAGGTAATAAATGCTTCAAAAAAAAATAAATAAATAAAACAAAATAAACAAAAACAAAAACTTAAGACAAACTAAAACGTAATACAGCGTTTGAAATAAAAGAACACCTTAGTAATGATGATTACCAATCAGAAGTGACAATCATAACAATACTTCGGTAATAACAATTGAATATTTCTATCTTACATTTAGATTCTGCAATATTTACACTCTAAAGAAAAAATAATTTGGCCCCAAACATAATTTTTAAACAAATTCACTAAATGTATCTACCTACCCCAAAGACAAAATTATAAGACAACAACTCTCAAGTTAAAGTAGAAATCCTAAGATTCTTGATGAAAATAGCAAAAATTGCGGACGCACATAAACTGTGAATGAAATCTGCCAGTTGTTGACGGACACAAAAATGAAACATCAAGAGAACTGCATTCAGTAGACACCCAAATAGCATTTTTCAACGGCAAACTCGTGATACCTTGAAATTGATTTGCGATTATTTTAAGATTTTTTGGCAATAAAATTGTTAGGGTTATTAACATCCATGAGCGATCAACCTCAATCTTGTCGCACTTTTATCCCCATAAAATCGTTTTCGATAAAATCAAAATCGAATCTCAATTTACCACGATTTTTTGTTCGATATTATTGCGATAAATCGCCGACGGTAAAATCGCAATTCTATTTCAAATTAATGTGATGGAATTGCAATTTATCGCAATTTTTATCCACTAATATTGCAATAAATCGACATCGATGAAATCGCAATACATTCTCCGATCAAATCGCAACTCATCGCGATCACGGCTACTTGGAAGTTGACGCAAGTTCTCTTTATGTCATTATAGTTTCCCATTATGTCACAGTTCTGCTGACCTAAAGGAGTGACTAAACTTTTAGATGAGCCACATCACTCGTCTAATTATTTGATTCTCAGCACTCACAGGGGATGAAGCTGTGACCTGACACAGCTCAATATCGATAAGCGGTTTTTATGTTGCTTTATGTAGTCCACCTATTAGTTTATCGAAAAATTAATAAAAATTACACTTTCTCTGAAATCAACGGAGATGGATTTGAGCACAAAAAAGCTGAAAGTAAAAATGGGCCTGAGTGACAAAAAGATAAAAATCTGGAATAAACAATTTGAAATATTCGGCCACATTTATGCTCAGTAGATTAGATTAGACTAGAAGACTCTGTCCACAAAGTAACATTGAAAATTGTATAGGTAAGTAATCTGATCAGTATTAAGATCTATATTTGGATAAGTATTATGAAGGAGTTATGTCAGGAATTTCATAACTCCTGCCTCTGGTAGAAGCACGCTCATACAAATCGGACTGGGAGGATTTATAAATCCTACAAAACCGGAAATTTTTGTATTCACTACAAAAACGGAAGTGGCGGAAACTTGAAAAATATCGCGAATTATTTTAAGGTTAAAACTGTTGTTTGAGACTTACAGAAAAGACGTGATTTTGAATGTAAAATGGTTGCCAAAAAGGGCGAACATACAATTTTTCACAGCAGAAGTTAGATGTGAAGCACTAACTTTTCAAAGCCTAATTTGACCTAACGACAATTTGATACGTCTCCTTCGAGTCAAGCCTGATGTAATTTACATTCAAATCGACTGAAAATAAATGCGGTCCGATAGGAAATAAGTTCAGTAAAAGATTTTTGATTGAGCTCAAAAGAAAGCTTCTGGGAATTGGAGGATCATCGGGAGACCATCAAGATGGGTATGAGTGAATGAAGGAACATTTTGGAAGCAATAAATCCTAAAATTTTCTAGATGAAATTTATCAAGCCTCAAAAGAGATTAAAATAGTAGTCTGAGAAAATATTCGGAGATAGGTAACCGTCAATTCCTTTGAGAAAAAATTAAGAAGGACCTAGGAGCGCGACAACTTTTTTCTCCTACAATTCATTCCTAGACATAAAGTGACCCATTCATGGTTATAACTACCGATTAGTGGATAGTATGGAGTAATTGGAGCATCTTCGAAACTCACCACTTACTGTGATACAGATATCAATGCATATTTTGCATGTGCGTAAAAACACGAAAATTATTGTGCACGCTCGTGCTCAAAGTATTAGCAGCATCACTGAGTTAAGAGTGTTCCAGAGAAAACCTAAATACAAATGTACGTAAATAACTGTAACACTGGGTTACAGCCTGCTCAATTTTCCTTATACAAGTTGGTTTGCACTCGTAAGTAGGTACCTACAAGGAAGATGGAATCCTGAAAAATCTAATTTTTAATTAGTTACTTGATTCCTCCTCAAATAAACATTTACTTAACTCAACATAAATAATTTCAATCAAATAAAAATGTCACAATCGTTAAAAAGAAAGAAAGAAAAAAAATAAGGTAAGAACAGGAAGGGAAGGTAGAAATCAGTTGATTCCAGAGAACATATTTGCGAGTCCAGGATTGAGTGCCTCAAGGATTGATACAGACTCTATAATTTTCTAGGAGGATAAGGCACGGCCACTTAACAAAAGAATTATTCTAATATACAACTTATTTTACAACATGTCATACAAATGAGTAAAACATAACTATGCAACTCAGAACATGTGGTTTCTTGGAAGAAAAAAAATGACTTTATGGTACAATGAAAGCTCTTCAGACAAAAGGAAGTAGGAGAATTTTAATTAGAAGAATTTTATGATGAACGGGGTTGAGGACACCAAAAATCCCTCCATACCTCACTAATCCTTGACCAGAAAATTTAGGATAGTTCATGACATGGTACTTATACAATTTTACTACTTAAAAATAGAGGTAAAAAATATTCAGAATTATTTTTGTATTTACCGCATAAGTAACTCAAATTTTAGCTCCATTTTAGGTTAACTGACTTGTTTTCCATTATGATAGGAGGTTTTTACCCAAGTTTCAATAGAATAATAGGAAATTGATACAAATTTTACAAGTATTCAAAGATATAACTTATGTTCGCTCTTGGTTGAATGGATTTTTTTCTGTTCTCATTTCTTCCACCTCCAAATGCAATAGCCGGGATATTTGGCCATACACCGACGTATGCATGTTGATTTGCAATTCAGTCGCATTCGGATAGAGTCATTGATGATCATCAAAATATCGACGGTGAAACTACCAAACCACGTATCTCGGTTGCGGTGTTTAAAAATCTACGCTCACATTTTATTTTTTTAAAGTAGACCAAATCAATATCATTCCTTGAAATTTTCACAGAATTTTCTCCGCACGAAGAGAAAAAATCACAAACATTTTCAAGACTGGACGTTCAGTAGCTATTCATTTAAAAAATAAAGTATGACAGGAAGTCTGCGACGTCGCAAACCGAGATACGTGGTTTGGTAGTTTCACCGTCGATATGACAAGAATTAAGTAAATTGCTGAAAATAATAAACCTTAACTAGGAATGTAGCTTTGTGAGGAGAAAAAGGATTATTCATTCAACGGTAGAAATCAGACTGATACGAAGTTCTCTGGGAACAAAGAATATGCCTATGAAAATTTTAACAATTTATTTCCAGCATAAATTGCGATTTTTATTGATTACTTATCTAGAATGTAAAAAAAAAAACATTAAATTAATTTACATTCCATTTAAGATTAATGAGAAAATGTATAATAACGTGTGGATGATTTCAAGATCAAAACTTCAGGATGATAAACAAAATGATCACGGTAAGTGATAGTTTCTCTTTATTTTGTAGATTAATTTGGTCAAATGCTACAAGTCTTTGCACATGCTAGCTCACATAGAAAGTCTGCAACCGACTGGGAATAATGTTTTCCTGCTAGAAATCAAATTAGCTATAGTCTAGTTTTGTGGTATATTTCAAGGAAAATCTACACTGCCGAAACGACGGACTCTCAAAAAACGGTTATTTTGAAATGTAAAATTGAAGTTTAACAAGCCTTCGCTCACTGTATTTTTTATTTTATTTTAAACATAGCAATGCTCGTATGACGAAATAATTAGCTTGGAAAATCTCTACCAACTAAACATTTTGTAGACCCCTGAAGTTCTTCTTCCGATTACACTTTATCTGATTCACTATTGTTCATTAGAAAGTTCCATAGAGAAAAAAAGGAGGTGTTTGCATTTCGGGCATCTTGGAATTTTTTTGATGACGTAGGTCGGTACGGCGACTTTTATCATCGATTTTCTTGTAAATGGTGTAGTTTATGGAAGAAATGCTTTCTACTTGAAGTGTTTGAAATTTTATCATGAATTGACTTAAGCAAAAAAATCGGACGTTATGGTCCGTTTTTCATACTTCGAATTCCGGGTTTTGCTGACCAGGTTGTGCCGACCTACGTCACAGGGTACACAATCCTCAAGATGCAAACACCTTCTTTTTTTCTCTATGTGAAAGCTCATTCGCAGTTAATTTGAAATCGAATGAGTTCAGGCTCCTTACTTCATCATAGCTGTCATCGAGAGTAAGATTTCTAGGCTGCTAAAGATTGCCATGTCTTTAAACTGAGAAAATTTTCGTTACTAATTGATATGTAAAGCTTTAATAGTTTTTAAAGTCAGACAATGTGTCTCTAGTACGATGATTACAGATGCGTTGCAGTGATTTAAAATGTAGCAGCTTCAAACCCTGTTTCGAATCATGAAAATTATCCTGAACAAGAGAGGTGAAAGTCATTAGCGAATTTCCATTACCTAGCATAATGTATGTAACTCAGCTAAACGCTTAATGCAACACAAATGAAAACACATGAGAGCATGAACGTCATTTATTCATACAAATTATTCTTTCAAACTCGCAATTTTCTCTATGCTCTTGGATGAAGCAAAGACCAACTCAGAACTAGCTGAAGTGATTGGCTGATGAATCTAAAATGTATTCTGACCTAAGAAAGGTAAACCATCTTATACCAAATTTTCATGTGACAGTTTCATCTATTTATTTCTCTCATTATATTTAAGAACAAAATATTCAAATAAGTATTTGAACAAACATTTTAAAACTTTTGGTCCCGTAGAAAATAATCTTAGTCTAAAAACTGTCATCCGTTGGATTCATATTCCTAAAATTTATTAAGGTTAAAAAGTAGATAAGTTACTAGTTTACGAAGTGTTTAACGTAGGTATGACGGTTTTAAAATAAGTAGGTACGGGATATAGCAAAAGGGGGAAGATGAGCCGTTGGGATGGTGTAAGGTCTAGGTACTGACCTTGCCTAAAATTGATAGACAGAACAGAAGTTGATGTACCTAAGTTGGTATTCATCAATATTATTCTTTAAAAAAATAAAAGAAAAGGAAATACCAGGAAAATTTGCATAACCAAGTTCTTGATGCGGAAAAGTAAAACCAATGTTGAAATAGTACTTAAGCAATCTATTTCTCAACCTTTTAAAGCCGCAATTTCTTTACTAGATTGGGCTGAAAATGGAAATAGGTACATGGTCTGAAAGATACAAATTCTTTCTCCTTGACAATCAAAAAAGAGGAAACAAAGAAAGAAGTGAGACTTATGTTTTTTTATCAATTTCAACCAACTTATGTCCTCTTGAATATGTACCTTATTTTTTGTATCTTTTTCTTAAAAATTTTGAGAGAGTGTTCCGAAAATTTGATATTTTTGGATGATGCTACGTATGAATATTTTCTTTTTTTTCATCTTGTTTCTTCAAATATCATTTAATTTTTTTTTGCTTTATAAGGGAGGTATTTTTGTTATTAAACTGAAATACATCATATATGATACGAATGATTAAGAAACAATTATGAGAAAAAACCTAGATTGCACTCAAGGAAGGTTTGACAGAAATCAACTTCTATTGTTTTTTTTTTTTCAGCATGAAACAGTACCTTTGTATGGCACAAGATATTGAATTAGTATGTATCACATACGACGCATTTTGAAAACCTCTCACATATTGGACTAACAGTATTTAAATTCAGGAAGTTCTGTTGATTGAAGGTTGAGACTTTGTCAATAGGTAATGTATTTCAGGTGGACTTTTTTGATGCCTTGATTTTGTCAAGTAGACTATAAAGTGCTGGTAACGAGAAAGGAGGTGCGTTATTTTTGGCATTAATATTTTGAAGCATGGAGGCGTTTCCTACCATTTCTTTAATAATTCTTCACATTCGGTCACTTTCATCGGATGATTGAGGGATCCCAAAATTATTTTTACACGACTGATCACTCTCAGTAAAATACAATGGAATGGCATTTGCTTGGGTTAGATTAAGTCCTCGTACAAAAAGCAGCTTGTCTCGTTTGTGGCCTTTAAAGATCTTCACTCCCATTTCATTTTATCAAAGGACAACGAGTTAAAGATTTTTCTCATAAAATTTTCACAAAATATTCCTCAAACAGAGAAGAAAAATGAAGAAAGTTTTCGCGAGAGGAAGTAGAGTATTTTTCTATTCAAAAAATAAATTATGACAGGAAGTATCTGCAGCGCCGCAAACCGAGATATTCATTTTTGCAGTTTCACGGTCGATTCGATATGTAGGTTTGTATTACGTGTGGTATTTGTCCAAAAAGATAAGGGAAGTCAATGTGATTCTACATAAAAAAATCCAAACTTAGTTACAAACCTCTTTGGGTAAAGATTCTCTGTAACATAATTTTTTCCTCCTTTTTTTTTGACAATTATTATGTGCTTGTTGTGGTTCAAAGTATCTTCCGGGATCTTGCATAAGTTTTCGGAGCTTACCAATGCATATGATCTATTGCTAAAGAAATATGCAGTTCACAAAGAAATCGTATTGAATCTAACTAGATGGTAACAAAGGATAGAGTAACAATATTAGATTAAGCACCTACAACTTAGAGGAGACAAAAAACAAACAAAGAAGTAATGAACATGATAATCTTGGTATTTTTTAATTTTTAAGTAAGGCAAGGTGGAATTCAACTCGGTGATGAGGAAGTTTCAAAAATCGACCGGGACATTTCGTCACATTCCGGCCAATTGAGCGCCAATCTCCATAAGACTGATGTAAAACGGAAAAAGTTAATTGCGGCTGTTATAAACACAAGAAATACTTGAAAATTTTTTGAATTCATATTCAAAATCAAATATTTTTTTGGTTTAAATGCTTAAGTGAATAGAATTACGATTTCAGGTAACTTCTCAATTTTTTTCAATGGAATAATTTTGATAGCAGATACTTAAAATAAATAGTTTACGGTTCATATGTGGGGTAAATCAAAACTTACGAAAGTCGAGGTGCGTAATATTTCAGGGCCATCAAACTAGTCCGTGGAATAAGTTTCGCCGCATTCTTCCACATGACTCGAGTCTAAGATTTTATTGCTTAAAAGACCCCATACTACTACATTAAAAGACATAGTCGACTCACGAGGGTCATTTTAAGATTTCAAACCTAACAAGGGCAGTATCAAAGATCACGATGATTGAAGGACATAACAGTACAATCTTTAAGGTAACATTATTCGTCAAACCGTTTTAATCAAATGTACGATGACTCATGCAGCAGTGTTTAAGTAAGGGGGCCATTTACATGTTTTGAGCCACTGACAAAATGAGGCTTCGATTTAGGGAAGAATACAAGCTGAAAATTAAAAAATATAAAAATTTTACTATTTTTATTATTCATTAATAAAAGTAAATATAATTTCACGCTTCATGTATAGAAGCAATTTGTATACGTCTAGTTATCATAATTTCTCATGGTATTTACTTGTATATTTATTTTACACGCACTAAAAGTTAAATCAAACCTTCACTTTTAGCCACTGTACTTCTACTCTCAAAATGTCAGTATTTAGTTTTTTTTTCATCTGAAAAATTTGAATCTTTTGGACACGATGACCGTGAAAAGTCAAATGTTTCACTTTTGGTAGATGACAGTACACACACACGGACGACACATTGCTCACTTTTTTTTTCGACACACGCGATCTGCATTTGTGAATGTATCTCCACTCTGTTAAAAAAAAAAAAAAAAACTTTCATGAGAGTATCACTGAGTTGCTCCACCTTACCGAAGAACAGTATTTAAGGACAATCAAACAACAAAAGGGAGGTAGGTACCCTCTCGTGCTTTTGTTTTCTACTGTTACGAGGCAAGATAATTTTCTTGCCTCTCCTACATTTTGAAAATTTGTTCAAGAGGGTTCAAATATTTGGTAAACTTTTCAACTTAATTAACATCATTACTTAATATCACACGAATAATAAACTACATAACAATGAGTTTAAAAATAAATAGTAACAGACGAGCAAAGACTATTTTTGCAGCCGTCCCGGAGGCAATGGCTCAGGTTCCGTTAACATAAACTGAGATACGTTTCCGTTTGATCAACCAATTTCAGTCTTCACTTATGACGAATTAATCAACTAAACAGAAGCAAAAAACAAAAATTGGTGTCAAATACCTATAACAAAAATAGTACAATTTATACAAAATCCTAGGTTGGTATGAAAATTTATAACTAGAGTTCCTCAACCACGATTCCCGACTCGCGGCGAAGGAAATTAACAAATCTAAGAAAGCGTAACATCATACGAACCACAGACGGTCATAGAGATAGTTATGTACAAATGTATCAAAACAACAAAAGCTCGTCCACTCAGAGACAGCTTACAAGAATGAGGGAAGTTTGAGTTTCCATTGATACTCTGCGACAGCGAACTCTCAGCGAGGTTTGTTTACCGTTACGTTCGAAGAAAAAATTGGATATATTTACCGAAAATTTGATATGAAAGATTGCCAGACAATTTGCACAAGAGGATACTTGGATGATTCCAACGAGGTTAATAGCTGAAAACTTTATGATTGAAAATTTATCAAATTAATTATTTTATTACCTGTGTCACCTTAAATTGCCTCAATTGGACTGCATTTTGCAATTTGGAACTATAAATTCTGGCTCATCTGAAAAAACACTTATGTGCACCGGGAAACTAATGGCGCAAACGTTGTTTTTAAACCGGGCCCGAATTCATAGTTCCTAATTGCAAAATGTAGTCCAATTGTAATGAGGGTACTGAGCGTGCGAGTACCTATATTTTATCCTGCTCTCTTCAACAGCCCGAAATTATACACGACTTTGCAGTCAGAAAATAAATACATCTGACCATCAAACTGTAACATCTAATTGCGTTTACCTTTTAGTTTGCAAACAAAGTCTTGAAACAATATTGCCGCAAATATGATTTGAAATGGCCCCATACCGTTGCAAGCTGTTTGATAATCTTGTATACTATCCTTAAAGGACAGTAAAAGTTAGTTTTAAGGTTACTGAGTCAGCGGTAAGGTACTCAAGCTCTTACCGTTAACTGCAGCAAACATCCATAAAACATAAGAAAATCGGAGATTATCAAGACTTGAATTACACTAATCGGAAGTCTGGAATTTCATGAAAACATGTGTGACACACACCTTAAAAACTTTTAAAATGGAAATTTGTCTTTATGTTTTGGAGAGAATTCAATCGGTGGAATGTAAAAGAGGGTTGGCTTGCATGAAAGAAGTGATACATTTGCACCAATCTCTGATATTAGAGAATGTAGAGATCAAAATTTGTGTATTTATAACTTCAGGTTTTAGAATAAACCATCAAAAACTTTTCATATGTTTATCATCAATGATATAGATTTAGGTATTTTAATACACAGGTCAAAAATTCAAAGAATTTTGACAGAAGGATATAATGAAAAATTGGAAACAGTGGTTCTGAAATTCTGAGAACACAATGTAATATGACAAACCCATTCCTGATTAGAACTTCAAAATTGGTGTAAAAAAGAAGCAGTAGAAAATCTAGACGTGTTGTTGAACGATGACTTTAGAAAGTCAAAATTGAATGCAATTAGCTACTTTTGAAACTTTGTACTAAGACTAAGAAGATACTCAAATCTTGCTTTGGTAATGGTAATGTCGTTCGCTTAATTTTAAGTATCTAGAAATTCAAAGGGAAAATATTTGCTACTGCTACTCCCAAAAATAAATATTGTTGGGGGGTAATTTAGCAGCACGTAAATGCTAAAACAACATTCCTCAGCAGGACAATAGAATCAGTCGGTTACAAAAGGGCTCAAGCGCCAGATATAAAAATACGAAAAAAAAAAACAGTAGAAATTGTATGAGCCAACCCGTTTTAAATTGCTGATTAATCAATAATATGATTAATGGATTCATCGTTTTAATATTTTAGAGCTCTGAGATTTATGAGGGGTCAATTAAAACGGTCATTACCGATTTTTCTCGAATTCTCATTTTTGGCGCTTGAGCCCTTCGTAACTGACCGATTCCAAGTAGCAGTGATCGCAATAAATAGCGATTTTATCGGTTGGTTATCGCGATCATATCGGCGGCAATATATCGAGATATAATCGCATCAAAAATCGCGATATATGGCGACTAAATCGCTACGAATCGCAATTTTTGGTTCGATAAAATCATGATCAATTTTTGTCGACAAAAATCTAGATTAAATCACCATTAATCGCGATTTTTATTTCGAAAATATCGCGATAAATTGGATTGCATTTTGCAAAAAGGAACCACTAGCATTGCAATGATGCTAAGATTGTGCAACTTCATCTTTTGCAATAAAATTGCGGAAATCGTGAAAAACTATGAAATGTAGATGGTACGTTTTGTCTTAAAATTATTTTTTAGCGAGTAAAATAGAAACTATTAATGGATAATCGGGTTTTTCCTCCAAGACAAAAGAAGTTGCACAATCTTAGCAACATTGCAATGCTAGTGGTTCCTTTTTGCAAAATGCAATCCAATTGTCGGGCAATAAAAGCGCGATTTTATCGAGGAAAATCGCTCAGATGTTGATGATCCTGGCGATTTTATCGCCGATAAAACCGCAATACATAACGATTTTTCCATTGAGAAATGCTACTTGGGAATCCGGAGCAACGTGCGAAGAAGATCAGTCATGGGTTCGTCCTCAGATCTCGAACAAAACTCAGCTCCCCGAGAACTTACATATTGTAATGGAGCCTATCGTTGTTGAAGGACGGGAGCGCCGGCTGGCTCTGGTAACTCATCCTGCGGTAGGGGTGCGACCGCTGCTGGAAGTGGTAGCTCCCGTAGTTCTGGTAATCGAACTCGGTGCAGTTGGAGTAGTTGTTGTAGTAGTAGCTCTTGTACTCGGCCGACGCGACGTCGCAGGCCGGCGAGGAGTAGGACATCATGCCGGAGTAGGACTGGTGGGCGTTGGACGGCGCGGAGTAGACATTGAACTGGTTCCAGCACTGCGAGGACTGGTAGGGCTGGAGCCCCGAGTCGCCGCCCTGGAAGTGGTACGGGTTCCCGGGGACGAAGCGCTCCTGGATCTGGCTCGAGCGCGGGGGGCAGTAGTGGGGGTTGTAGTAAGAGTTGTGATGCATGGGGTGGGCGAAGCGGTCCTGCCGCGTTTGGTTGTAGTACGGGCTCGGCGAGGGCGGCACGAAGCCGTTGGTCCCGGTGAAGCTCGACTCGTGCAAGCTCCGGGCTTGACTTTGGCTTTGGCTTGGACTTTGGTTTTGACTTTGGTTTGGCCCGAGGCTCAGCTTCGAGTCGCAGTCCCGACCACTCATCTCCCAGTCCTTCTTCTCCATCTTGATCGGGCCTGAGCCGGCTGGCGGCTTGCATGGCTCGTTACCTGGGGAAAATTTGTCAATATTATCTACACGCTCAAAAACCTAATGAGCTGCCATCACACGAATAGTTCCGACTGTAAAGTTTGACAGTGTGTGCATCACTGGAAAAAAAAACACATCGGATCTAGAGTCCAGACTCTTGAAAACATTGACAAGAAAAAATACTCTTGATTCAATCGGATTTTTGCTTGAATCAAAACGAAATCCGCTTAAATTAAGAGGCTTGGTTCTTGATTTAAGCTAGATTCTGATGGAATCAAGAGTACTTTTTCTTATCGATGTTTTTAAGAGTCTGGACTCTAGATCCAATGTGTTTTTTTTCCAGTGATGCACAGTGCACACATATAGACCAGGGTGTCTAGTCTTTTTTACTTTTGGGAAAGCCTGATTTATCCTGATTTTTGACTGCAAAATCCTGATTTCATACTTTTTCCAAATCTTGAGCTAATCCTGATTTTTTGTGGAGAAAAATCAATAAAACTAAAATAGCTCGATAAAAAAATCCGATCGGACGGCCGACTTTTCTCAAATCCTGATTTCACGATCGATTTTTTTTTCAAATTCTGATGAAATCGGGATTAAATCCTGATTGACCTCAAATCCTGATAGAATCGGGAAAATCCGGAAAATCCTGATGCTAGACACCCTGACAGACTCACCACATAGCCCGCGAATGTCACTCATTGTACAGCCGGACTGCTCGTGTGACAGCAGCTGTAAACTTCATTTCACGCAATCTTATTAAAACAATGCGTTCGCTGATTATAAACAGAGATGGACAAAGTAAAAAATGCGTACCTCCATCACAACGTTTTGGAGTATCAGATTTTTTGTTGTTTTCGTTATTTATTTTTTTATTTTTTGTGCTCCCTTTGAACGCATTGCCACCAGTATACTACAATGGGTAAATTGCGCTGGTCACGGAATGGTGTTATGATGCTCGATTCATTTAGATTAGCTAAAAATAATGAGATCAGTCCAAACAGCAACTTTCTACGCTCAAAATGTTTACCAAGAAATCGTCCTTTGAAAAGTCGGGTTATGACAGTTTTGGACGGATGTTATTATTTTTCGCTAATCTGCAAGAATCGAGCATCATAACACCATTCCGTGACCAGGGTTTCAGGACATTCCGTCAACGATTTTTTGTCGACGCACCTGTTTTGTCCAGTAGTTTACATCCATGCGTAAATAAGCAACAGTGACTTGGTTCAAGCATTATATTTAAGTCCGATTTTAAAATTATATCGATAATATCGAAATGAGAAAATTGAAAGAGAAGGAGGTGTTGTTGTGGTAACTCATTTTTTAAATGAAATGTTACTTTCTTCTTGTGATTCATCTTAGTAAAACGTAGCAAACATTTGTAAAACATTTTCAAGCGATGACATCGATATTAATCTCAATGAGTCGTGTGTTGAAAGGAATTGTACAAAAATGAATAAAAGAGGGGAAAAAACCAAAAAGCACGCAATCTTTGGTTTTGACCCATTTGCACATCGATCTGTTGGAATCAAATACGTCTAATTTTGAGCGTTTGGTTGCGCTGTAGCACAGCAAAAGCACAAAATGTGAAAGAAAAAATCAGAGGGCTTTGAAAATCATTAAATTTGACACGGAATCACCTTAATATTTACAGAATACACAAAATATTTTTCTTTAATACATATCTTTTTTCATCAATTTAAATGAGAATAGTCCATGCAGAGTGTGCAAGCATTTGAAAATCATGAGTTGAAAACCGCTTACTGCGAATTTAAGAATTAGAGTCAAACAGAGCGGAGCGGCGCGGCGCGGCGTGCAGCAAGCGCGAGAGGCTCACTGGCGCCTACAAACCTAAATGGATACTTCACGCATTGCGCAATGTTTGAAGTATCTACTTAGGTTTGTAGGCGCCAATGCGCGTTTCGCGCTGGCCGCCCGCTCGCCGTGCCGCAGCATGGCACCTCAAGCAACTATTTCGCAACAGAGGTGTTAGAATTTACCTGGGAGCGCTGCTGGATCTTGAGGCGGGCTGAGCTGATTATTGGCGGCGGCTTTGGTCTGCTTGCGCTCCTGGGCCTTGGTGCGGCGGGTGCCGTTGCGGGCGCCGCGCCCCCGCCGGCTCGCAGGGGCGCTCACAGGGACCGGACTCACTTTGGACATGAGGTCGTTGTGGAGCCCGAGGCAGTCCTCCTCCTGCGGGGCCTCGAAGTACTCCTCGTGCTGCGAGAAGCGCCCGATCTCCGTCGAGCCGAACGCCTGGTGGAACCCGGGCAGCTTCCCGCCGTTCTTCCCCGCCGCCGCCCCCGGCCCCGCCTCGCTCGACGCCGGCAGCTTCAGCTTCTCGTCGCTCAGCAGGCTCAGGTCCGCGCTTAGCTCTTCCTTGACGTTCGTCAGCACGGCTGAGATCAGTCGCAGGTCTTCCGCCTGAAAAGACACAAGCACATAACCTCGAATTAATAATGAATAAAATCGCTAAAAATTTAAAAACTCAAACTTTGCTTACTTGATTATTATCCGTTCTTAAAATTTTGAAATTCTAGTTAAAATGATGATGAAAATAAGGCTAAAAAACAAGGAAAGTTCATTTAAGTAAAGAATAAAATCGCTAAAAATTTAAAAACTTCGAACTTTCTTTACTTATTTGTCCGACTCAAATTAATGCTGAATTTTAGAGTCGAAAATCACATTGTGAACCGAACGTATACATTTCACAACTGAACATTTTCTACGATATTTGATTGAATTTTGCGATAAGGAACCACTATATCTCTGGCTCTCCCATAAAAGATCATATCTGCATAGCAAAACCAATGGCAGGTGTGTTGTTTCTAAAATGGGCCAGAAATAGTGGTTCTTATTGCAAAATGTAATGACATTACAAAATGAACATTTAAATAAATAGAATTACCTGGATTTCTGTGATGGGTGGGAGAGAAGTTCTTGACTCGGATAGAACTCCCTCCTGCTCTGGGCATGGCAAAGCCAATAACGAAGACTCTGAAATAGAGCAAGAATCCAATATTAGCAATCAAGTAAACTTAATATTATTGTTTCATTGTATTGTTTAATATTATTGTCAACTGTCAGAACGAAGATACTGTCTTGAAATAGTGGTATACCTCTTAAGCATCTTAGCTGTATATTCTTTTTACGCACTGGTGAAAGCCAAGACACGACCACGTGGAGTCTATGGCACGACATGAGTCCATGACTTAGAAAAATAAAATGCACGTTCCAAAAACATCATGAAACATGATAAAATCTGCAGGAATAAGACACATATCGACGGTGTAAGTCGGCACTCGGCAATCATATAACTCGGTTTGCGACGTCGCAGACTTCCTGTCATACTTTATTTTTTAAACGGAAAACTACTCAACGGCAATGTTTTAATACTGTCGTGATTTTTCTTCTCAGTGCGAAGAAAATTCTGCATAAAATTCAAGGAATGATGTCAATTTTTTCTCCTTTAAAAAAACAACATAGAGGCGGAGAATTTCTGACACCGTAAACGAGTTATGTGATTGCCGACTTACACCGTCGATATGAATTAAATTTTTGAGTTTTTGTGCCGCGCCAGGTTGGGATGGAAAGACGCTCCTTAAAGCTTCCCTTACTTACAATCCATCATGTGGCGATACCACTGTATCAAAAAGGAGCTCGTATTGCCTAGTCGAAGAATTGAAGGCGAGCTAACAAGGCGTTAAAGTCACCACTTCGCGACAGTGCGACGACCACTTTAAACTAACACCCCAATTTTCATGAAGGAGCTGAATTGAATCCTGATGTCGGCAATGTATCGATCAATGTAAGTAACAAACAATAGTTTTGCCTTAAACTTTTTCTTTTTTCTTATGTTGTAAGGAGGATTTGCGCCTTATTTGAAAACGTTCTACTCGCCTGAACTTTCCTATATCTTTCCCTCCATGTCGAACAGTGCGCAGTAAATTTCAGGATCAAATAAGGACCGGTAAAATTTTAGGAATAAAAATGTGTAAATTCTTTTGAAAATTATATAGATAAAATCGATTATGAACATTTAATTTGACCAATTAATTAATTCACTGATTGATTGATCGAGTGAAATACAGGCCGATGAATGAATCAATAGATAAGAGATGAAAAAAAATTACCGGAAACGTTCTGATCACTATCGGAGACTGGGCCGGAGAGCCAGTCTGGAATATGTATCGACTGTTGATCATCGGACCGCAGCATAAGCATCGAGTCATCTCCTTCGGGCGAAGGCTGAAATGGGAATTCCATTACTAATTATACATTTTAATTGATAAAATCGATGTATTAAATTAGAGTGACTCAACGCACAAGGAAATGAAACAAAAACGTGATGTATAGCACTGTAGGGTTTTCGTAGGTTCCTACAGTTTTTTTCCTGACTTTGTTTTTGTAAATCATATTTGGGGTTGCATTATCTGAATATTATCTGACAAATCACAATCGTAGTTATAAACTTTTAGCAACGTATGAGCTTTGCAGCTAATGCAACATTTTTTCCAGGAATGTCTCAATTTTGAGATTCTTGAAAAATCCGCAGGAAACAGGACCAAAAAAACTAAATAATTTTGGTAAAAGCGTAAACGTTTGATAAGAGTAATTTCGTCTATTATTCTGATAAGCAGCGAAAACCCGTCAAAAGATCGCTGATTGTGACAATCCTAATGACGTCAAGAGATGAGATGAGAGACTTGAGATGATAATTGTTGCTGCGATAGAAGTGACATAAATAACTTTTTGAAGTCGTCAATTTAAAATGCGCAACTGTCTAAAAATAAGAAAATGAGAAAGGATATTAGATTTTTTCAATTCAATTTTGCATGCATTCGAAACGAAATCGTTTGAGAAAACGATTGACAGATTGAGCCCTGTAGCAGTAGCAGCTTTATTCATATGTTTAAAGCAACGAAAAAGGATTGATTATCAAGATATACCTTAATAATCGATTGTTTACTATAACTGCAGATGGGAAAATATCAATAGCAGATGATTCACGCTTGACTCACGCTTGCGTGACATAGGGTCACGATTCCGTCCCTTCTCAAGGAAGTCCCCTATGTATCGGGTTTCGTAGGGGAAGGAGGTGAAAGGGGTACTTCTCTGCGCGGGACATCAGCTGCGGCCCGATTATTGAATCTATGTCGATACGACAAGACTACACACAGCCCTCTCTAAATCATGCGTTATATCGAATTGCGATGTCTTATCTTGCTGATTGAAGCTTTCAATAATCGGTTCGCAACCAAGAAAAAAATATCTGAATACGGACCTGTAAGAAGTTTGAGAACCACGATTGTGCCTCAACATTGTCTATGGATGGGAGCCCCTGTTGAGGGTAGCCGAAATCGGACTGCGGCGGTGGGTAGTGAGTCAGCATGGTAGTTTCGGTTAGCGACTCTAGTTCAATTAGGTTCTCCTGGATTTTCATCTGGAACAGACCGAAACAGATAATTAGATTTTCACAAAAAGTGCGAATACACTGAATTATGAGAAAGGAAATAAATACCTTGTGAAAATTCTTCCGGTGACTTTAAAAAGAAATAATTGACGATGGCCAAAAGACGGAGTAAGAAATCATGAACTGCAGCAGAAGCTTTCTCATGAAAAGTATTTCATGTGCAACGTTTTGATCATCTCGAAAAATTCCGAGTTTAACTTGCAAATGAGCAGCTAGAGTTTCCGATGCTTTTAAAATTAAAGTTACCTCCCGTTAAAGGACTGAAGTCTATTTGAGTCAAATGGAACATTGAACTACGATTAAGTTATGATGGTGTGACGCAACGACGGTGCTTTTCATTTGGCAAAAGTTAAAGTTAAAGTTAAAGTTACCTCCCGTTCAAAGACTGAAATCTATTTGAGTCAAATAGGCCATTGAACTATCAATTTATGATGATGTGACGCAACAACGGCGCTTTTTAGTTGGCAACACTGATTTTTCTCCATTTAAATCCTTTAAAAATCTCGATCGCAGGATAGACAGTAGACACGCTGCCTCATATACAATCGATTGTTCACATACGTTCAAATGGAGGTAATGCAGCGTTGCCAACTTTTAATAATTGCCGCGGGCGTTACGTGTGTAATGACCTGAACTACACTAGACAAGTTTACAAGTGCTGCATGTCGTTTTCTATATTGACGAAACGTTCCGCGTAAAATTTTGACGTGGGAGCATGCTTGAAGAAATTTCATTTGCTAGCGAGTGATTCTGCCGCGCTAAGAAAAACGCCGTATGAGGCTTTAGATATTGCCATATTTTCTTCAATAAAAATCAAATTTACCGGGAAAAAGGTGAATATTGTTTTTCAAAATTTTCAGACCATTTTGTTGGCGATTTAATCAAAAATATATGAAAATTTCAAAGAAAATTATGCAAAACTTTCCTCACAAATACATGTTTTATTCAAGGAAATTTGCCGACTCTTAATGTTTATACGGTGTGACTTCCTTACAGGGCAGCATTCTCTCTTAGATTTTATAAATTCAGGAGTTTTTCCGAAATATTTAAATTTCTCGAATTGTACAAAAGTTTGCCACCCCGAAGAGGACGGATTCCAGCGCCAGACGCGGGAAATTGAATCTCGCCATATTTCCTTCGATGAAAGGCAAATTTACTGGGAAAATGGTGAATATTTTTTTTTCAAAACTTTCAGAAAGTTTTAACCCCGATTTCATCTAAGATATCTGAAAATGTCGAGGAAAATTTTCCTCGCAAATACATGTTTTATTCGAGGTAATTTGGCAGCTCTTGAGTGCTCTTACGGCGCACAGTGGATCGAGTTAACGAGAGAGGTCGGACATGAAATTTCTAACTGAAACTCAAAATTTAGATGTTTGCTTCGGCACATTTTAAATTTTTAGGGGTGTTTCGTAAAGTAAATTTCACGAGGTAACCAATGGAACCACTTTTAAAACCTCAAAGTACTGTAAGAACGGAGCTATACGCATTTGAAGTTTCCAAATTTTGTCCGACCCCTCTCTTTAACTCGATCCACCGTGCGGCGTGAATTCCTCAGCACGGCAGCATTCTCCCTTCGATATTATAAACTCAGGAGCTTTCGAAAATATTATTATCGAAACATTTAAATTCCTGGAATTCGACAAAATTTTGCATGCCGGGAGGGGGGCGGATTCCGGCGCCAGACGCGGGAAATTGAATCTCGCGCCTCGGCCGGGCGCGCGTCGGCGTCGCTCGGCGTTCGATCGTCGTCGTCGTCGGCGGGAAAGGCCGAGCGTCGCGGCGCCTGGCAACGGGCTCGCCCGAGCCCGGCATCGATCCGGTTCGAAATTTTCCCGCCTTTTCCGACCGCGCGCATTACACCGCCGGTCGCCCGAATCGATAAACTAATCGGCTTCCACCGGGAGGGGCGGCCCACGGGCGGGGCGGCGGCGGGGGAGGCTTTGAAGGGTCAACTCCCGTTCCTCAATCTTCAGCTCCGCCGCCGCCACCGCCGCCGCCGGCTCAATCCCGTATAAGTGTCCACCCTTCCGCGTTACGTCACGCCTCAAAAAAATCCCCTCCGGATCAATAGAGACGCTTGCCGGCGGGGGAGGGGGGCAGATCCTCGAGCTTTCTTCCTTGCCGTGGAACGCGGCACCGGAAAACGTGGAACGTACGCCTTTGATGTGTGCGGAGACCGCATCGTTACGTCATCGTGTCTGCATGAAGGAATTCTCCGTTGGGATCGATAGGGAGAGCCCACGGATATCTCCCCGACTGGAATTCTTGCTGTTCCGCAGGAATTCTGGTTGTGGGAACGAGAATTCCGGCAGACCCGAGTTGAGGAAAAAAAGTTCACGGAAAAAAAGTATCGTGATACTAACTATACGCCTGACTGATTTTGAAGCCAAATATTTGAATAGTTGCACAAGCCAGAGGTATGGCTAAGTTAGCTGAAAGTGTGGTTAGGTCAACCATACCTCTAGTCTTAGCCCTCGCAGTCAACATAATTGTGGTTGGATTACCTATACTGCTGGCTGGTTCCTTTACACTTCTAGCTAGTGCAAGTATCTCTTATGGCTGGCGTCAAAATCAGGTGGAAGTATAGTTGAGATTGTGATCCTTCTTTTTCAGTGTTCTGTCACGGTCACGTGTATACCAGAGACCAGAGTACGGTGTGCCATGTGCCATATCGGACGTTCTACTCCATTCATGTGACCGCAATCTCAGTTCTTTGGGCTGATTATTTAAATTGATCGACATATAGCGATAGATAAAGAGGGCAGAGAAAAAATATGTAGCGATCCAATTGGTGGAAGTGGGTGGTTGCAATGGGCAAAGGAGGTAGGTAACAGACTGCCTAATTGTAACCCACGAGATTCTCTGTAGACCCTATTTTCCTCCAACGTCTGTTAGATTCACCCGTTTCAACCAATAGGATAGCTCCAATTTTCTTTTGTCCTTGCTGAATATCACATTTCAATAATCAGCTCGCTAGCAACGACATCCTCGTTTCATTCTTACGAGCTCATTTTACAGCTCACCATGCTACATGCTACCGGGCTCAGAATGCCTGCAACAAGTACGACTGAAAATGTCCTTTGCTGCCTATAGGAACGTCCTGTTGATAATTATTTCAGCGACTGATTTCTATTTACGATAGCCGGATTTCATGGGACAACATGCTTCTGGTAGTCTGAAATTGAAAACCAATGAGGAAATTATCAACAGGGATTTTTTTTCTGTGTACGAACTGTTCTCAGTAATGTTTTCAACTCGATTAACCGAGTGGAGATTGTGATCATGAAATTGTAGGGGAAAGTGAAGTGTGAATACTGAGAGAGGGCTTTGATGTACCTTTGATGAGACTTTAGCGAGTGAGAAATCGTTTGAATTCCTAAGAAATATTTCTGGTGTTTTTTTTTTCAGAATTTTTTGTAAAGGCTGATACATTAGTCATTTGTTGCACTTGATGAAATCGATGAATTAGTTTTGCTTGGTGGATTTGAATTGTGGAGAGAGAGTAAGGAACAAATAAAAATGAGTATTTGTGACATGTGGCCTTTAAAAAGCGCATTTGTACAAATAACATCAATACATTGCTACGGTCGCAGTCGTTACCGACCTAGATTCCCTAGAAGAGCATTTCCCTCCTCAGATTTAGGAATCCTTCTTAACTGGTATAATTTTAAGACATTTACAAAGTTGCGACAGAATTGTAGCTTCCTCTTACACACGCATGGTGTTAAAAACTTATCAAGAAGATCCAAGATTCTGAGCGGCAACTAAACGGGCATGACTGTCGTTAAAGTTGCATACACATCTTTTTGAAGGCACTTTTTGCGCGCTCGCCAGAGATACTCTCCTTCTATACATTCACTCGGGTGTTCTCAGCTGTGAGTTCGCAGGGAAAGAATCCACACTTCATAATACAACCACGTTTAAGTAACCGATATTTCACATCGAAACTGAGAATTACTATTCTCTTGGATACTTATTGTATGGATATCATGACGACGGATTAATCAATGAAAATGAGCAGGCAATAGTAGAAATTCTCAATGTTATTTTAACAAGTATTTGTTAAATAACTTTTGAACTAAGAACATCCACACTTCTATCGGTGCCTCTTAGGATTCAAGAACATGTCCCATTTTCGATGCAATTTCAAACAAATACATTTATTTTGTTACATTACGACAGCAAACTCCATTCATAACCCTCGGGATTTCCACGATACTCACTGGATACTCTCCAAGTTTAAAGATCGAACGATACGACGAGTACGAAGTTAAACAATATTGGAATCAAAAATGCACGTAAAATAATAAAATAAGTGCATCTGACAAAGAGCGCCCAAGAACTTTTTCCCTGATAGTTGGAAATTGAGGCAGATGCTTTGACTAGTCATCATAAACGTATGTTATTCAAAGGTGCCCGCAGGCTTTTCACCATATTAAGGAGATGCCTCCTAAGATTAGAGATCCGACTATTAGACGTTAAATGCCTCCTGAGTAACCGGGGAATATTAGGATTAGACGCGGACGCAAAACAAACGATGGGATGAGAGCAAACTCCCAAAACAACTACTCCAAAACTAGCATTAGCCGCGTTACATCAGGAGGTGGAAATAAAACGAAAATGGGATGCAGACAGGAGAACTCGGCAAAACCCTCGATCCAACAAGTATATTAAAACAATCATTAAGGGAAGCTCCGACTGAGGCCACTAAATGAAACGCTGCGATAATAGTAATAAGACAGGCAATGGGTTTTGATGCCGGGTGGCGACCATGAGGGGCGGGGGGGGGAG